TCAAGTAGCAATTTAGTAGAGAAAATAAATTACATTTACCATTAGCATGAAGGTACTTCAAAATGTATTGTTTTATTCTTACATATACATTTATAGATAGTTAACTAAACAAATTTGATAGTAGATTAAAATTTTAAAAAATTAAAAAATTAATGATATATAATATTTATTCAGATTTAAAACATATAAATACATAACTTAAGCTAATAAAAAATAAATATAATATTCATTTACATTATAAAAATAATTTTATTATATTAAAAATATATATAAATCTAGAAAAAATATCATGTAGCATAGCGCGGATAAATACCTAATTGTATTCAATAATCAGTCTTCCAAAGCATATGTTTATATTCTTAACCGTCAATTACCAAATCAAAAATGTAACGTACATTGTGGAAGAAAAAAAATTCACATCTTTAAAGTATATATGAAAAACAAATGAAAAAATAGAATCATAATATTTCATATTTGTATTCCCTAAAAATAGAAATTTGAAGACTTTATTTATATTCATTCTATACATTAGCTAATTTTATTGGTGACCATTAAAAACTAGAAAGAAATGAACAAAGAAAAAAAAAAGAATTTGAAAACTATTGAGAAAAAAGACATGAATGAACAAGTTTTAATTTTTGTTCTTTAATGTTCCTCTTTAGTTTTTTTTAAATAAGGAATAAATTTGTTTTATAGTTGTTTTAAAATAATGAATTTGGAAGGAAAAAAATATTAATGTCGAAAATCTATTCCTCTTAACTGGTGTAAATTTTGAGAAATATTACATTCCTTTTTATTTCTTTCTTTTGTGTTAGAGCCTTTTTATTTCTTTCCTCAAAATAGGTTACCATATTCGGCCGGTTTAATTACACATCGTGGTATAAATGGTCCGGTTTACTATCAAATTTTAGTAAATACTTGGGCTTAAATTAATTTTCAAGGGCTTAAGCGAAGCCCACAGATAAACAGGCAAATAAGCAAATTTAAATCTAAGACCGTAATTAAATGATTCTTAATCTTATTATAATTATTAAACTTCAATTAATAATATGTTAAACTTAAATATATTTCTGGTGTCGACAGTTACGTATTTTGTATTCGTTATATAAACACAGGTAATTAGGTCACTGATTTGAGCTGATAGTAGCTTAAGTTATAGGAGCATATGTCATGTTTCATGTTATTTAATTATCATTTTTAAATTTTGAGAAAAAGAAGATTAAAGTGGGTATACGATATTACGATATTTGTAGTACGACGTTCAACTATTGCAGTCAAAAAAGCATTTTTTAACTTTTACATCTTTTATGGATAGTTTCACTATTTTTATAACTTCAAAAGATAAAATTTTGGTTTCATATAATTCTTTTGATCATTTAGCGTCGTATCCAAAAATAAAGCTCATATACTGTACGTATCTTTACTTTTGTTTTTTTGTCGCGAACATTAACTTTAATTTCTATATTTACTATTTATACTCTATAGTGTTGCGATGTACATGTGCGTATATATGTCCAGATTATTAATTTTCAAGCTTAGATAGAAACTTGAAAAAAAAGATTTTCGCCAAAATGAATGATATGCTTGCAGTGAATAAATAATCTAATTTTTAATTTGTTAACTTTTTTTTTTTGAACTTCAGATGTTATTTAAACGTAACGTTTAGTTTCAAGTAGAATTAATTTGACAAGGTTGGCACAAATATCATTTTCTGTGTCGAAAGGTATAACATTTGATATATATCAAATTTATAGGATAATTATTAAAAGGGAAAACGAAAAACGGAACAAATCATTGGAGAGGATCGGTCAAAGAGGAATAATTAAGCTCTTTCTTTTTAACAAATTTTATTGTCATTCACTTTTGTATTTGTCTTTTGTTGGGTACAGTTGAACGAATGTTTCTTTACTTCCACCACAAGACAAATAAATTATTCAATAGATAAGATTTTTTAATGGTTATATCTTTTTATTATCCACCAGAAAAGAAGTTATCTTCAGTTGAAATAAAAAAAAAAACAGTAAGGATAGTATGCAAGAAAATATAACACTTAATTTGCTCCAACATTTATAAGTAGATTTATGAGTAGACTTGTTTGTTTTCTTGTGGTATTTCTTCTATTTTCCGATTCATTGAGTCCAAATGAAAAATAAGATGAGAAACTTGCTTTCTATACAAAATAAACACTTTTTCGTAGCTCTTACGTGAAAAACTGAAAACAAATGGTTGAGACTAAAAAAACTGTATAAACAAAGTTGGAGTGAAGAATTTAGAAGGATTATAAATAAGATCTAACTCATCAATGAAAAAATAAAATGACGTAAAAATTATTATTTAACTCACAAATGAAAACTATAAGGTGGTGGATTTTTTTGTTTGTAACAATGTTATGATGGATTCTTTTTTGTAACAATTTTAACGCGACACATCAATAAGTTTTTTTCGAACAAACACATCAATAAGTTCTGATCCCGAAAACTTAAATATCTTGCTGGACTGATACTCGATTGGTTGTATTTTAACGTTTACGTTGTCAATTAATTTACTGTATAATCTTTCAATAAACCCGCAACTTTAAACATCTTAAATCAGATTTGTTTATTTCTTGTAAGCGTTAGCGCTACACGCAAAACTGGAAATTTGAACTATTCAAATGGGCTGAACTCATAATGCATATTTGTCTGGGCCGAACTCAAAATATAACACGTGACTTCTTAAGCCTGTTTCTTGCTATCCTTTCGACATACTGTATTTTTAATTTTGTTAAATAGCCGAAATTACAGAGTTAAGATTTTTGGATCACCGTTTGGTTTTTTCTAACTTACAATATTAGATTTCAAAATTCATTTTCAAGGGATGTTTTTCTACTAAGTAAATATATTAAATCTCAAAATTTATTTTTCCAAAAGTAGTAACTGCAATTTTATTATAGTATGAAAGAAATGGCCAATTTTATTTCTAGCTACACATGCATAGATGCTTTCTTCTAGAAATCATGTCCTTTCATTTTACAAGAAATGAAATATAAATGAGAAGTGGAATCTGTGTTCAGTGCTCACTAATGATTAGTTGTCATTTGGACCTAGCTACAATATCATCAATTTCATATATTTGCAAGGTGAGTCATTCATATTTAGGAATGTTCCACAGAAAATAGTTTTTTTGTGCACCTTTCCACAGGTAATAGCTGAATTCGCTTTTTGTTGTTCTCGACAGCTAGAGCCTAGATGAGCTTTTAGCGTAATATTTTATGTTATCCAATATTTAACAAATCCAATATTAGTTAATGCACAATAAAATTGATACACACAGACGTTTTGATAAATTCTTAATCAAAACCATATCAAGTCCTGTCACATATAATCACCCGTACACGTGGTAACAGCAGGAGTGTGTTAATATATTTTTATTTAGCCAACGAATTTGATTACTATTTTCTTCGATCATCAAAATCATGTTGGGCCACCCCAAGCGACGACTTAACAGTGTAAAGACAAAATCGTAAGGAGGAATTAAACACTGTTCTGCTTTTCTTCTGACGACCAAAACAATTCGAACCTTCCCGTAATCTTTCTACTCCTATAAGTATAATCTCTTTATATTCAAAAAACTTTGAAAATATATTTTTTGACAACGTAAATCGTCAATTTTCAGTAAAGTTTGAACTTGGGAGTAGAGATTCATCAACCTCGAGCTCCATTCAAGAAAATCCCCTGTAACCCCAAAAGCTACTTCGATCACTGTCATGTTTCATACATATATTTAAAACACAAGTATTTCTTCCATATTGAGTCACAAATGATTTAAGATCCAGATTTTTTTTTTTTTTTTTTTTTTGCTTTTTTTAAAAAAACTCAGTTATACGGATCTCTAATTAAGATTTAATGTTCTAAATGATCATGGCGTGTGATATAGACCGTACCCAAATTAACATGTTTTATATTCATTTAGTATCTTAGTAAATCCGATGTGTTGTTTCGAAATTTTGAATCTGCCGAATTTGTGTTTAACAAGATATGTATTTAGAGTTATATTCACACTTGTTAAACTTAAAATATCATAAAAATAACTCAAAACAGGGCTCCACTTGACCGACCGGGTCAACTCAAATAATATAAAAACGGGTTAAACATTTTCCTCGTGGGGTTTCAAATAAACGGGTTGAGTGTGGACATGTACGTGTTTGTACTCGTCAGCTTGAAATCACTCTTTATTGATTGCTAAATATGTCCATGGTTTAAACCAAAAAAAAATATATATATGTCCATGGTTTTGCCTTAGTTAAATGCACCTCAACTTATTTTATAACGATATACTCCGTATATACACACAAAATCATAAGAAATTAAACTGTCCACAGAAAACAGAGTTAAACATGATTTTGCTGCATTCAATTAAAGGGACATTAAAGAGTCTTTTGGGCCCAATTGGATTAAGTAAAATTTAGCAAAAAAAATTGACAATCATCACAATTATTGGACATAGTCATTACGTATGCATACACATAACCATGATGTCTACCTATCTTCTTGTGCGTATGAACTTCCGAAAGAGCGATATATTACTATAGTAAGCATACTTTACTCGTTATTTTAAGACTAAAGATAAAATTAAAACAGCCGAATTAATCAAGTGAAAATTACTATTTCAATTTCGATAACTAAAAATACTGTAGTAGAACTATAACAAAATTGGAAATGTTCTGGCTAAATTTAGCACTATATTTTAAGGAAACCCATACGATGCACCATGCATATTGTGAGTGAAAGAGAAAGATATGACGAATTCAAGTTTTTCTATTTTTTTTTTAATTCGACAAAAAGGAATCAAATGTTAGATCACTGGATTGAACGGTCAAGATCGGATATTATTTCAGGAGATTAAGATCCTACATATCCCACGTGCCTAAATACTGTACCGTCTCTCTCTGTCGGACTCTTTGTGCCTTTGTCTATAAAATCCTCGGCCCACACTTGTTCGACAGTGCACTAAATTAAAAGACAGAGAGAAAGAACAAAACCTTCCGTTTCAAGAAAGCATCGTTTCTTCTTTGTGTGTCCGAAAATGGAAGATCTTGGCGAAGAGTACAAGAATTATTGGGAAACCACAATGTTCTTCCAGAATCAAGAACTCGAGTTTGACAGGTACTTCCAGAATCTGGTGAAATTTCTCTTTTTGTTTTTTGGTTTTTTAGCCGGTGATGAAATTATTTTGATTATTAATTTAGCTGGCCGTTGGAGGAAGCGTTTTCTGGCTCCGGCGAGTCGAGTTCGCCGGACGGAGCAGCAACGTCGCCGGCGTCTTCGAAGAATGTTGTCTCCGAGAGGAACAGACGGCAAAAGCTTAATCAGAGACTCTTTGCTCTTCGATCAGTAGTTCCCAATATAAGCAAGGTGTGATTAGTTTCATTAATGGTTTCTCTAATTAATTTAATCAACTGTCTCTTTTATTTATTTCTTTATACAAAAAAAAGTTTCGTCACTAGCAAATATTTTTTGGTCAACCGAAATTAAATAATCGAATGAACTTTGCTTCTTCTTTCTTCCGAGGAAATAAAACCATTGATATATTCAAATATAGTTAAACCAAATCCAACCAACATTAAATTAAAAAGGCAAACCAAATTCCGATCTTCTAAAACCATGTCGAGCCAAACTAAAAATATATTTTGGTCCCCTAATTACCCTAATAAGATATAATTTGTATACGTGTAATGTGATTTGTTGAGAATTGCATTTAGTTAAATTATTGATTTTGTTTTTTAGTTGGACAAGGCGTCTGTCATCAAAGATTCAATCGATTATATGCAAGAACTCATTGATCAAGAGAAAATACTAGAAAAAGAGATCAGAGAGCTGGAATCACAATCATTATCGCTAGAAAATCCTGCAAGAGATTACGATTGCATCAATAACTTCCCAGAAAATCACCTGCAAGATCTCTCCGGCATTAATGTCCGGAGATCAAAGAAGTTGAGGCAGATGGATTACGATGCTTTTGGATCATCGGTTCCTAGAGTACATACTCACTCCCTCATCGAAGTTCTCGAAGTAAGTAGTATGCATCTTTGTTACATGTTTTTGTTTGTACATTTCGAAATATTAAAGTTTTTTCTATAAAAATGAAAAGATGAAGGTGACGTGGATGGGAGAGAAGACAGTAGTGGTATGCATAACATGTAGCAAGAAGAGAGAGACAATGTTGCAGCTTTGTAAAGTGTTGGAGTCTTTGAATCTCAACATTCTCACTACTAACTTCTCTTCCTTCTCCTCTCGTCTCTCCACTACTCTCTTCCTCCAGGTAAACTTTCTCTCTCTCTCTCTCTCTCTCTCTCTCTCTCTCTCTACTTTTAATCATGTTCTTATAGTTCTTATCTCCTTTTAGTTCATCTATATTTTGATTCACTACGTTTTGTGTTAATCCGCACAAAATATAGTGAAACGTATGTCATTGTTTGAGGCCAAAATTAAACTCAAAACGCATTTACATCAACAAAATTGTGTTGTTTTTTGGTCGACGCTTATTTTGCGGTGATGTAATTTTCTTTTTGGTGATTTGGGAGAAAAATGGTCTGACGGCACGTGGACAAATCCGTTAGGTGTAACATCAATCAATCAATTACGTGAATAAAAACATATGACTAAAAATGCTTTAGTAAAGTGAATTTTTTCTTTTTTGGTTAAAGAAAGATTGGTTGTTCTTATTATACAATACTCCAAAAGAAATGTTATACAATAATCCAAACGTTTTTTCGGAAATCACCATCAAATTTCTAAAGGGTAAACCTTAGACGGACCCATTTAATTTAATTAGTACTACTTGTCTCCATTAAATGGTCCTTAGATCACCACATAACATCTTACGAATAACTTTTTTTTTTATAATCTTTTAATATCCTAATCAATAAATTAAAGCTCCAATTATTGAGGTGGCCTCGAGCCCATCATTTCTTTTTTGAATTTAGCCTTGACTTTTTTTTTTGTGTGGGGTTAGATTCTCTCAAAAGCTTTGTCATATTAGAATACTTTAATCAAAATTTGTGTGGAAATCTAAATGACTTCGTGTCGCATATTGCGTCGTCGTCCAGACGTATAGCAGCACCTGAAAAACGTGGCTTTTATAATATCACACGCTTCAACATTTTGTCTCTGTGTCTCGCTTACCATTTTGCACTGCACGTGATTGTCCACAGTACACCTTACATTAATTCTTTATCCATTAACAATTCCAGATGCAAACTACAAGAAATAAGAAGATTTAGCCAATTAGCAGTTCCAATGAAATGATTTTTGATATGATCATTGATCAGTGTACAGCTTGTATTCGTTATTATTATTCGGGTTTATTAAGAGTTGTGTTAGGTTTGCGATAGCTTTATCACTTCTCTGTTTATATTTTCTTCTTATCAGATAATAGGAAAAACCAACTTTAACAAACACGATTATTTCTTGTCTAACAAATGAATATAATAACATTGTGCTGTTTTCTCCCACATTTATAACATTTTGGCCTTTTAAATTTTAATATAACCAGACGCTAAAAATACAGTAAGGTAGACCAGTGAGAACATAGAGAGTTGGTGAAAGCTTATTCCAATAATTATCAAAAAAAGGTGGATAATTTCATTTTCCAACCTGTCTTTATTTGTCATTTTCAAATTATAAAACAATGATTATCCTCCCTTTTTGCCACGGAATAATCATCCTAGTTATTGTGTATCTTGTATATACAACAATTATGAGTTCTACTGTTTATATGTATTTTTGACATCAAAAAGAATATTGAAGGATTTCAATAATTTAATAACCTATACTGAGGCTGGCCTTGTAAATTCCTAGTTTTAGTTGAAAAGATGTGATAAGATATTTGTGTTAGATATATTAATGAGATATTAACATATAAATAGATTAGTTTTAAATAATGCTGAATTAGATGACAAAAAATGCTAAATTTTGCAGGCCGATGAAGAAGAGAGGAATACAGTAGAGACAAAGATACAAATGGCAATTGCAGCTTACAATCATCCTGATTGTCTTATCAATTTCTAATTTATATCTTTGTACTAAAACCGGTTCAATGAATATTTATGATGAAGTATTGTTGTAAGGGTTAATTTGAGCTTCAAAAGAATTTGATGGGTTTTATTTAAAACTCGAGGCAAATCCAAACCAATGGTAAACAACTTGCCACTTCGTTAAAAGTTAAACTATGATTAATCAATCATATACATAAAGCCAAAATCTTCTAATTTTCTTGTAAAATGTATCAAAAGCTACATTTCTATAAAAGAACCCAGTTTTTTATTTTTCTGGGATTTATTTAAAGATTAGTAACAGATACAAACTGGTAATACAAAAGCTACATGAAGTATTCTTCGACTTACCTCCCCAAAGAATGTAACAATACCAAAACTCGTGCAAGAGATCTAAGTTTCTTTTTACCTCTTCTCCTTGATCTCTGCTGTTGGAACATACACTACTGAGTCTTCTTCAGGTGAACAAGAAGAAGAAGAAGACTTTCCTAACTTTTTACGACCTTTCGGTGTTCTATATCTCTCAAGCCTCTGCGTCACATCCAGTAACTTGTTCTGTGCCCTACAAAGTACCTCCAGCATTGCTTCGACTTTTTCCTCCTCGCTCATTTTGTGCTCTGTCTCCTTATCCTCGAGAGGCGCCTTTAAGCTTCTTTCTTCTTCATGTGTCTGCACACAAAATAAAAACAACTAACTTAAAAACTGGTTTTGCTCTATAACCTCACATTTTGGCAAAAATGGTTAATCTGAAACATACCACCAAAGTGAGAGAAGAGTCTTCCTGCTCGAAATACTGTTGACTTTCATCTTCTATGGGTGTAGGAAGGGAGACATTGGCGTGTTGAATTTCCTCCTGGTTATCATTACAGGGAGAAATTCTTGTCTGTTTCATAGAATCATTCAATCCGAGCGAAATAGTCTCGTCCATGGTTTCTTGAAGTTCATTTGCTTCTTTGACAATCTCGTCCATGGTTTCTTGAAGTTCATTCGCTTCTGTGTCAATCTCGTCCTTGGTTTCTTGATGTTCATTCGCCTCTGTGTCAATCTCGTCCATGGTTCCTTGAATTTCATTTGTCTCTGTATTCTTCTCCATGGCAGTCTCGCCCACAGTATCTTGAATCTCGTTTGTTTCGGTGTTTTTCTCCATGACGGTTTCGTCCACAGTATACTGTACTTCATTTGTTTCTGTTTTCTTCTCCACAACGGTTTCGTCCACGGTATCTTGAATTGCATTCGTTTCTATGTTTTTATCCAGGACTGCTTCCGGTCCAGAGTCTCCAGAGGGAACCTTAGGTTTCACACTCTCGGTCTGTAATAGTAAAAGAATGGCCAAATGATTCATCTCATTACAAAGCTTTCAATTCTTGAGAATGTTCATAAGTGAGAATTAAGCAAGAAAAATAACAATAGTTTTGTACCTTTCTGATCCTCAAAGCCATATACCGTGCATTTTTGAACCATTTGCTGACCTGAAAAATTGAAATTTAAGCACAGAGCCAGCCAAAAAAAAAAAAATTGTAAAAATACTAAATGTTACCTTCTCTGGATCAAGATTCAACTCTTTTGAAAGCTTGTCCCGCACAGCTTTTGAAGGAAGCTCAGTCTCTGCAAACACTTCGCGTAGTTTCTGGTACAAAACAAAAGAAACAAGTTTGTTTCTTTTTTTCTTCTTTTGTTACGGTAACTTTACACATAAGAGACTAAAACAGGGGAAGTAGCAAATGCAGACCTCAACTGCATCTCTTGGGAGTCTGAACATCGGCCTTCGCCCTCCTTTACCTTCTAAAGAGACAGAGACAGAATCTTTCTCTTTCTCGCTCTGTTCCGGTATTTCTTCAACATGTTGATCTTTCTTACTGTTTTCACACATAGTTACAATTGTGGTTCCTGCCTCAGATTCCTTTCTTCTCTTCCTTCTGCCACTCGGACCCCAGTCTTCGTCTTCACTACCTTGCTCTTGCAAAATCGCTTCCTTTCCAAACATTTCCTGATATACAGAAAACCAAAAAAAAAAAAAGCCGAAAACTCACTACTAAAACAATCATCAATAACAAATCAAAGCAGATCAATATTAAAATCCATGCATCGATGTTGTACTACTCACATGGTATAGTTTTGTATAGTCAACAGTCTTCCGCTGTCTTGGCCCACATACAGTTTCTTCATTACTTGTCTCGCATGATTCCACCATATTGCTAAATCCATGGTCTTCCCACGAACCTGTTGAAAGGGCTTCACCATCAGAAGCTAAGCTCACGCTCGTCGAACTGCTTTCTTCATCATTATTATCACCACCACAACCACCACCACTATCACTTCTGCTGCTGCTTCCTCCGCAATTTTCCTTCATTTCAGGGTCATAATCACCATCCTCTGAGTCATCCGAAGGCCAATCCGCTTCGTTGTTAACTGTACCTTCAGATCCAATAGGAAGACTAGCTTCTTCGTTGAAGATATCCTTATACACACAAAAAAACCGTATAAAAGTATCAATACTAATGATGAAATGTCTCAATCCCGCGTTCAAACATAATGAAAGACTTTGATACTTGCCAGAAGTTTACCTGCCAGATGCTGTCCGCAGGGAAATGAGTTCCTATCTGGGCATTCATTGTGTCGATGATTTCCATTTTGCAATCACAAAATTTGCAAAACCAGCCCTGATCTCCTGGAGGTACTGTTGAAATTATGTAATGAACAAACAAAAATCAGATTGTGATAACACAGTGTAAAAGCTCTCTAAGACAACATATGCATATGTAATAGAAAGCCAAGGCATACTGCTTTCTGTTTCCAAAGGAGGGTCAAGGCACTTCTGGTGAAATGCTCGATTACAAGTTCCATCACAAAGTATTATATCATTGTCTAGAAAAGCTTCTCGAGAATTGCATTCAGCACAAAATATCTGCAAAATGTAAAAACCTCATCATCAGGCTTTTCTCTAGTATGCATACAGGGTAAACCTGTTTGCAGTGCGTGCGGTTATAATTAAGTTCCCAAAATAATAAACGAATGAAAATATTTAAAATCGAAAACATAAGAGATTTGCTTACATGGTCATGATGAATAGAACCATCTGGAGCTATCATGTTCTCTTCGATGCTTCCCACCGAACTAAGCTGGTCCAGCTGACGAATGGCGTCGCGTAATCCTAGTTTGCAGCTTAAGATCTGTTTCCGAGCTCTCTCGAGCTCCTTGTCTGGTCTTATCTTCTCCCGGCTGAAGAAAACACGAAAACACAAGAGTCAAACCACATTTGTTGTTTGCAACTAGATGATGTCATGATTGTTTCTTTGCATTTCCAGTTTGACATTTACAAATGATGACCAAGATATTATAAGTATGTAAACACAAACACATATGCAAAGTTTGTTTCTACGTTTAAAACGGCCTAAGGAACATAGGAAAAAATGTTCAGTTTGGAAACAAAAATAAGGTCAGATACGCGTACCAACATCTGCAGATAGAAGTATTGACAGCAAGAAAACTAAATGAAACTCATTCGTCACGCGAAAAATTAACTATTCTTTTGGTAATATCCAACAGAATCATGAAACTCTGAAAAATTTTCCACAAAAGAAACATTTGAGGCAAGAAGAGAGTAAATTCAAATGTTTGTACCTCTGACCTTTCCAACCTTCAGTTGAGTAAGCATCGATAAGATTCTGCTGCAACTTCATCTTAATAAGCAAATACCTTGTTCGTCTCTGCAATCGTAACGCTTCATCTACCTCCACCTTATTCTCCTTTTGTTTCCTCTTACTCTTCCTCTTCCTCGTTTTCTTCCCCTCCTCCTTCTCCTCGCAACGAACCCATCCCCGAGAATACTTCTTGTTCCTCGATTTCGAACAGATCTCTTCCTCGGTTTTGCGTTTATTATACTTTCTCTTATTTGATGTTTCTTTCCCTTTCTTCACTAGAGATGAGAGTAAGGTAGAGCCAATTCTCTCAACCGAAACACAAGCATTTCCGGTTTCTTGCTCATTTCTCCCCTTTGTCTCCATACCGAGCTCCTCGATCACAGAGACTTGCTCCTCTTAGCAGCTCATATATCATATAAGATCTTCCCCTGTATATTTCAAAAACCATTCCTTTATCAGATTCCTCAATTCACAACTGAGCCAACAACAACCCAATTTCAGAGCAAAATCATAGTTTATGATTCCTAATTTCCCATTTATTGACATCCCACAGTGAAAACGACTGAATCGAGTCTTGTACGATTCAAGAGACAAAACACACACATCCACATTTAAGACACTGCTAAATTCAGGCATGTTTTTGACTTTCGGATAGATAGATTACAGATTTCTCTGATTGAAGCCGACACTTTTGCAGACAAGATAACGAAAACACACAGATCGAACACTAGGCTTAACCAATAAAACAACCTTCGTGTATTAATATAACGAACACTAGTCTTCTCACATCTTAATTATTTGCTCGTGACCTCAATACATGAATACATAAACGAATCGTGACGTTTAATTACTCGGGAGAGACGAACAAGAGAAAATTGAGCAAGACTAACAATTTTACAGAGCTTTTTTGGACAGAATCAGCAAACCTGGAAAAAGAGAGTAAGGAGATGGGATTGGAGATTGCAGTGAATCAATCACAGATTGAGAAAGATGAAGCCAAAAAAAGTGAAAATCTTTCTGTAAAGGGGAATGGGAGATTCTGAGATATATTGCTTCGGCGGTTGTGAGTCACCGGCGGCGACTTGAAAGGGTGCTTTCAACGGTCGGGTTTACGTCACTCTCCGTTCTCTTTAGGTACTTTACTTTGGTAATGCGCCCAACTCTTATATAATTTCCCTTTAAGTCCCTATATTTAGATACTTTATCTTAAATCGTCTTTAAGGTTTTAGAACATTCATATTTACGCCTGCAAGTATTCCTTTTCGGTCGCGAATATTGAACTTTACGGCCCACGAAAAAAAAGTTCTTAACCCAAGCCCATTTTGAAAAACAAAGTGATTCAGATATTATTTTTCTTTTGTCGGCCGATTTCAGATTTTTATTATTTGTGGGGGTGGTCGGCTAAAGGCCGGTGTGGGTCGGTTCTTAGATAATTGTAAACGTTTTCAACAAATCACAGTGTAGGTCTATAAATAGTGTAATATCTGAAATCAGCATATAGTTTAACCGTTAGCTAAAATCGAATCAGGATTAAACTAAATTTTAGGTTAAGCAAATAGACTTGGTTCAGATTAGCCTATATATCTATCTAATTACTCATAGTCTTCGTCACATTCCAAATTTATTGATATTTTGCAAAATTTAACATGTTGACCATTAAAAGAATATTAAAGAATTAGGATTCGCTTAATGTTTTTTTACAGCATTTGCATGTATAGTAAAACAGTATCTAAATCATAATGTACCCTAGACCTAAAAATGCTAAATGATCATTATTTCTTATTTTGATTCCTTTTGATGCCACTAAATCTACCTAACTTGTTATGTCAGTATTCATTAAGGAAATATTTAATAGCTCTCACATGATCAAGGAATAGAGCAAAATAAGAAAGATGTGCTTGAGCCATGCACCACACCACATGGGTGGATCCGAGATAAGAACAAAAGCTAGCCATAAAACAAACTTTGGTGTTTTTCACATTATTCACACATTGACTTTGTGATAATCACCGACTATTATTAAGTTATGGTGTCTATAACACGTTGATTGCAAAAAACCAAAAATATAATCTAAGTTTCTATTAATCGGGATGCCTCATGCATTACTCGGAAATGTCATTATAGTGACATGTGGGGCTAAACGAATTATTCTTTTTTGACATGGGAGGGTCCCTCTTCGTATGAAAGCCTTGTTGCTTTGCAAAATTATTGTTATCCCTTCAAATCTAAATGATGGGCTATAGAGACAAACCGAACAAAGATTGTCTGCTAATGCACATTTTCACAGTTAAAGATAATTTCGATTACCGCCTTTTTAAGATTATGAGTTATAAAATATGTTTGTGACATAGTGGATGGCCTAGTCTTATCTAATTTTAGTAGAATATGTTTTTATATGAATCGGTTTTAATAAGTTTTGATATTTTCTTCGGTTATATGATTTTAGATATTGTGATAACCATGTTATTAGAAACATTATTAAATATACGGTGTGATTGTGATGTTAATTTAACCTTTTTAATATAAATTTTCATTTTAATTTTATTGACATATTACAAAAAATATTTATATTTAGTTATTTATGAATTTAATTTTTTTGGTTAGTTCAGTTTTTTATATATATGACCAGTCCAATCTCCTTTTTGATAGGCGATTTTTCTAATCTATCAAACAAATCTAATTTGAGAGGAAAAAATTACCAGTTAACCTGTAGAATTTGCATCCATCATAACATCCAATTGTAAAGATTTCAAAACTTGAACTCTGGTAATTATATTAAGGTTCTTACATATCATCTTATATTTAATCTATACAATCAGTTTATTGCTAATTTTGCGAACCAGATGGATTTTCAGCCGTTGCATTATAAATTATAAATGAAATCTTAAATCTGTGTTTCTTCCAATTAGTTACAGCCAAGTCTTAAATTATAAACAAACATGAGTACACTGGGGGATTAGGAAGCTGTAGTTAGTGATCAGTTGCTTTCACCTAATTGTCGGAAAGAGATTAATATATATAATCATCATGTGTAGTAAATTACAGTTGTCGCATTCTATTTTGTAATAATACAAAAGTGCTACGATTGCAATTGTTATTATTTAGAGTTTCAAATATTAAAGTTATAGTTTTAAATAACTTATCGTCTCTTAACTTAAGCAATCAAACTTGGGCAGAAGATTTACGTTTTAAATGGAGGTGATGTGTATGCTGTTATTTTCTCCACCGTAAAAATGGAGGTGATGCAGAGGTATCCACGTGTAATCTTTTGTGTGGCGTACACGATTAGGATCAACGCTGAAAACAATAGGAATATTAAAAAAATTGTTCATCTCATCTTTTTATTTTTAAAATGGGAAAACCAATTTGAGGACCGACTCCTACCAACAACGCTCCGACTCTTTTTAGATGCATCTAATTACACCAATCATTCCAAGATAATATGACTTTTCGCGTCCACCAAAAAATATATTATCTAAAAGAAAATTATACAAAGTACTACTACTGATGTAAGTACTATTTTGGTTCGTGGTCGTGTTTTATTGTTTTCTACATTTGATAGTAGGTTATTGATAATGACTACAACTTTAAAGGTCCACATAGATTCAGTGATCAGCTCAAGTTTTATATGCTCCAACACGAGCATCTAAAACTAGTAAACGATGAACCAATTAAGTTGATGATGTTTCGTGTTTATTTTAGTGAAGAAAAATGCTGAAATTCTCGTGTGGCATGTTTCAAATTTGACTGAACAAGTTCTACTATGGTAGGAGTATTATAATTGTTTTTTTTTTTTTTACTTTTAGGTGACAAACTGAAACTTCGACAACCCTAGAGTACTACGAATGTAAATTTACAAAAAAAATTTACATGAATACATCGTAGTTTCTTTTAAGACCCTACACATAGATTTACGTCTGAGTCTATCTACATTGACACGTAATGGAGACGTGTCGTGAAGGCTTACTTGGATATATGACTTTTTTGCAAAGTTGTAATAAAACTCGTGGCTAACGCCGCCAGCCACATCTGAAATTCGAAGAATATGCCTTTTAAGTTCTAATGCTTACACTCAAATATGCATTTTCTCACATAATTTGAGATTTACACAGAATCGGAATGTTACAAAATCTATGAATCTATAATTTGCAAGCCATGCAAATCAATCTTTTATTTTTTTCTGCGTCAATGGAAGTTTCATCGCTAAATTATACTAATACTTATGTGGCTTTTCTTTAATCTGTAGATGTATATAGATAGATGCATAACATTGTATCGATAACAATTATATTTCTACTTGATTTTAAACATTGTATCTATAGGAAATATGATGAACGTATTTTATTGTTATTGTTCTTCTGATCCAGACTTGTTTAGATATTATAGTTGGGGAAAATCTTGAGCCAGAAAACAGAAAAATTTCTGAATAGATCTTATGAAATAACCAATCGAGTGATCGTTTTTCATAACCGAAATAATCAATTCTCAAACTAATTTCCCAATATTAAATCGTAAATAACTTTCATAATGCCTATATTCAAAGGATATATAAATGAGTCGTTAAATACAATCATTGAAAAAAGCATGTTATGTGGTAAATTAAAATGCGATATGTATAATACTCTTTGAACAGTCTTTTTTTTATAGTTTTTATTGTACTATAACAAAAGTAGAATAAAAAAAAGTCAGTTAATAATATTATAAGGAAAGATATAAAAAGAAGAATGACAATAAAAAAGGAGTATTTGAGCTGGTGCTGCTTCATCATCTTCACCACTTTGCTCCGACAGGTCACCGCTGTTTGCTTTTCTCACGAAAGAAACAAACTTCCTATTTTCTTCTTTATCGAGAGGATGAGAAAATTATTGGAGCTGCTGTGAAAAAAATAAACCTTTTTTTTTTGTTTGTCATTCAGACTATCTTTTGCTTGGATTCGGAGAGAGATAAGAGAATTGATTCTCTCTCTCTCCTACCTATTTTATTGTTCCGATCTGATCGGAATTACAAATTTCTTTCTTTTTTTTGTTATCATTTCGTTTTCAGGTTAAATTTCGATTAAGTTTCTTCTTTACTGTCAACGGAGAAATTTCTCTGGTTACATCTTAATCACTGATTTTTTTTTACAATTCACGAAGAATATTTATTTCTTCGTTGATTTCAATTTTTGTGAAACCGGAGAAAGCAAAAGCAGAAGCTCATGGTTCTGTCGGAGATAGAGCCATCCGTGTCGGAATCTCTGGCAGACGAATCTGATCGTCGTTTCGCCAATCTGAGAGGCGTACGGTGGCGCGTGAATCTCGGTGTTCTTCCGTTTCAACCTTCTTCGATCGATGATCTTCGCAAAGCAACAGCCGAATCTCGCAGAAGGTATAATTTAAATTACAGCAATGTTGGTAGCTAAAGTTGACAAAATTTGTGTGTTCCCAAAGCTTCTTGAACTGTTCATAAAACCAAAAGATTTGAGCTTTTTTTCTGGGTTTAGCTAAAAGAGTATTGCTTTCCGTATCTAAATGGCAACCTCATATCATCAAATGCAGATATGCTGCTTTAAGGAGACGCCTCTTGATAGATCCACATTTGTCTAAAGACTTACGAAATTCCCCTGATCTCTCAATCGACAATCCCTTATCACAAAACCCAGGTAAAATCTTCTGTGATTTGAGTTTCATGTAACATTGGTCTTTTCATTGCTGAGACTCTTGGGTCTTATACTAAACTATATCTAATGCAGATAGTACATGGGGTCGGTTCTTTCGTAACGCGGAGCTAGAGAAAACATTGGATCAAGATTTGTCGAGGTTATATCCAGAGCATTGGAGCTACTTTCAAGCTCCTGGATGTCAAGGAATGTTAAGACGCATTCTACTCTTGTGGTGCCTGAAACATCCCGAGTACGGGTATCGACAAGGTGCAACATCATTCGTATCTTTTAAAAAATTTAACTTTGTTACTACAGACTATTGTTTTTTTTCTGTAAAGATCTGACCTTTTTGTTATTGTCTCTTCTTAGGAATGCATGAGCTTTTGGCTCCTCTGCTTTATGTACTTCATGTCGATGTCGAGCGTCTCTCTGAAGTTCGTAAGAGCTACGAAGATCACTTCACGGACAGATTCGATGGTTTATCTTTCGAGGAAAGAGATATTACATACAACTTTGAATTCAAGAAGTTCCTGGAGGATTTCACGGACGATGAGATTGGTGATATCCACGGGAATTCGAAGAAAATCAAGAGTCTAGACGAGCTCGATCCTGAAATCCAGTCCATTGTGTTGTTAAGCGATGCTTATGGAGCTGAAGGAGAACTCGGGATTGTCTTGTCGGATAAATTCATGGAGCACGATGCTTACTGCATGTTTGATGCTCTGATGAGTGGAGCTCATGGTTGTGTCTCAATGGCTGGATTCTTCGCTTACACTCCAGCTAACGGATCCCACACGGGTTTACCTCCCGTTCTTGAAGCGTGCACTGCGTTTTACCATCTCTTGTCGTTTGTTGATTCGTCTCTGCATAGTCATTTGGTAGAACTCGGAGTTGAACCTCAGTACTTTGGGCTTCGTTGGCTACGTGTTTTGTTTGGAAGAGAGTTTTTGCTTCAGGATCTGTTGATAGTGTGGGATGAGATATTCTCAGCTGATAATACACCGAGAACAGATGAGGATAACATTACAAGCCAGAGCTTCAAGATCTTTGATTCTCCTAGGGGAGCTTTAATCTCGGGGATGGCTGTTTCGATGATATTATCTCTAAGATCTTCTCTGCTTGCTACTGAAAATGCAGCTTCTTGTCTCCAGAGACTGTTGAATTTCCCAGAGAAGATCGATGTGAGGAAGATAATAGAGAAAGCTAAGTCATTACAAGCATTGGCTTTGGATGCTGATGTTCGTTCATCAGCTCTAGCTGTTTTCGATCAGAGCATCAGTCCTGCAGTACCGACGAGGACTAGTAGCTTCCCTTCGGGTTCCACTTCGCCTAAATCCCCGCTGATAATCACACCGCAGAGCTACTGGGAGGAGAAATGGAGAGTTCTTCAGAAAGCAGCAGAGGAAGAGAAACAGAATCCTTCAGTACCGAAGAAGAAGGCATGGTTCAAGGTGAAAAGACTCTTCAGAGCAGAGTCTGAGCCTACACATAGCGCCAAGGCAGAAAGCAAAGCCAAGGTTTCATCAGTCGCGCGTAACTTGCTTGAAGATTTCAATCGGCAGGTCGTTTCTGAACCTGAGGAAGCTAATACAGTAGATGTTGTGAACAATGAAGATAGCTCAGTTCAAGAAACCGAGGAAGCAAATATAGTAGATGTTGTGAACAATGGAGATAGTTCAGTTCAAGAAACCGAGGAAGCAAATATAGTAGATGTTGTGAACAATGGAGATAGTTCAGTTCAAGAAACAGAGGAAAGAAATACGGATTTCGAAACTGCTGGTGAAGAGAGTGTAGGAGCAGTTGAAGAGAACTCATCTGATGTCTTCTCAGATCCAAACAGTCCACTCAGAGATTCAAACTCCATCGAGAATGATTCGGATAGCAGCACCGGGTCGATTCTGTTTGCCAATGAAAAAGTTAAAGATGAAGAAACAAGCGTAGTAGATTCGCCTCTTCCCATTTCTTCTCAGCCGAGCATCGAGTTTCCAGTAGCTCAGTCTAATGACGAAGAGGACACTGCAGATAAATCTGTGGCCGTTATCAAGGAGCGTGGTAAGGCTTTACCTGGAAAATTCCAATGGTTTTGGAAGTTTGGACGCAATCTCACTAGCGAAGAGACAAGATCCAATGGTGTCGAAAGCAGTAAGAGCGATTTGGTTTGCTCCTCTGAGACACATTCTCCTCCACAGGCTTCATCTTCCAGCAGCAAAGGAGATACAGACCAGAATGTGATGAGTACTCTAAAGAATCTTGGAAACTCCATGCTCGAACACATTCAGGTAAAAACTCACTACTATTCTCACTTACTAATTCTTAAACATCAAACCAAACGTACTGATGATTTTTTAACCACATGTTCAGGTGATCGAGTCGGTTTTCCAGCAAGAAAGGGTTCAGGTTCAGGCAGGATTAATGGAGAACATATCCAAAACCAATTTTGTCGAGAAGGGACAAGTCACAGCCGTTACAGCTCTCAAGGAGCTTCGGAAAATCAGTAATCTTTTGTTGGAAATGTGATTAATAGATTCTTCTTGTTCTGCCCTCTGTATATATACACATCCCTAATTTTTTTGTAAAGTATGTTTCTTAGAGCACGGAATAAGAAAAAAAGTTTTTTTTTTTCTTATCGGCGTATTCTCCGTCTCTAAGAAATTTTTGCTGTAGAAAACCAATTCTTGTATAATATGATATAAATAAGAGCCCTATCAATAAAGATGGTTAATTTATGAGTTCCTCTGCTTTGAACAATAAAAAGCAAAAGCATGAAAACTGCAGCTCACATACATTAAGTTTTGAAGATTTGAGTCTTAAGGAGGGTAATACTTTCTGTACTTTTCACATATATGAGATCACATAAGAAAGTAGAACTTAACACTATCTTTTTGAGTTGAAGAAGACGAGAGCATGCAGAAAAAGGGTCTATTCTATGTTATGGAAACCAGGGAGTAGTGAAGTTATGAAGCCGAAAACTATCATCTGAATCTCTTTCACTATTCCCCACCATTGATTCCCTTGCTGTCCTGCATCGACATTTTCATTTGCGTTTGCTTGGTTCTCGTTACCAGCTTCATTCTCTTGCCCTTCTGCACAGAAAAAAAAATAGAAACAAAATGCTTCTGCATAAGTTGTTGCTGTGATGGCTTCAGTTAACACCATGGGAAAGAGATAATGCAAAGTAATATACCAGGAACTGCATTTTCGTTCAGTGGGATTGCAGCTGCGGGATCGTTATCAGCTCTTGCAGCAGGTCGATGAGGTCGAGGTGGTGGTACTGCTGCTCTATGCATACCCTGTGAGAGCCATCGCACAAACGGTGCAAGCGCTCCAGTTTGGTATCTATCATCAAAAAGAGAGATCAGACAAAGATAAACTAGCCTCTAAGAGTGAAAGCAAAACCAGATTTTGGAGGCTTACAAGTAAATTATGGTAGCGAAAATCACAAGAACAGCGAGCCTCTGTCTTGATCCATCTTGGTTGAACAAAAAGATGACAGCAGCAAGCTTGAGTATGAGGAATATGTCGAGCTGAAACGCGATCTCAAATCTCCGTACCACCACTTGCCTTTGATTTGCAGGCTGTTGCTGTTGTTGCCCCTGCCCGGCTTGCGCTTGGTTCTCTCCCCCAGCCTCAGTCTCATTACTTGGTCTAGTTCTACACATTTAAAACCATCAACCCAAAAATAGATTCAATATCAAGTTATAGTCTTCTACATTAAGTCATCTTACACCACCAGTGATTTGATCTAAACAGTGGTTTGGATTCAACTCCCTAGCCCATGAGCAAAAGTAATCAACTTTTTGCACAATTCTTCTCTCTAAATCAATCTACCATTGATATGATTCTTCTCAACGAAAAGGGTAATACACTACTCAAGAGTATCGAAGCTAATCCGTCTAAACCATGGGAAATTCGAAGAAATTACTTACGTGGGAACATTGTAAGTGAGAGGGATAAGATAGTTTGAGGGAAGACCAGCGATATGTCCAGCAAACTGATGTACAGGAACCGCATAAATCCCAGCTCCACGGTTCGTTTGTTCATCGTACTGTCCAGGATTCAACCCGGGAACAAGCGCCGGATAAAAAACCGGGTACATTGGAGAATCACCGTGGGGATAAGCTTGAAACCCGGGATCTTGATCCTGCAAATTGAAACATCCAGAAATTGAATTGAGAGTCAATTCACGATCAAAACGCATGAACCGATTGTGAATTTCAAGGGGTCACAAACCCTGAAATGATCTACAGAACGGAGAAATTACTGTTCATCAATCATCCAAATCAAAAGACGAGATACATCACTGGAATCCAGGAATCAGACGCAAATCAACAATCAATCCATTGTTTTTGAAGATATTTAACGAAGCAAGTCGCAAACCTGAGGCTTGATCCCAGTATCTTCAGGTCCCTTGTCAGAAGAAGTTTGCTGTAACAATGGAGAAGACACCTTCTCGGGTTCTTCCGCCATTCTCAAAGGATATAACTTTTACTCAGAAGCTCCTTTTCTCGCTATGTTCTGAATCCGCCAAATTGTTCTTCGTGCTGAAAGTTTGATTATTTTCGCTTATAGAGAGAGAGAGTTACAGGAGAGAAATTGCTCATTCGTCAACTCATCCAATAAAATGTCGACACGTCACTAATGCTTGTGCATTATTTATTTGTAATTCTAGTAAATTGCACAAGAACTCCTTATCTTTGGAAAAAGCGCAGCTTGCTAGATTATTTGTTTCGTACATACCAATTACCAAACTATCAATTTAAACCGGATTCAATTTTGTTTTCTACTAAATCGAAAAGTCTGATAAATTGAAGATTGGTTTGTTTAACCAGAAGAGTGGGACAGTAAATAAAACTCTCCCATCACTTCCTCAAGGAATTGGGCCTCATTGGGTTATACTATATTTAAACTGGACATAAATAAGGGCTTACTAAGTCGTTGTCTTTTAAGATGCAAGGAAATAATAGTTACCAACAATAATTGAATTCTTTCATACCGTAAAAATCGTTAAAGATAAGCAAAACGTACTGACAATTAGATTCATGGTATGAAACCAATTTTATGGATGGATTTTGTAATTCAATTGTTTTGTATGTGTGGATCACAACAAAAGACTACAAAAACGAGTTTTCTGATTGGTTAAAACCTCACTTGCCTCCCTTATATTTCTTTTTGAAGTTGAAATCCTAATCTCGAAAAAAAAGTTCTTTATCTCTACCATATTAACACAAACATTCAATCAGGAATTCGAAGCAAAACACACAAAATCCCAATAAAAAGATCTAACCTAACTACAACAATGTCTTATGCAACTATCAAATTATTTATTTTGTCTAGAGCTAATGTCTATAGTTTCATGCGGGAGGTTTAGTAGTTTTCTATGTCATTACTGTTTCGGTTATATAAACAAGATATCTAATATGTTCTATTTCTAAAACTAGTAGCATTATAAATTTGATTTTTAACCAAAAATAAAATCATATAGCGAATTAGATCCCTAGTGAATGTATTTATAAAATGAAAAATGAAAAATCAAACCACTGCAAGATGAAAACAGGATTAAACACTAAATTATCCACTACAAATATCACCTCAAACTTAATTTTCATTGCACAAGAGTTGTTCATTCAGAATTTCTCTTCATTTCATCCGAAAATGATGAAACATTTGATACTTGCTGAAAGAAAGTAAGGCAAACCGGTATTCTTATCTGCTTCTCGAGGTCACCTTTTGGATAAGTTTTTTTTGTTTGCTGAACTTTACCTTTTCTATAAGTTAAAATGAATACTCCTCTAGTTTCTTTAAATGAATATTCCTCTATTTTTCCTTAAAAATACTTTGATATCAGATTCGAGCCAACTCGGGGTCATTTAATTGTTAGAGTGATGATTATGTTTGAATCCACTTGTGTTATTTCAATGATAGTTTATATTACTATAATGTTCTAAATGATAAAAAAAATCAATCAATACTAATTCCTCGTCAAACCGCATACATTTCCCCAAAATAATTCCATGTAAAACATTTTAGACCATTTTGAAGTACTGTAAATAGAAAGAAACAAAGTGGAGAAAGCGAATCAATGTAACTCTATATATTGTCGCCACCATATCGAGAGAAGTTAAACGGATACGCGATTCGATGTATAACTATTGAAGGAGAAACGAATAAATCAGGCTCAGAGATGAGAACGCCATCGAGGGTAAAACCTAAAGCTGAATTGTTGGTTACAACGATGGAGTTTCCAGAGAGAAGCGTAGGGAAGCGATGGAAAGGCTTCATGAGGCTTATGTTGTAGAAGTGAAGCAATTGTGGGACGATGTGGTAAGCAGCAACGAGTGGTGACGTGGCGTTGATTCCTTCGACGGAGGTTTTGGGGAGGAAGAGAGTGGAAGTGAGGACTTGACCATTTACTTCGTCGTTCGTGGCGAGGAAAGCTTCGCTCCAATTGTCGAAACTTCCACCGGAGATCATTGCGTCAATGATTTTGATTTCGAGTTTGTTTTGCTCCGCCGCAAGAGAAGGAAGAGAAGTGGAGGATGTAGTGATGATGATGGTGATGAGGAGGAGGACTAGAGGGAGATGTTTGTTGCTTGCCATGGAAGAAAGCAGAATAAACCCTATAATTTGTTTGGGTGGTGATAACGAGAAGATGGGGGTATGCAAATTCTTGGAGAGTTGAAGGCGAAGGGTTACGCTGGCTTTTTTTTTTATGATAGAAAATCATCTGAACTTTTGACGTGACGACTATTGTAGTTGAATCATGCAAGTTAAGCTTTGTAACGTATATAGTCTAGTTGTAGTTGGATAATGCCAAAGCTATTTTAGATTATGTAAAAGAAGAAGTTGTTTGTGCCATGCAAGGAATATCAATACCAAAGAAATATCTTAATACCAAAAACATCTTTGATTACTAAGTAATTTATTTTAGGTTTGATTTAGTAGTATCTCATATTTGTTTATTTGTTCATTAGAACGTGGTTATGTGGATTGGATCTTTATTTGTATCCATAGTAGAAGGCGAACTGAACTTGCATCTACTCAATTCTCATAATGATGCAACCAACGATGAAAGTAAGTAATGAATTGAATATGGCGTTGTTTGGTATTTGCTTTAGGTTCATCATCTTAAAGCAATCGGATTTGGAACAAAGAGGTAAAATAGTCTGGGCCAAGCCTAGTCGTCTCGCTAATTTCAGATTTGGTTTGGTATGGTTTAGCCGTTTAGGGTTACGGAAACTAGCTAATACGATGTTACTTGGGATCGGATTGTAGGAGTAGTTTGAGGTAATAAAGTAGATTTGGTAATGCTTGTGCGACAAGAAACGGCGAAGACGCAACATTGCGTAAGGGAACAACAATAATAAAGCTTGGATGAGCAATGAGTTCTTTGAAAAACGCCGCACAACCGAAAACAAATATGCTTCGTGTCAAACGAGGATAGACCAATGGCACTTTCGACGAAGAACGTCTTATTTAATTGCATGGATCCATGTAAAAAGATAATATTATTTAGTTAGTAATTTGCAAGGTGCTGCCATTCCAAGTCCTGGTTCAGTTGGCATGATCCAATATCCTTTAAAATACTCACTGTGCTTGCACTTTTTTATTTAGTTCATACGAGCTATTATTTAGAAAATAACAGTTTACCAAACAAATTCAGCTGGTACACTAACAGGTTCACAAAAAAATTTAGAAAACTTTCTAATAAAAAAGATAAATTAAGGATCGGCACCATTTGGGCCTGCTAATTAACAAAAATATCCACACTAAAACTTCGGCTGTTTTTTTCTTATTGAGAAACTGATTTTTGCCAACCTTGATGTGCCACCATTAGAAAGTATTTTATGAGGCAAATCCAATCAAGAGAAAGGATTAGTCATGGATTTAAAGAGTAAGTACCAGTCCTTGGTCGCTCTTGTCATACACCACAAGTCCACCGGTTCTCGTAACCTCTTCATAATATCTTCACTCAAGATTTCATCAGGTAGATCCATAATTGTTGTTGTCCTCTTCTCACTCGCCAAGTCTTCTTTTACGCCAACCCATCTTTTCATCTTCGTCTTCTCCTTATTCATATTCACCTCTTTCTTCTTCACCACCTTCGCTTAATTTGTTCTTCTACGTATATATATATGCTGAGCACTCTTTCCCCGAACCCTTTCTTTACATTTTCCTTGCCATATTAATTTAAAGCCCTATTTCCCTTTCGAATATTCCAACTCCTTTTTGTTCCCTTAAAACCCCAAAATCAAAGAACTACCTCCTTTTTGGTTGCTACTCTACCTTTCCAATTAATTGATACATGTTTTATCTTATTTAGATTTTCTTTTCCAAAATTCCTGATATTTTAAAAAAAAAATCCATTTGTTTATTTTTCCTTTTTTTTCGAGATACATGATATTCTTCAATCATGAATCCACTAATTAAGAAGTAGTGACGAAAACAATAAATCTGTACTAGCACCGTTTTATGGTCAATCTTTTAGAGTCAAAGATAGAATAAGTTACTTGGGGTCTAAGTAACCGATGGTCCCAGCGACAATGGTGGAGACTTGACCGCTACCTTCGACCCGGAAGCTTCTAGATAAACCAAAATCAGCTATCTTGGCTTGAAGCTTCTCGTTGAGTAAGATATTCCAGACCTGAATGGATTGGCAATTTTCTCATTCAAATTGCGTAAATTTATTTATAAAAATAGTATCATCTGGATCATGATCAGCGATAACTATATATTGATGATATATATGCCTCTAATCACCGAATAATTAAATGAAATAATCGCGATTATTTCATTTAATTTATTTAAACTCTGCCTCAAAATTTGCTTCCCCTGTTTCGAACCCAATTGGCCATCTTCTTCATCATTTTCTCGCGAGAGAGGAGAGAAGGAGAGATCAAAGAGAAAACGACACGAATCCTCGAGAGGAAAATAAAGTTTGAAAACTGCCAATAGAAGTTTACATGCGTGCATAAACATACGATCAGAAGCTTATATATATCATCAATTGGCAGATGATAAGATAATGATGATAGATATAAGTACTTAAAAAGATAACTATAAAACCAATTATTCCTCCAAAATAAAGTACTTAAAAAGATAACTATAAAACCAATTATTCCTCCAAAATAAAGTACTTAAAAAGATAACTATAAAACCAATAATTCCTCCAAGCAAGAAAAGATAAAAAGTTAAAAAGGACAATTCCACACACAGTTATTTTAATGTCTGATACCATAAGTCTCAACCCACAGCCATGCCAACATTAATAACATACATAAGCAACTAAAAATAAAATGTTCCTATTCATACAAAATATTTACATACCAAAAAGAATTAAAAAAAAAGAGGTTGGAGATTAAGTTTAAAATAATTTCTTTTTATTTTGTACAAAATTGTGATAAAATTTTAAAATTTAACTTTTTAAAGAAGTTTTTTTCTGATACATAAAAAAAACAATTCATTTAAACTTTTTTTATCCTATATCTATAACTTTAACAATTTTTCTATGTTAAATGTTTTTTTTTTAATTTGATCATTTATTAAATGATAAAAAGATGTCATTATGTAATCTACAAAGCCAAATATAATTTATCAAAATTACCAAAAAACTTCCAATATACATAAACATATTCTATTATTTAGGATTAGAATAAAAAAGTACTCAAACATAATAATTAACAAAATGATATTTTGCTTTAAACGAAAGTTTCAAATTTTACTATATATGCACGGCCCTGCCTCAACCGCTGCTGCAACAATGACAGTTTCTTCAGAAATTTCCGATACGATATTGAAACAGCAACAGCTCCACCAGAGGTGTCACCAGCCTTCCATTTTGCCACGTGGCAGTTTGACCTTACCATGTTTTTTCTTTGTCTCCCTGAGGTGTGGGAATCCAGGCCTGAGGTAGTGGAATTTCTTCATCTGGATGTGAACATTATGGTTAAATAACGACAAACAAATAACTTACTATTTCATATATTTGTAAACAACTAAATATCAGTCGAAATTTGTATGTAAATGTGAGACACAGACACAGAAAACGAAATATTGTTTGTGATGGCAATCTACAATAAGTAATGATATTACTCTTTTTATTAAGGTAGAATTTGTGACATAAGTTCATTACTTTCAATTTAGTCATAATATTATAATAAAATGATAACACTTTTATAACTAAATAATTTCATTACAATTTCGTATATAAATCATTATAATATTATTATAAAATAATTCTTTATGTTTTATAAGAATATTTATTTTTATAGTTTATAGTTCAAACTGATTCATTGCACATCAAGACAAATATAGAAGTAAAAATTAGATTTGAAGATAAAGATATAAATTTTGATATTGATTAATTAGTGATAAATCTGAATATTATTTTTCTACATTTTATTATGTCATTTATATTATTTTTAGTTATTATGTGTCACAAAATGATAATAATTATATCACAAAACATAAAAATCAAAATAGTAACTAAGCGTGACGAGATACATACAAAACATTTGTAATTGAGAGTTATTTAAGTTTAGTTACCAAAATTGTATAGTTTAATAACTAAATTTGGTTACAAATCTATAATAATATTTGCGATTATATATTTTGTAACAAATTAGTCATCATTATCGACCAAAAATTTGTTATCTTCGATTTTGTCACAACATTATGACAAAATGGTAACAATTTTATTACCACATAAAATTGAGATAATATAGATTTTATAATAAAGATTCATCTGAACTTTTAACGTGACGACTAATTGTAGTTGAATCATGTAAGTTAGCTTTGTAACGTATATAGACTAGTTGTAGACTTGTAGTTGGATAATGCAAAAGTTATTTAGATGATATTTGCCACCAAAAACTGTTGTAAAAGATTTGAACAGAAGGAAAAAGGATTCTGCTTATCTTTAAAGATCATACATAGTCAGGGAATCAATTCAAACCGTAAAACCTTGAACTTGAAATGAAAGCCAAGAAAACAGAATGTAATTGGAGAGTTTCTTCTTAATCAATCCAATATATCCCCATAAACCTCGCTCTTGGAACCATCTCAAGATTCATCGTAACCATTCTTACTAAGTTTCCATTAGCCATGTACTCGTAGATAAGCGCCATGTGGTTATCTTCGTTGCAGTATCGGATAAGAGATGTCAGCTTTGTGTGATGTACTCTAATCAGAAGCTCAACCTGAGAGAAGAGAGATTAGTTTGGAAACTGAAATTACTTAAAGTTACAAAGCAAGTGGTAAAATATTTTGGGAAAAAAGGTTATGATCTACAAGATCGCCTGCAAGTTTGAAAATGAATAAGAAGTATGATTCTTTTCTGATATCGAAACAAATGACCTGTCAGAGAAACAAATGAAACTGTATAACCAAAAAAAGCTTTTTTCTTGTATAACATTGTTCACCCAGGTGAAAATTTCAAGAAGAGAAAAGCAAAAGAAAATTAAAAATGCTATTGCTCATCTACATTCTGACAGTTATTTGAACAGAGATCATACATTAGAACTAGCGATACAAATGCTAGCTAGTTTCATCAATCACTCATCATACCCAACATCTTGCGTAATTCTACACCAGTCACACAAGATCAAAGCAAAGACATTGGCTCAATCAGCATTTTGCTCTTAACTAGCACTCAGATAGCAAAACTGTTGTACCACTCTGGAACAGATCCTTAGATTAGTCTTATAATTACATTCGCAAATCATCCTTTTGACCTTCTTCTTCGCAGCATCGCGTCGCAAACCTTAGCTGCATCTGCGTTATCTCTAACATTATGAACTCTAATGATATTGGCACCTCCTAAAATCCCTGCAGTAACAGAGGCAACAGTTGCAGCATCTCTGTCAGTGGCCTCAGGACGATCACAGATATCCCCCAAGAATCTCTTCCTTGAAGGTCCTATAAGTATAGGTCCATGAGACACTGCTATGCTTCTCTTAGCCATCTCTTCCCTGAATTTTGGAAGATCCATAACAATATCAAGATTATGATCTACTCTCTTTGAAAACCCAATCCCTGGATCGATCATAACCCTCCAAGCCGGAATCCCCGAGAGCTCTGCATCCCTTACTCGCATGTAAAGCTCAGAGGCAACATCCTTGCAGACATCATCGTACTGCAGATTCTCTTCCTTCTGCATCGTACACGGATCTCCCCTCATGTGCATGGCCATATAAAGAGCCCCAGATTCTGCAACAACCTTATGCATATTCGGGTCTAAGCTCCCCGCAGATACATCGTTTAGAATGTCAGCTCCGTTGCTTACAGCTTCTTTAGCAACCTCGGAGTTGAAAGTATCCACGGATATGAGCTTCTCCTCCATCTCTGGCATACCACGAACAGCTTCTAAAACTGGTAACAGTCTATCTAACTCTTCTTGGCTAGAGATCCTCGAGGCCATTGGTCGTGTGGACTGTGCTCCGATATCGATTATATCAGCACCTTCGGAGATCATCGAACGAACCCGAGAAACAGCAGAATCTACCGACTGAAACTGTCCTCCATCACTAAAGCTGTCAGGTGTAAGATTAAGTATACCCATCACATGAGTTTTGTTTGAAAAATCCCACAGTTTATCTCCTATTGGTAAAACCCTCTGTATACCATCTTGACCAACCAGTGACTCTCCTCCCAGTCTCTCCCACGCTTGGAAGACTCCACCGGGACGTACGGCGAGTGAATGCCAATGAGCAACTGTGTCGTTGTCAACAGCTGATCCAAGCAAATCTACCAAAGGTGCTAACACAAACGACCTTTCCCAGAGTCTCTCGTGTGGTATGATAAGCTTATCAGAACATATCCTCAGCTTCCCGTAGAACAAAATGTCCAAGTCGAGTGGTCTTGGCCCGTACCGTATGCCATCCTTGCGTCCCATGTCTGTCTCGATTGTCTTGAGGACGGTCAAGAGCTCATGAGGTCCAAGCTTGGTGACAGCTCTCACTGCAGCATTGAGAAACCTGGGTTGGTCAGTCACGTGAACAGGAGCTGTTTCGTACAAACAACTGTGCCTTGTCACGCAAATGCCGCTACGCTTCATCAGTCGCAGAGCCTCTCTGAAGTTATACATCCGGTTCCCAATGTTACTCCCCAGGGCAATCACAACTTCATGCTCTGTTGACTGAACTTCGACGGTTGTAGCTGTTGCCGAAGATGAGAAAGCAGAGCTACGTATTGCTGCAGCAACAACAACAGCAAAAACAAACCAAGAAGCAGATCACATATCCTCAGGGAACTTTTCTTAATTTTAAAACCCAAATCATGAGTGGAATCAATCATATCTAGAAACATTCAGCTGAGACTATTGATTTCCAAGAAATCAGGAGGAAATTTTTTTTCAAAGTTCAAATTTTTATATGTGCAGCGAATGGAAGAGGAAGCTGAATATCTTAGTTGCATGTACCTGGAGGACCGAAGAGAGAGAAATATGACGAGCCAAGTGGAGACGCGAGAGAAAGGGACTTCGACGAATAGTTTCGGTGGAAGAAGACGGGACTCGGAGCCACTGCCGAAACCATCACCGGAGGCGGTTCAGAGAAGCGGCGGAGAAGGAATCTTCCGGTGCAGATTAAGGTTTGTGACAATAAACGAGCCATATTTTTGGAGAGAGAAAGGCAATCTAACGATTGTGCCGATGACTGAGGAAGGCGATGCAGACTTCCGACTCGGTTCAGACCCGACCGTATGGGATAACCAAAAAAAACCACGGGAAAAAAACAATAATTTAAAGTAGCGGTTATCGTCGGTTCTTTCGTTCCGACCGAACATAACAGTGGTGAAACCGTGAAAGCTGTCCCAATCGACGGGGATAAAACAAAAACTAACCCAAACCGAATATCATCAGTTTCTTAACCAAAAAACCGAACCAAACCCGGATAAGACCCTTTGATCAAAATATAAGCCCCTCTCTGTTTTTTGTTTCAGCTTCCAAAAAGTCTTTTTCTCGATCCCCAATTCGTGATTAGGGTTAAAAGAGCCATTTTTATATTCTCGTCGCGCAACAAAATCCAGACCGAAGAGGAAGATCGAGATGGCGATGAGGAAGGTTTACAGTGAGATCAAGGGGAAGAAGGTGAGGGAGCTTCCCGGCTATTTCAAATCGACGTTTTCAGTGGAGACGGTGAAGACCTCCGTGAAGAGAGGTCTCGATAACTACAACGACAAATACATCCAGACCAGCTCCGTCGAACCTCTCCTTCACGTCTGCTTCGGAGGCATGGCCTTCTCTTACCTCGTCGCTCTCCCCAACGAGCGTCGCCATCTCGAGCACCAGCAGCACGCTAAGGAGCACGGTGGCCACTGATCTCGAGGATTCGTGTTTTCGATCTCTCGATTAGGTATTTTGCGATTCGATCCTTTCGATTATTCTGTGGCTCTCGGTTTTCCAAATTCGGGGTTTTCGTTTGGTAAATGTATATGATTCTGTCTATTGAGATTTCGTTTTTACATTCTTGGTGATTTGTGATACTGAATCGATTAGATTTCAGAGTCAAATTTGCATATTGTTAAAGAAAATGTTTCAGTGGATTGGTTTTGGGAGAGATTTGGTGTCGATTTTAGATTAGAAAGGATTCATCTTTCGATTCTTATAGGTTGTTTGGTTGCCAATGTATGAGTAGGTGAGTAGCAAAACCTCATGAAAGAGTCAATTTTTCTAGATTTCTCTCATAATTCTCTCTGATTTCATATGTTTAGCCTAATCAATCTAGGCTCTTGGGCAGCTCTAATATCATATCACATTGAGTTTTACTTGTTCTTTGGGAATGGTTGGATTCTATATGTGAAGTGATACTCGATTTGGTTGTAGTTTCATCAAACATCAATGTATGAGTTTCTAATGAATGGTGCTCTTGCTTCTGTTTATGAATGCAGGTGTTGCTGTGAAACCTTTCTGCGATGGTGACGACTCAAGATTGTCTTATTGTTCCTTTTCTTTGAATTTCCTGGATATTGTTGACCAAAAGGAAAACCTTTCTTTTTGAATTGCACTTGATAGAGGCAATAACTGAAGCATGATATTGATGAATAAATAATCTTTTGTTTTTTTTTTTGTGAGAAATCGTGAAGCTGTGGATTCAGCTTCGTGCATCAATATTAAGTGTTTTAAGTTTGATCTATGTGATATCGGTTTATACCTATTTTATTTGAAAAAGATCAGAATTTTTTTCGAACATATTACATTTTTTAGACGAAATCTTGACCTTCCTCTAGCCATTTCCGCTAGCAAGAACTTTTTTTCGAAATTGTGATCAATCAAAGTTTGTTTCTTTGGGGGCTTTTCGGTTTTACAAAATGAATGATGTATTAAACTAAAACCCAATCTGGCACTGATTCGTTTTAGGTCAAACCATTCGACTTCAAATTAAAAGAATTTTTTTAGCATCGATTTTATTCTCAGAACCCAATTAAAACCCGATGGGCCAACCTTTACTTAGCTATAGGCTTTGGCTGGATGCTATCCTATGCAGAATTTCGAGGTTAACATTGTTTATTTTAAAACTTGGAAAACTCATTGCTCAAATGTTGGTTTTGGCATTTATGATATATACGCATTTGTGTAATCATTGAATGTATATAATTAATAATTTTAGTGAAGTTGTTTAATTCTCAAACACGTTGAATCGAAATCACTTTTGGGCGTATTATCACAATATGGTGATATATGTCTTCACGGGAAAGCCAAAGCATCTTTGCCTTTCTCATCATGATGCCATCTACTATTATAAATCACGATACTTCCGTCTTCTTTTATCATCAGCGTCTAGAGATAACTCGAACTTATCAAATTTATTATTAACCTCACATTATATAGAATTAAGTAGACACCTAATCTGAGTAAAAAGAATATGAGTTGCTTTACTATCGGTTAATTCTTATTTCCCTTAATGAAACAGTTTATGGACTTTATCAGAATCACTATCATCCTATAAAAAATGGAATGCGGTTCAAATGAATGTTTTACAGCTTCACCTGCAGTCCTACCATTAGGCATTAGTTATGTCCAAGCCAATGATACTTCATACGTGAAGCTGTAAGTTTTAATACATATAAATAAATTTGTGCGTATATATATAGATGAAATAAATACTAAATTTAATAGCATTTTTGTGGTTACACCTAATTTATATAGATTAATAAATGTTATATAGACTCACGAAAAGTAAGTTGTCACGATTTCGCACATATCCAATTTATTCTGTCCTTTTTGACCGAAAGGCAACTCAAAGTTTCTTTAGTAAAAATCATCAACAACAAGGATCTCCATAATCGAAGGGAAAGACAAAAATAAAATAATGGAGTTCCTATTGCAAGAAAAAAGTTCTGAATAGTTTGATATTTGACAGCGCCAACAGATGCTGTAATAACCATGTTTTGTGTATTCAGTAGGACTCGTTTATATATCGTACGTTACTTTTCATATTAATCGACATATTACACATGCACATGCAAAAAACCAAACACATCATTAATCTGTTAATCATTATTTATTTATAAAATTATGAGTGATACATACGATTGATTTTGTAAAAAAGAAAATGGTGTCTACAATGGATTCAACCCATGTTACGATAGATGGACAAACAAAATAATCAGTTGAACTTTAATTTTCTTTACCACTTAAAACGTCTATAATAGTATTTTTTGCTTGTTTTATCTATAATATGACCATATGTTGTAGTATGTTAACTATTGTCGTAGAAATAAGATTGAGATATTAGTGCGACATGTTATATCTCTATTAACTTGCTACTGCCGGTGAAAAATTCATAGCATGTTCGGCTTATAGTGTGGTTCTTGAAAGATGCATAAAACTCTTCATATGTTGACAAGAAAAGGATTAGACCAATAAACATTAAATAGTTAATAATCAAATAATGTGGCAAGTTTTTATTTGGGTGGTGTAAGATGGAATCAAGTTTTTGGACAAGAAGAAAGGTCACATGACACATGATGTGTTTCGACTAAACGACACATCTCCTGGGAACAATCCTTCACATGTGCCTTTGGATGTTAACTTTATACGACCACATATACCTCCAATTACTTAACTATATTACAAATATCTTCACATTCTCAAATAAATGCTAACAACTTTTTGATAATATAAGTTTCTAAAAATATTTATCCAAATTCTCAGTTGAATAATGGAGAGTATGTTGAATGAAGAAATTGTATGTGCAATAACATGGGACTTTAGAAAATAATTAAAAAAATCCCATTGCAAACAAAAATAGTTTTTAGAAAAATAGTAAAATACCAAGGTTTTTTCAAATCTATATTCCAAGAACCACCTAAGTTTATTATCTTACAAACATATGTTTTTCTCTCGATTCTTCATAATTATATCAACGTACTATAGTATTTCTTATGGAGTAAAATCTTCTCTGTAATCCAAAAAAGAAACACAATCAAGTGCTATTAACTGTTTTTCATAATGCTTTTGGTGGAAAACCGCGTTTTATGATTGAAACATGAATTCTAATCAAACATCATTAACATTACTTTATGTCTCTCTAGATTACGAATTTGATATATTTAACTTTTTCTAGTTTTCTACTTTTCTTTTTACCTTTCATCAATTAATAAGTCAAACCATCTTTTTCTCTCCCTCCTTGGACTTTTCTTAAATGTAATATGCATTGTTCCGAGGGTAGTATTGTAAATATAACCAGCACTTGTATTCTCGCGCGCCAATGGTGTCTCTCTCCTTCTTCCTACCTTCTGACATCTCATAATAACAAATGCACAACAGCTATGAATTGAGAGAGATTTACTGAAATAGTCAAATAACATATCAAATTATTGATCTTTTTATTTTACATTTCACTTACTATAGAAGATACCAACAACATGAAAACTAAATTATAGAATACTTTTATTTAATTTTCTTGATTATTAATCAACATTCAAATTTTAAACAACCTCGTATGTTGTGGTAAATTCATACTACTACTATATGCTACATGTATTGCTTAATTTCATAAGCAGCGTCACTAAGATTATATTAAAAACATAAATAATCTTTAAAAAGGTACAAATGTGAAAGTCTCTCTCCATTATCCATGGTTCCTTGTCTGCTTGCCATTGAAAATAATTACGAAAAATAAACTAAACCCTAAATCTCCTATTTCACACCATCCACACACACACTCTCTCTCCTTCTCTCACTAAAAGCACACTTAAGCCTTCTCACTTACATTTTCCCTTCTTTTAGACCTTTTTTTTTGCAAGATCTCCATTCTCCAGAAGAAGAAAAAAGTAACAAAAATATAAAATCAGAACCAAAGTCTCTCTTTTATCAATATTTCTCAGTTTGTCATCTGTCTGCGCATTTGATTTATGTAGTGACTAAATTTGGAATCTTGGGTCGTTCGCATTTCGGTTTGATTTTAACCGTGAAATCTCATCGTCTCGTCTCAAATTTGCTCCACTGTCCTGCTTGATTCGTTTCGTGTGAATCGGGGTAAGTTCTTAAATTTTGTCTCTTTTTGCCTTTTTTTTCCGCTTTATTCTATTCGAGTTTCAAGTTAAGAGGATCCCTCTTTTGTATCACGATAGATTGTTTTTGGATTTTTGTTTGGCTTTCTGGGTTTGTTATTGCTTATTCCTTGCTTGGATGATTTGCGAAAGTGGGTTAATTTTTAATTTGTTTTTCCCTCTTTCTTCTTCTGTGTTTTCCCACTGATTGATTAGCAACAGTTGCTTTGCTTGCTACTGTAGTTACTGTATCGTCTTCAAACTTTACATAAATGGAGTTGTGGCTTTCTTTATTGGTTGATTTGTTTAGGTAGATTTGTATAGCAAAGTTGGGTTTTACTAGTCTACAGTAAGTATCTGTCTTTCAAGTGGATTGATTTGAGCTATCCACAAGTCTTTATCTTGGAGTTAATTGAGAGTGGGCTTTGCTTCATGTGCTTGGTTCCTCAGAAATTTAATACAATCAGCTAGAAATTTGAATCTCTGTCTCTGTCAGATTTGAAAAGTTTTTGTCTTTTATCACTGTGAAAGAGAGCAAAACCATTTCCTAAGCTCTTCTGAGAAGTGTGTGAGATTCACTGAAGAGTGTTATCTTTGTGATTTAAAAACAAGTCTGATTATGTGATGAAGTGATTGTTGCCGTTGAATAGATATTAGTTGTTTTTCAGTGATGCTTATGCTTTTCATTGGATTTTTGCTACTGCAGATTAGTCTATAGCAAAACTTGAGCTGGAGCTTCTTTGGTGAGAAGCAAGATGGATATGGGTTGTAAAGTTCTAGTCTTTTTCGGGCTTTTCTTCACTGTGACAGCAGAGATTTACATTGTGACTATGGAAGGAGATCCAATCATAAGTTACAGAGGCGGTGATAATGGGTTTGAAGCAACAGCTGTGGAATCTGATGAGAAGATTGATACGACGAGGTACCCTGTGTTTTCTCTTCTTCAACTACAATCTTACTAAAATCTGAGTTACCAAAGGCTTTATTCAGTTTGATCATTACCACATAGAGCAGAGAGGAATGATTGGCTTTTGCTAGTATGATTTGGTGATTACTTCAACATCATTAGCTTTGATTAGGCCTATCGTTGATGTGTATCACATTAGATTAACAACGTGTTACCTTTATTCCTTTTTGTTGGCAGTGAACTGGTGACATCATACGCCCGTCACCTTGAGAGGAAACATGATATGATTCTTGGAATGCTCTTTGAGGAAGGATCATACAAGAAGCTTTACAGCTACAAACACCTTATCAATGGTTTTGCAGTTCATGTTTCCCCTGATCAGGTGAAATCCGATTCAAGACAGTTCTCTACAGAATTTCATTCTCAGTGTTGATTTCTTAGTCCCTTACACTATTCCGCTATATTAGTAGGCGGAAATGCTTCGTCGTGCGCCTGGTGTGAAGTCTGTGAGCAGAGATTGGAAAGTGAGGAAGCTCACAACACACACACCACAGTTTCTTGGATTACCAACTGATGTTTGGCCAACCGGTGGTGGTTACGATAGAGCAGGAGAAGACATTGTCATTGGCTTTATCGACTCTGGGATTTTTCCGCATCACCCAAGTTTTGCATCTCACCACACAGCAGTGCCTTATGGCCCTCATCCTAGTTACAAAGGGAAATGTGAAGATGATCCTCATACTAAGATTAGCTTCTGCAACGGGAAGATCATAGGAGCGCAGCATTTCGCTGAAGCTGCTAAAGCAGCTGGTGCATTTAACCCGGATGTTGACTTTGCTTCACCAATGGATGGTGATGGACATGGAAGGTTCGTCTTGTTGGTTTTCTAAATTGTGATTAGTTCATACTCAGATTTATCTCACACTTGTCAGAATTGTTTTGTTTAGTAATGCTTTGTTTGTTCTGATTGAAATAATTTGCCTTTCAGTCATACAGCAGCCATTGCAGCTGGGAATAATGGCATTCCGGTGAGGATGCACGGATATGAATTTGGAAAAGCGAGCGGGATGGCTCCTCGTGCTAGGTTAAATAGATAATCTTCAACTGGTGGCTTTAAAGAAATCCCCTTTTTGCATGTCTGTAAAAGCTAAATGCTATATTGTTTCAGGATTGCTGTTTACAAGTCTCTCTATCGGCTTTTCGGAGGCTTTGTAGCTGATGTGGTTGCTGCCATTGATCAGGTAAGCTAGAACTTAACACAATACTAAGCTTTGTCAATTAACAAAAGACAATATGATGAACTAATTTGACATTGGTCAAGAAGCTTCTGCAAATTTCATTATCTAAACCATAGTATGGCTTGTGAGTAGGCTGTTCATGATGGAGTTGATATATTGAGCCTCTCGGTTGGTCCAAACAGTCCTCCAGCTACTACAAAGACAACGTTCTTGAATCCGTTCGATGCTACACTTCTTGGGGCTGTAAAAGCTGGTGTTTTTGTTGCTCAAGCTGCTGGAAACGGAGGTCCCTTTCCGAAAACTCTGGTTTCATACAGCCCTTGGATTACCACTGTGGCTGCTGCAATTGATGATCGCAGATACAAAAACCATCTGACCCTTGGAAATGGAAAAATGCTTGCCGGAATAGGATTATCCCGTAAGTTTCTCCTTTCTCTGTTCAAAATTCATATAGAGCCACACAACAGTAACTTATTCTGAGTAGTATTATTGGTATCTTGATGAAATCATTATGTGTGTTGTGCAGCTTCTACTCGACCTCATCGTTCGTACAAGATGGTCTCTGCAAATGATGTCCTGCTTGATTCTTCTGGTACAAAATTCAATCCGTCGGATTGCCAGAAGCCAGAAGTCTTGAACAGAAAGTTGGTTGAAGGAAACATTTTGCTTTGTGGATATTCTTTCAACTTTGTCGCTGGTTCAGCTTCCATCAAGAAAGTTGCTGAAACTGCCAAGCATCTAGGAGCTGCTGGTTTCGTTCTCGTTGTCGAAAATGTTTCTCCGGGAACAAAGTTCGACCCTGTCCCTTCTTGCATTCCAGGAATTCTGATTACAGACGTTTCTAAGTCAATGGTAATACAGTTTTCGATTCCTTCACTAAACAGAAAGTCACACTCCCTCATCCTTCCTCAACGTGAAATGTAATTTTCTCTTCCTCAGGATTTGATTGATTACTACAATGTCACGACGTCAAGAGATTGGATGGGAAGGGTAAAGAGCTTCAAAGCCGAAGGAAGCATCGGAGACGGCTTGGAACCCATTCTTCACAAATCTGCACCTGAAGTGGCTCTGTTCTCAGCTCGAGGACCCAACACCAAAGATTTCAGCTTTCAGGATGCTGATCTCCTCAAACCAGATATTCTTGCTCCAGGCTCTCTAATATGGTCTGCTTGGTCTGAAAATGGAACAGACGAGGCTAACTATGTCGGTAAGCATTTCCTCAAAATCTTTTAAGAATTATCCATAACTACTCATCTAGAGCAAGAAACTAAATGTTTAGTGTTCTCTCGACTGTTGAGCAGGCGAAGGATTTGCACTAATATCTGGCACAAGCATGGCTGCACCACACATTGCTGGTATAGCTGCTCTGGTGAAACAGAAGCATCCTCAATGGAGTCCAGCTGCAATCAAATCAGCTTTGATGACTACTTCAACAGTCATAGATAGAGCAGGAAGGCCTCTCCAAGCTCAACAATATTCTGAAACAGAGACAGTGACGCTTGTTAAAGCAACTCCGTTTGATTATGGAAGTGGTCATGTCAACCCAAGCGCTGCTTTAGACCCTGGTCTCATCTTTGACGCAGGTAACTTTGTCTTTTACTCAAATGACATAAGCGTTCGTTTCTAATGATTGATTGGGGTTTCTTGTTAGGTTATGAGGACTATTTAGGTTTCTTGTGCACAACGCCTGGTATCGATGCTCATGAGATAAAGAACTTCACAAACACTCCCTGCAATTTCAAAATGGGACATCCTTCAAACTTCAACTCACCATCCATAGCCATCTCTCATCTCGTGAGAACACAGACCGTAACGAGAAGAGTGACGAATGTTGGAGAAGAGGAAGAAACATACACAATCACATCGAGAATGGAGCCATCCATCGCCATCGAAGTGAGTCCTCCTGCGATGACACTTAGAGCGGGCGCTTCGAGAAACTTCTCGGTGACTCTGACAGTGAGATCGGTGACTGGAGTTTATAGCTTCGGAGAGGTTACATTGAAAGGAAGCCGAGGGCATAAAGTGAGTATCCCGGTGGTTGCGATGGGACAAAGGAGATGAAGTAATAGTATGAGATGTTGTAATATTATTATTGTTGTTTTTGTAATACGCAGTAATAATGAAAAGGTAGTTTTGTCTTGAGTAAAAAGGAATAATGCAGTTTGTATAATTAGTTTTTTTTTTGTTGGTTGGTTTGTTTTTAAGAAACTTCATTTCAGGAGATGATAGTAATATGATTATATGATACATGCATTAGCTCTGTTACCTACTGAGCTTTATCGTTCTGTCCCAAGTAAAAATATCAATTTAAAAGAAATTGTCCCTACAATTTTTGAGATATTGAATGAAGCCATGCACAATCACATATGGCCTCGAAAATCATATTTTCTTAGGAGTTACAAAAATAAAATAAAATCTCATAGCTTTAGCTCTGTTATTCCTGTAAACTACCAATCTTTCTAGTTTTGTCCTAAAGATAAATTTAGAAGTGAAACTTTCTTTGCATGATTCGAACTCTTCTTCTGTTTTAATTGGTTTTCATAACCTTGACTCATGTATAATGTATAGATTAAAATTTTATAATGGATCTTGCGCAAAAAGAAAACCAAAAAAATCTGTTCAAAACATTGAGATATTTAAGAATCAAGAAGTTCACAATCAGTCCTCTGGAAATAAACGTTCATGTTTCGAAGATCATAACCAACATTATAGTTCTGCTGGGCCATGGCACCAATAACACTCATATCATCGAACGTGTTCATAGTCATAGCCAAGCAAAACCTATCTCCACTTTCACTGCTAACAAACAAACTCTCAATGTCTAATGCCAGCTCAGCACCGCCGGCGAAATGTAACGTGACAACGGGGAATCCGAAGAGATCAAGTTTCATATTCCCTTCATAGCAAGGATTCGTGTACTGCTCCCAATCTTGAACGCGTCTGAGAACTTCTCCTAGAAGCAAATCGATTTCTTCAGAGAGCGTTTCGTAAGCTTCCCTGGCTAGAATCGTCTGCGAGCAACCGGTGTCGATGACCGTACCTCCTTGGGACCCATATCTCTTGAAAACATAAGCTTCGATATCGAGAAGTTTCTCTCCCAAGGAGATTGCTTGTAGGTCAAGGTAGTACCGGTCTTTGAATATATGTAAAGGGGTTGGATCGCCTTCCGTTCTGGCGCCGTCTCCAAGGATGAGAATGTTGTGAGGGTAAGTGAGATCGTTCAAGCTGCCGAAGCAGTAAGAGAACTTAGAGCCGAAATTGCGGGTAACTATGGAGAATTTACCGGGTCCTAAACCGAGCACGCCGCTGTATTGAGTGAAACCGGAGTTGTCTTGTCCGCAGCCGAAAACAATGTCCGGTTTAGAGATCAGACCGTCGTCGGATGTCTGAAAAAGGAGATTTTCCTTGCCTAAAACGCCTCCTGTGCTCGAATAGTCGCGGTAACGGAGATAGTATTGACAAGTTCCGGTCTTTTCATCGCGCAAGATTCGAGGCATGGCGTGTGGTGCGGATTCGCAGGAGGCGTTACGGTAAGTGGAAGATCTTGAAGGGTGGAAAAAAGGAATTGTTTGAGGGTAACATTTGCAAGGAAGACATTGGATCCAAGTTAGGTCACTACCTGTGTCTATGAGTAGGAGCTGAGGGACTGGTGGGTTTCCGATAGAGATGTTCGCGAGGAATGCTGCTGGACTTTGAATAGGAGTGACATGTGAAACGATATCCACTTTGTCCGTGGTCCACAAGTTACCTAGACGAGACGATGGGGTTGGTTTGGGATGCACGTAACCATTTTTGATTGATTTTGTGTGTAATAGCCTTAGCGTAAGTGGGGCATGCGATGTGCGTCGCTCTGAGCATGTGAGAGCGATTAGAGAAATAAGAAGGGCGGTACCAATAAGCAGTGTTAGAGAGATGGCCATTTGATAATCAAAAATATGTGGTTGTTCTTACGATCTTTTTAACATGAGTCTAAAAATACTGTACAATATGGCATTGGCTCTTTGTGTGAACTTCTTTTTCGTACGGAAAGAGTTATTTTCTTTGCATGTTTCATTGATTTTACCAAGTACCAACATAACTTCAATTCAAACCAATCTGATCATACTTTAGAAAAAAGATTACGATCAATCATGGATCTGGCGTGTGGGCTCAAATATTTTTTCAACAAAAAGAGGAAGACGATCATGGATTTTACTTCATTTTTGTTTTGAAATTAACCAATATTTCATTAAAGATGGTTTAGTAGTAGTCTAACATGGTGAGACTGATATACTGTGAGACCTTTTTTTACTTTCAACTAGTACACAAAAGATTGTTAGTTGTTAAGTTTCATTGTTTCCGTCTGGTCATTTAAAAGAAGATTAGTTGCAGATTAGGTTTTCTATTTGGTTTTGCGCAAATAAAGATTGTTACAAAAGAATAACAATTACAAAGGTATGTGGCTTCTTCATTTGAGCCTGAACGTTTTGGGCCATCACCTGCATTTCACAAAACAATATGAGAAAAAAAAAATACAACTACCATAATATAACACATGATCGTAGTATTACTGTATAACAGCAGCAAAAAAAATGAAGTACAAAGCAAGTACAAAAAAATTTAAAAACATATTAGGTCATCACCATCGATGATTTTTTGATCATATCTAACTATTAAAAAATATAAAATAATGTTAAATGATGATTTCTTTACCTCTTGTGAAATCTTACATCATAATTCTTTTAACTATGACATAAAATTTTGTCCGTAACGCGAATGATAAACTAAATTATATATATCTTAGTTAAGGGTGATTTAAAGGAGGTGAGGTGCATGTAATGCATGGACTCAAGACAACATTGATCATTTGTTTGAACTTGAACAATATAATAATAATAATGTGTACATTGTGTATGGCTGGCTAAGATCACATGGAAATTTATGTCAAGTTGCTCAATCTTCATATAATGTTTCTTTTAAAATAATGTATAATGGGAGTTTACATTTGAATCGGTCTGGCAGAGAAGGTTCCTCCAAATTGATGAACTTAAAATAACAAAATTATTATGATCCCAAGTGGATGAATTATGCCTACCATTTGTATATCTATTGGAGTTATCAATTGGATCTCTTATGCAAGTCAGAACTAATTTTCAAACCAAAACGTCTTATGAATTTTAACCCAAGAAAAATAAAGTCTTATATGAGACTTTGAAATTGTCAAATAATGTGCTAATAAAAAGTAGATCCTTAATCACGATCGCTAGGACCGAACACACCAAACCAAATCCTACGCGCATTCTTTGACTGGGACCAAATTGGCCAACGACTCGAGACTTCGCTAAGCTATAATAATAAAGTAAACCAAAGGGTAAAATCGACCTTTCGTTCTCAGATTCAACGGACCCTATTTACATAATACATATATATCCAAATAGCTCGAAGGTAGGCCCATGACATTGCATGGTATGCGAAAGTAATAAACGTGCGAGTGGTAGATGCAAATTTTTAACACTCATTATAAATTAAAATTTTATGCATTGTTATTTTTAAACCGTTGTTAATTACTGCACCTTGTATTTATTAACCACTAAAACTTCAATTGCCAATTAAATATTAGCCAGCCAGCCACAATCGTCCAAAAAAATCATGTAAAAGACAAGCGCTCTCATTTGGCCAGTAGCAAAATTACACGTCATAAGGGTAATAATAATGCGATTATTTCATTTTTTATTTTCTTCCGCCAATGCATTTTTCTCCTTTGATGTATCTCTGCCTCAAAATTTGCTTCCCCTGTTTCGAACCCAATTGGCCATCTTCTTCTTCTTCTTCATCGTTTTCTCTGTAGCTCTTTCACAGGCATTTCTTCATTTCATAGCGAGAGAGAGAGAGAGAGAAGGAGAGATCAAAGAGAAAACGAAACGAATCCGTGAGATGAAAATAAGAGAAGTAAAGTTTGAAAACTGCCAATAGAAGTTTTACATGCGTGCATAAAACATACGATCAAGAGCATATTATCCGTTTCATTTGCGTACCTAAGCTCTCGAGCGTTTGAATTTCCTGAGATCAGGAGACGGACGAGAGCAATAGAAATCTAGCAAATCAAGGCGGGAGACTCTTGTGTCGTTTGACTGGATCTGGTTTCCCTTTGAAATCTCAGGTTCTATTCTTCACATTGCCTCTCGTTGATGCGTGTAATGCGTTTGGGTGTCATGGGGCTCGATTTCGATTTTGGATTTTTTTTTTTTTTCGTTTTCTTTTGTTTGGGCGATGCGATTAGCTAAGAATGGATCGGAATGTGCTTCCGATATGTAAGTGAACAAATTTAGTTCCTGATTTCGTCTGATTGCCCTAATGTTTTCCGGAAATTCTGATGATTTTCCGGGAAAATGGTTAATTTATCTCGTGAATCGTTCGTTGACTGACTGGAGTAATTGCGTCCACAACAGTGAGCGTTTCGTTTGAATTGATTTTAGGAACTTGTGAGGCTGGTTTGACTTTCCTGGGTTTCGTGGATAGCTAGAACTTGGGTTGTTGGAATTGAAAACTTCTATTTTGGATTGAATATTCATTTTTTGTTTCTACTTCTGTAACTTTTCCAGGTTTTGACTGATTCTAATCAACAAGAGGAACACTTTGATTATATATCAAAAGTTAGCTTCGTTCATCTTAGATTAGGCAGTTTGGTGTTGTGGCTCTGCAAAAAGAAGAAAAGGTTTTGATGAGATGAAAGGAGCTAAAAGGTGGAGTCTAGGCAACCTAAGGGATACGGCGTCGTCTTTGCCTGGAGCTCGCTACCGTGCGCCTACAAGAAGACGAGCATGGATCATCATGGCGCTCTCGCTGATCACCATCTTTGCCGTTGTCGCTTACATGTACCCTCATCACAGTAAACGCGCTTGTTACATGATCTCGTCAAGAGGATGCAAGGCTTTAGCTGATTGGCTTCCACCTTCTCTGAGGGAACTCTCAGATGATGAGATTGCAGCTCGCGTCGTGGTTAATGAAATACTGAGTAACCCTCCTGTCATCAGAAAGGACTCCAAAATCGCATTCATGTTCTTGACTCCCGGTACATTGCCTTTCGAGAGGCTGTGGGATAGATTTTTCCAGGTGAAATTTCAGAAACTGTGTCATGTCACTTGAATAGGCTTTATGGAACATGGTTTGTTCTTGAACTTGATTCATTTGGCTGATGGTTTAAGAATTTCGTTCTTACTCACAGGGACATGAAGGGAAGTTCTCTGTTTATATCCATGCATCAAAGGAAAGGCCAGTTCACTACAGTCGTTACTTTGTCAACCGTGAAATTCGCAGTGATGAGGTTTGTCTAATTTTTTTTAATCCATTGTTGACTTTATAATCTCTTATTAGTACATGAAAATGAATGTGTACTTTTATCTGCAGGTGGTGTGGGGAAGAATATCAATGGTTGACGCAGAGAGACGGTTGCTAGCTAATGCTCTTAGAGACCCTTCAAACCAGCAGTTTGCTTTACTCTCTGATAGGTGATTTCTTGATTTCCTGCAACACTTATCATTGATCACTCTTAAGGTTTGCTTAACACTTTTTATTTGAGTGTTTCTGGTTTTGCAGCTGTGTACCACTTCGAAGTTTTGAATACATTTACAATTACCTCATGTACAGTAACGTCAGCTATGTTGACTGGTAAGAAGCCATGTTTCATCAGATTTGGCAAATTTCACCTTTCACTATTCTTCCCAACTTCTTTATCCTTTATATGTTCTGTTTGTCAGTTTTGACGATCCAGGTCAACATGGATCAGGCAGGCATATGAACCACATGTTGCCAGAAATTCAAAAGAAGGATTTTCGAAAGGGTGCACAGGTAAGGACTTCATATAAAGAACTGGTTCTGTTTCTGTGCTGGTATCTGTTAACATGTCACTAGTAGATCCTTTAGGACTAATACATATATGTCTGCAAAAATCGTGCATTCAGACCCGTTACTATTCCTTGTTAGTGATGAATTGTTGCTACGGTGCAGTGGTTCACCATGAAGCGTCAACACGCTGTAGCAACTATGGCAGACAGTCTTTACTACTCTAAATTCCGGGATTACTGTGGGGTGAGTGTCTCTGCTAAAGTCCCCAAAAATAGTTTTATTTCTTGTAACCTTACTTTCATTTGAAAAAATGACCACTCATTAAATCAGAAAGCTTGCATTTGGTTTTCTTCAGCCAGGTATAGAGAACAACAAGAACTGTATAGCTGATGAACACTATCTGCCAACATTCTTTTACGTAAGAACTCGTTTCTACTCAAAAAGAAAAATGATAGTCTTCTCCTACTTCCTCTTCATCTCTTATATATTTCGGTTGCAGATGCTCGATCCTAATGGCATTTCTAACTGGACTGTAACACAAGTTGATTGGTCTGAGAGAAAATGGCATCCCAAAACATATATGCCTGAGGACATCACACACGAGTTACTAAACAACCTCACGGTATAACCAAAAATTTTTGCATCAGTTTCTTCCTTGGCTTTGATTAAGTAAAGTAAACCAAATATTAATTTTTTTTTTATTTGTTTATCCATCTGCAGTCTGCTGACACAGTCGTGCATGTCACAAGTGTTGGAATGGTACGAGTTTGCAAAAACAGCTTTTTTCTAATCGTAGTTCAGCTGTGAGTATTCTTACATATGATTTTAAACAAAACAAATACCTTTTGCTTATGGTTAACACAGGGTGAAGAAATATGGATGCCTTGTATGTGGAACGGAATCAAAAGACCTTGCTACTTGTTTGGAAGGAAATTTCACCCGGATACGCTTGATCAACTGTTGAATCTCTTCTCAAATTACACAAGATCGGTCTCTTGGCATTTGTGATTAAAAGGGTATTATTTCTTCTATATACACACACACTCAGATTCTTTGACCAACGTTCGATTCCTCATCCACATGAATCAAAATCACCTTTGAAGAGTTTTTTTTAGAAAGATCCTTAGAAGCTGTAACAAGACTACAAGTCTAGAAGCTTAAGAAGGTATGAGATTTTTTTTTCTCAATCTATGCTTCATTTGGCTGGAGGGAGACCGTTGGTTTTACTTTTTGTTTCTCTACTCTGTTTCATTCTTTGGCTATATCTCATTGTTACTTTACTGTTGTGAACAAAAAATAGAATTTTCGGTTGTTTATTTTTTACTCTTTTAGATCGATATTTGTTTTTGTTCAGAAATGATGAAGAACTAAACTTATACAGGTTTATAGATATATATGTTCTTTGGCTTTGACCTCAAACATCATAAAGATCTCTTCCCCACACCACCTGCAGATAAAAGTACACATTCATTTTCATGTAAATAGTTAGAGATTATAAAGTCTACAACGAAAGGATGCATTAGACAAGTATAAAAAAAATATTAGACAAACCTCATCACTGCATATTAGATCGATTTGGCAGCTATAAAATATAATTCATCGACTTGGATCATAATTTTGTTATTTTTATGCCAGTCCGATTCTAATGTAAACTCCAATTATATATTATATTAAAAGAAACATTATATGAAAATTTGAGCAACTTGACATAAATTTTCATGTGATCGTAGCCAGCTATGCACGATGTCCACATTATTATATACTTTATATTGTTCAAGTTCAAACAAATGATCAATATGTTGTCCGAGTCCATGCATTACATGCACCTCAATTGTTATGTTCTTTTGATTCATTCGATATATTAAACTGACAATTTAAAATATTGTGTATGATCCGTGATCACAATAAAGAAACCATTTCTCCAAAACACTTACTATTAGTGTGCTAGCATTGTTAGATTTTTTTTAATGATTATCTTTTACAATGGTGACATATTTAAGACTTAGTATGTTAGAAATCATAAACCAATCTAAAAAGGAATGAATTTATAAATTTATGTGGAATAGAAAAATATAGAATAGAATGAAAATTACATTCTTTCCATTCCTTGGCATTTTTGAAGTGGAATAAGTTTTCAAAAAGATTTCATTTTTTCATTGTAGAATGAATAGAACAAATGAAATGATTTTTCATTTTCTTTCCTGTGTGGAATTTCTTGAAATTCTCAATTCCACATGAATTCATTCCTAAAAATTACAATCCAGTTACTGCCCTAATTATACATTGAGTCAGATTGGATAGGTTTGGATCACGCCAATTTAGGAAAATCTTTCACTGATCGAATCCTTCAGTCAGTGGCAGACCCATGTGTCAACTTGGTGGGTCAGCTGACCTACCCAAAATTTTTAAATTTTTTTTTTTTAGCTCATTTATATAAAAAGTAGCCCATGTAGATAGAAGTTATTGTTAATGTTTCTTTTCATTAAATTAGAAACAAATTAACAAATCTAACCTAATTATTAATCATTCACAATCGTCATCTCTTCTCTTCCATTACTGATCTGCTTCCAAAATTCAGAGTTCAAAATTCATTCACATTATCAAGTAAGTCATTCATAATTATTGTTTATTTTTCTTTATAACATAGTTAGCAATAATTAATAATTTTATGGTTTTTATTTTAGGTAAAAAAGTAATAGACAAGTTTCTGAAAAGAAAAACTCCAGAACCATCTAGTGGTTCAGATGATTTACCATGGGATCCTGCAGACCGGAAAAAAATCACAGATTATCATCATAATCAAAAAGATGAGGTAATTCACAAATACTTGATTAGAGGTCCTTGTCAACCCAGATGTCATGTTTTTGAACAAAAAATGATAGGAAACACATTGAGGCGATTTAATCCCGCCTGGTTTGATCAGTATTCTGATTGGTTAGAGTATAGTGTGAAGAAAGAAAAAGCTTTTTACTTGTTCTGTTACTTATTTAGAGATACTGCTGGGAAAAGCGTAAAAAGCGATGCATTTATCACTGAAAGATTTTCTAGCTGGAATAGGTTTAGAAAGTCTTTTTCAGAACATGTGGGAGCTGTTAATAGCTTTCATAACACTGCAGCTATGAAGTACGAAAATTTGATGAAACAAAGTCAGTCTATTGGGCATGCTTTGCATAGACAAGATGATATTATGAAAAATGAGTATCGGATTCGACTAAATGCTTCAGTTGATGCTTCTAGATACTTACTGCGACAAGGATTACCTTTCCGTGGTCATGATGAAGGAGAAACATCTGCTAATAGAGGAAATTTTGTGGAGCTATTGAAATACACTGCTGAGCAAAATAAAGTTGTGAGTAAGGTTGTTTTAGAAAATGCTCCCGAAAATAATCAGATGGCGTCTTCGAAGATCCAGAAAGATATTGTGCATTGTTTTGCAGAAGAGCTAGTCAAACATATTATTAAAGATATTGATCATGATGTTTTTGGTTTGCTGGTAGATGAATCAGCAGATATTTCTGATAAAGAGCAGATGGCAGTAGTGTTTCGATTTGTCGATAAGAAGGGGATAGTCAAAGATCGATTCATAAGTGTTATGCATGTGAGCGAGACATCTTCAGCTACTTTGAAATCTGCTATTGATTGTTTATTTGCTAAGTTTGGATTAAGCATGAAAAAGCTGAGAGGACAAGGCTATGATGGGGCAAGTAATATGAAAGGAGAATTTAATGGGCTAAGAGCGTTAATCTCCAAGGAAAGCACATCAGCATATTATATCCATTGTTTTGCTCATCAGCTTCAATTGGTTGTTGTGGCAGTTGCCAAAAAACACTTTGATGTTGGAGACTTTTTTGATATGATTTCTCTATTACTGAATGTGGTGGGAGCTTCGTGTAAGAGGAAAGATATGCTTCGAGAGAGTCATAAAGAAACTATTGAAAAGGGAGTTGATGATGGTGAAATCAGTACTGGAAAAGGATTAAATCAAGAGGTTTCTCTTCAAAGACCAGGAAACACTCGTTGGAGATCTCACTATAAAACTCTGTTGCGTTTGGTTGAGATGTTTTCTTCTATTATCACAGTACTTAAGTGTGTTGAGAATGAAGGGGTAGAAGATTTAAAAAGACGTCAAGCACATGGTCTTCTCAGATACTTTCATAGCTTTGATTTTGTGTTTTATTTGCAGTTGATGCTACACCTTTTAGGACTCACTGATTGTTTATCCATGGCTCTGCAAAAAAGAGATCAAGAAATCTTGAATGCTATGTCATTGGTGAAATCAACTAAGAGACAACTGTAGAAGTTTAGGGATGATGGATGGGATTCTCTCATGGTTAAAGTTTCTTCTTTCTGCGAGAAACATGAGATTGAAAAGCTTGACATGGAAGAAGATTTCATTGACTCAAGGAAACCAAGAAAAAAAATCAGGAGTTACAAATATGCATCATTACAAGGTCAATTGTTTGAATGCTGTTTTAGATTTTCAGCTTCAAGAGTTTAACGATCGCTTCAATGAGGTGAACACTGAATTGCTTATTTGTGCTGCTGCTTTATCTCCCATTGATTCGTTCTCTCAGTTTGATCAGTCGAAGTTGATGAAGTTATCTACGTTCTATCCATACGACTTTAGTCCTAGAGAATGCATATCTCTTGAGCAACAGTTAGATATCTACATTGACAATGTTCGAAATGATGAAAGATTTAGTCACTTGAAGTATCTTGGGGAACTTGCACGTACGCTGGTAGAAACACGAAAACATATGTCATATCCTTTGGTCTACAAACTTTTGAAGTTGGTTTTGATTTTGCCTGTTGCTACTGCAACTGTTGAGAGATGTTTTTCTGCAATGAAGATCGTGAAGACGGATCGACGCAATCGGATTGGAGATGAGTTTTTGAATGACTGTTTAGTTTGTTATGTCGGGAAAGATATATTCGAGACAATTACAAATGAAACTGTGATCAAAAAATTTCAAAATATGAAAGATCGTAGAGTAGTTTTGTAATATGTTTCTTATTTCTATGAACTTTTTATATTTTTATATTTAGAATTTTTTTTTTGACCTTGGTTAAAAATATTTCTGGGACCGCCACTGGTTACACTATATAACAACTTCACATAGTATTAGTCCCCATACACATCTATCAGATAATAAGACTAGCTAGTGTCGACCAAAAAGAAAAGACTAGTGTTGTAGTATCAACATGTGAAGTATTCCAACTTTTTAGTGAATTCAGTGATAGATTTATATAGTAATATATATATATATATAAAGGTGTACTAATTGAATTAATAATTAAACAAATTGTTAATGTAAATTTATTTAGTTGTGAAACCATAAATATACCAACCATCCATTTCTACTAAATTGCTTTGTCTACAATCTTATTTTTAATATTGTTTGTTGACAACTCTTTTTTTTTTTTTTAAACGTGGTCTCCTTGCAAAACTATATATGCTCGCTATTAAGAAGAGACTAATATATCATATGGTGGGACTAAAGATCGTAAAAAAAAAAGATAATGGACTAGAATCATTCTAATTTATTAAATACTAGGTTTAATTTATATACTTAACGTGGAGGCACATTCTCCATCTCCACTACAAAGTACAAACCAACTCCAACATTTTGTATACTAGCTCTAAAATTCATTTTGATTTGAAGAAACTAAAAAGGTAATTCAAATTGTTTTGACCAAAAGGTTGTTATATAATACCCCAAGCCACAATATTTGTATCAGACGGCGGAAATGGCAACTTTCTCCCCGTTTTAAAACGTTGTTTGAGTATAATTTATTATTATTTTTCATTAGTGGACCTTTTTAAAAATTATTTATTCAATTTAACAAAGTCGAAGATATTATAATTTAGACAAAAGCTATCTATTGTCCTACTACTATACTGAATATATTATAATCCAACTGTCAAACTACTTTGTCCCATTTTCCATTTATATTATTACCAAAATTTTATTAAAACCAAATTTTGTATACTTATTCAATATCAGACGTAAGTTGGTTTTTCTGTAAGACCTACTCTCTTTTTTTTTTCAAATTCACTCTTCATAATATTGTAAAATTGATATTATAATTTTTCTCATCAAAAATTTTGAGGTGATATTTATAGAATCAAACCTAAAGATGACAAAGAATGCATCAGTTGTAATGTTGGATACTTGGATTGATCTTGGGTTAGTTCGATCTCAAACAGAGATCTTTGAGTTGAATCATATAATATGACATAACTTCATCGCTTGATGTTTTACGCTTTTTTTTTAATATGAAATGATGGATATTCGAATTGCTTATTCTGACATTTTTGTTGTCTTACATAAAATTTGTAAATGTGGTAGCGAAATTGCATGTGTTGGAGCCAGACCTTATACTTGCTAAAATGTAAGTGTTATCTTTTACATACAATATAAAATATCTAAAAGTTACTCTCATTTTTTGTTTTAATCATTTTGTAGTCAGTTTAAGATAATCTGAGGTATGTGGAAACCTTGTTAAAAAAAAAAAAAAAAATTGGGGTATCTTGACATCTAAATACATTAGACTGCAAAATGTGATGATTTATAACATTTTTGTGAGTAAAGTTATTTATTGAACTTTTTATTAAAAAATTTAACCATATTTATTAAAAAAGACACATATTATAAATTTTGTATGTGGGATTTGTGGCAAGAAAGTGGATTGGACCACAAAAAAATGTAAGTTTGTGCCGCCATGGAAGCACTTTTTTTTTTTCTCAAGGAAGACGAGAAGTGAGTACAGTGAGAGATATAGTGTCAGACTTTTCTTTTTCCAATTCTCAAAGTAGTTCATGTTAAGGATTTTGATGTTAAGGATTTTGACGAGAATACTTTCATTCGAATTAGCAAAGTTGGTGAATAACTGAATATTGGCAACCACCAAGAAACCTTCTCTATATATGTGCATGTTCTTTACATGTATTTGAGCTCCAATTTATTAACAAAAATCTTTGTTTTCTAAATTATAATTTATTTTTCTAATCTTTGGCTTCATTCGCGGTGGTGAAGGGACAATTAATTTTGCTAATTCGAATAGTATGTGTGAAAAAACACAATATTCGAATTAGCAAAATTAATGTCCATATTAGGAAAACTCATAATTTTAAAAACATAGATTTTTGTTAATAAATTAGGGCCCAAATACATGTACAGAACAGACCCATTGTATATATATGAGACAGCCTGTTGCCACTGTCACCACCTCTGCTAATTCTGATTCCGCCGTTGTTGTCTCTCGCCGTCTCCGGTTACTTACTCAGGTGGATTCGTTTAGCTTAATTCGAGAGTAATTGAGTGAATATATTTGAGTGAGATTTGAAGGGCTTGGCTAGATTTGGAGGTTAGGGCGGAAAAAGATCAAGTGAAGCTAAAGCGTGACATTCCCGAAGAATCCTATGTATTTCTCTCCGACATGATCCTGATCATATGGTTTTGTATTGATTTTGAATTCATGGTGCACTTTCCAGTTTGATGATGATCTGAGTCTCTTAGTGGTGGTATCGAGTCGTCTCACGGAACTGGTACCGTTCTGAAAAACCTCGTTCAAATTTTTTCAGGGTTTTGAAATCGATTCTCTGTATCTGCCTAAAGTAGTTAAGCCTCGTTGGGGATATCGTTACGATATCGCCCTTTATGGTAGGCTTGGACTCCACTGCCACAATCTTCACAAGGTAACTTCATCAGCACTACTCTCTCTCTGTCTTTTTCGTCAAAAAGTGTATTGTGAATAACTTATTTTTTGTAAATTTGACAGGGAACAAACTTTAAGTTTAGGCGATGGGAAAAGTATTGTGCTATGACGATGGCTGCATACGTCGACTTCTACTTAACTGCAACGGATCCAGCCACGGGCTCCGTCTTCTCTTTGCAGACGCTGTTAAGCGATATTGGACGTAGACCTGCTGCACACGGTATCAGAATTTCGTGGATGACCTTAGCCTCCATAATCAAATATACGTGCATGGGGTCTGTCCTTAACGTACGTATTATCTTAGCACTAGAGGACTAACAGTTTATAGACATCGATTTAAAAGGTAACGAGCCTCCGGATCGTCATTGGAACGATGATAAAATAGATGATTTCTACAAAGGTCCAAATGTCCAATGCTCAAATGGTTTTCTGACAGTAAAATTTGTTACGTGGTAAATTAAGATAATTCATGTCCATAGTGGAGTTTAAATTTCCTTTTAGATTTTCTTGTGTCACATCTCACATGCATGTGGTAAACAAGGTTAGGTAAAATGCATTTTTGTGGATCATCACCATTTCTCAGGTGCAAGAATCAGAGCTGCGTGAGAATGACTGGCTGCAACTATTATTGGAAATCGCCTTCTTCTCCAAAGCAAATCGTGTAAGTCCTTAGAATTTGCAATTATTCTTCTTCTCTACCAGAAAAAAAAAAAATAAAGCAAGTCAACTTTTCTCTATTTTTTTTTTTTAATAACTTGTTGTTGCCTCTTCCCCTCTTACGCGTTGCCAAAACTGTAATTGCAGCGATTGAGGGCTTCCCTACCGTTGGAGATGAAGAAGGTAGTTGTAGAAAATAGAGAAGAATACACAACAGAGGCGCGTGAGAAGCTCAAGGCAGATAACGCAATCTTCAACGCGTTGGGCTGGTTATCACGAAGCCATTATAAGCCATCATTAAGATAGTTAAATGTGTTACGTGGTCCACACCGCTGGAGATGAAGAAGGTATTTGCTGAAACTGTAATCAAAACCATGAATATAAAAACACTAAGGAGGTGTTATTGGTTCTTGTATTTTAATGGATTCGAGAATCCAAACCAAATTCAGTGTTATTGGTTCTTGTATTTTAAAATTTATATTGAAATACAGTGTTATTGGTTCTATGATTTTAAAATCCATAATGAAATACAGTGTTATTGGTTCTATCATTTTAGAATCTAAATATTATAAGGATTTGAGTTTTAATTGAATTTGAATGGATTTGGAAGGATTTTCATGACTAAAATATAAAGACCCAAATACAAGGTCTAACTTTGGTATTTGAGTGGATTTGATTTTTTTCCATTTTGTTGATTTTGAAATCAATAAATTTATCAAATCCAAAAAGATTTATAACCAAAATACAAGAACCAATAACTCCTACTAAGTCATTATAAAAATCCACCCTTCTACACGTTGGGCTGGTTATCACGAAGCCATTATAAGGAAAACCATGGATGGCATACCACGGCACATGTGTCTTGAAGTTGCTTTGACTAAAGAACAGGAGTAAGTTCATTAGACAGACACATATGATGTTCCTTATATTGGCAGTAAACTTTAAAAAAAATTGATATTTCTCTTTCTCAACCATAACATAATTGTCTCCAGCTACCTTATACATTCTCAATATTAGAACATGCATTTACGTCGCCAGCTAATTACTTGTTCAAATTGGAATTAACTGATGAATTCAATGTATAAGCTGCCTGCAACTTCAACATTGAATATGATTCACTTAAACATGCGTACATGATTGATCTATGAGTTGGATCATACAAAATACATACTTATTTGGTATTAAATTCTTCTGCCCAAGTGCAACGAGGTTGCCTTTCGGCCTCAAGCTCCTCTCTGGTTCGCTTTCTTGGATTCTCCTGGGATAGATGCTCCAACACCTTAACCTCGAGGCGCATGTGTCCTGGTTTCCCATCCATCGTCTTCCTTACAACCGCTTTATAATAACCGATCTCACCTGTTTCTGGATCCTCATCACATTCAAAGCTTAAGTAGAAGATTGCATTGGGGGCCTTGAGCTTATCACGCGGCTCAGTCTCAGTCTCAGCTTCTCCTAGGGTTTCCACAAACACTTGTCGAAGCATCAATGGTGGGAACAAAGCAATATCGCCCACCCAGACCGATGCCTTCCATTTCGTGTAGAAGGCAAGCTCAGTGAAGAGAGGCAGCCACCAATTGTCCACGTCCACCAGCTCAGGTACTCGAAACTACAACAAGACGTCAATAACAAGACATAGACTTGGTCAAGAATATATATTGAGTACAAGATATATAACTCATACTTACCACATAGCACCGTTGCTTATCGTCATCAGAGAGCCATCTGGGCATTTCACCTTTGTAGTCATCTTTTACTGCTTTATCGTCCCACTCATGATCAGCCAATTCTTCGCTACCTTTATAATTATCATCAAAAGTGAGTCCTTCTGAATGGTGTAACTATATGCTACACGAATGGTTTAACTAGTTTACCTTTCACACGGCAAATGCAAGTCTCCCACCTTAGTCTCACGCCGTCTGTAGCTCCTCCATCGTTACGGGTAACGCAAGTCTCAATAGTGAGTGGAGATCTGCCGCCGTATCGATCCACTGCCTCCAGTGTTATGAAAGACTTGCTCCATGTTAGGACAGACTCGTTGATGGAATGAAGCCACCGCTTGTAGGACTTTTTCACAGAGCCAAAATGGTAATCTTCGCCCTACGCGAGAGAAGAGAAAGTTAGACAGAGTTGATAAGTCTGACATTGATACGATGAGAAAGTTAAGACCGAGGGTGATAACACTCAAACTCTGACATAGATAAAGTGTGCGAGGTAAAACAAAAAAACCTCCTGAAAATTGTAACAATAGAGTCCAATCCTAGCGCAGAGGCTGATGTCATAAGGGCAGCACCGACGCTTTATCTTCTGAGCCAATTCAAAACCCTAGGGCAGGCGCACAACATAGCGAAGAAGAAACAAGAGATTGCTAGAGAGATTACAAGATGGAAATATTCAAGTACGATGGTTCAAAAAGATAGAAATGGAGACAAAGATCTTACCTTGGAATCATCTGAAATGAATCCGTTGTGGGTTTTGTAATCAAAAACGTCGACAGGTGACTCCTGGACTTCCAGGAGTTGATGGTCTGCCCGCAGCTACATCGGGAAAAATCAAGAGAAATAAAATTTGAGCCAATCCAGCAAGGAGTAAATCAATGGAGAAACCTAATGATCTGGAGCCGAACATTATGATGAATGAAAATCATTAAATATTGAAAAAGGGAGACAAGTGTTTCACCTTCTTGATAAGCAGAGCAAACTCAGGATCACGCATACTTTTCCTACCATCATCGAATGGCGGTGACTCTTCCCCGATTCCCGTCTCATCCCCATCATCATCATCATCGCATGGCGGCGACTCTTCCCCGATTCCCGTTTCATCCCCATCATCTATACTTTTTCTATCATCATCATCATCGCATGGCGGCGACTCTTCTCCGATTCCCGTCTCATCCCCATCGTCTATACTTTTTCTATCATCATCGTAAGGCGGCGGCGGCGGCGGCTCTTCCCCGATTCCCGTCATATCCCCAAATTTACTTATCTTGTCAAACCCTAATCTCTCATATCGCAGGAGAAGCCCTATATATCGACAACAATCAATTGTTTCTCGCACAAGTATTCAATTTTTTTGTATGGCTAAAACGACGCCGTATTGACTGACCTAGCTAGAGAGCGTCGAACCATTTATTTTTTACCGTGATATTCTGAAACTGTTGAGATCTGTGGATTGAGAGATTTAGGGCTTGGCTAGAGTTATGGCGGAAGAAGCATCCGAGCTGAGGCCTCCACGTCGTCTAATAGGAGTGGAATCAAAGCGAAAGAAGCTGAAATTGCAGGAGCAGCGTGAACGGTTGTATGGGGACAGGGATGAGGATGATGATGATTCAGACGATGCCGAAAGGGATGAAAGCGTGTCCTATGTACGTAATCCCTCTCTCCCGATTCCTAATTTCCTGGTGTTTGTATATCGATTTCTTGATTTCATGGGACGTCGTTTGGATTTTCAAGTTGATAAATTCATTTCTTGGCCTTTGTAGTGGTTTGATTTGAATGTCGGTAACCGCAAACGATTGATCTCCACTTGGGGAGATAATTATGAGATCGACCTTTTTGGTAGGCTTGGACTCCACTGCTACAATCTTCAAAAGGTGAAGACAATATGTTATTGTTCATGAGTTTCTCTTTATTTCTATGGAGTTTGCCTTGTGATTGTTTTGCTTTGACAGGGAACAAACTTGAAGTTTGTGCGCTGGGAAAAACATGGCATTGAAAGTACTGCACACGTCAGGAACTTCATAACTTTGGAGGCAAAAGATGAGGTCTCTGATTCGCTCTTGTCTTTTCAGACGATGTTAAGCGATGCATCATATGTACCCGGTTCTTTTAAGTGGACGACATGTGCCTGCAGACTCAGAGGTAAGATTACTACCATTTGCGTGGGTCTGTCTTTACCCATATGTCTTATTATATTCTGGTTTATAGACAACACTAGAGAAGAGAGCTAACTGTTTATAGGTAACACGTTTTAAAAGGCAACGAGAGAGTGGATGATACATGGGACGACAAGGCAGTAGCTGATTTCTACAAAGTTGCAATGCCCAAGTGGTCGTCTGTTGAACACTTGGCAAGTGAGAATCTCAAGTATTACGTGGTAAGATGTGTCCTGCGTTTTGACTCTGCAGCATCGATCTTCTTGTACCTGTGAAATGTTAACTAATACACTATGTAATATATTTCTTTGGTTCATCACAGGTGCAAGATTCAGAGCTGCAGGAGAATGACTGGCTGCATCTATTCACCGAAATAGCCTTCTACGCAAAAAAGAGGAGGGTAAGTTGTTAAATTGCACAATTATTCTCTGCCAAACATATTTATATATATAAAAAAAAAAGTTAGAATGCGAACTTTTTCTTTTGCAGTTATTGCCTGCTTCCCGCCTGTGGAGATCGAGAAGGTGGTCGTAGTAACTGAAGAAGACACAGCAGATGCGCGTGAGAAGCTGAGGGCGAAAAATGCGGTCTTCTACATTAGTTACAAGTGCGAAGACGAAGACCACAAAGCGACAATAAGGAGAACCATGGATGGGAAACCAGAACACATGCGTCTTGAAGTTGCTTCGGATTTCAAAGGATGAAGAGATCACATAGAGACGTATCCATCTTCTCACTTTAAGATAATGTTATGCACGATCTTGTCTTTGGCTTGTGTTTATGTCTAAAACGCTTTTGGACTATTAGCGCTTTCTGTTAAGCATTGCATTTTAGTTGTATGAGAACCAAAATTACACACGTTGTCCCAACTCCCAGAGGTGAGTTCTCTCTATAACGTACGTGTGTATCTTATATAACATAGTTTACACAATAAAGCATCATTCACATGCATTTACAGAGCACATGGTTTGTTTGGCAATTGCTTCAAACTAGTATAAAGCCTGAGATAACATCCAAAGATCGACTCCACATTTAAGATACACACGTACGTTGTGTAAACTATGTTATTTATTTTACTTAGTTTCGACCGTGATTATACTTTTGAAACCTTAAATAAGATCTTAAAAAATGGCTAAGGAAGTGAAACACGAAAACGGCTGAGTTTTGTTCCCATCATCTTCTTTTGTTTTGTCGACTTAAGTTTTTGTTCCCATCTCTTAAAAGTTTGTATTTATGTTTAAAAATACATGGTTATGTTTCGTGAAAGCTGTCAATAATCAACAGATAGTTCTACACCTTAGCAATTCTGATTTCCAAATATTCCAGATTTTTTTATAAAAATATAAAAGAGAGAAAAATATGTTAATATATTATATCGTTGGAGAGTATGCCACGTAGTGCTACTTGAATCCTCTATAAATTCATTGTCGTTGTACTGCTAAACCCTACACCAAAAAAAAAAACATATCTTCCCACTTCAAAAGTTCTTCCCTTTTCTGGTAATAAAGAGATCAATTTTTTTCTTTTCTTTTCTTCTTCTACACACTTCCAGATTTTTCCCAGCAAACGTACCGGAAATAAGAAAGACAGTATATAGACGCAAAAGGGGTCTCTGAGAATTTGAGCAAACAAAAAAAATAGAAGCGAAAATGTGTTTGGAGATTGTGTATCACGAGGAGACGACGGAGCTTGGTCGGCAACAAGCACCGGGGGTGTGTCCGTACTGTGGCGGGAAAGTATCGGCGGTAGACATCGAGACTAAGTGGTTGTTCTGTTTCTTACCACTCTGTTTCAAGGTCAAACGCAAGTACTCGTGTTCTTCCTGCGACCGTCGTCTCGTCTTGTACTATTGAAACAACGAAGAGATCAGTGAGAGGGAGAGAGAGAGAGAGAGAGAGAGACCAAATGAAGCAAGAAACAGAGATGAATTGAAAAACTATTGTCTATTTATTTATTTGTTTTGATCCTCTCAATGTTGAGGTTTTTGCAGATTTTCCCCTGTAATTTCTGATTGGCTAAACACGCCCCTGATGGTGGTGGCATTGGTTGATTTCATTGAGTTTTGTTCAGTGTAAATAAATTGTCGGTTCTGTTTCGTTGATTACATGAGTGGAATACAAACTTTTTTCTAATAAAAATTTCTCAAATAAAAAAAGTGAATTTGTTTATTATTCCTTATGTTCATTACAATGATTAATAACTCCCACCTCTTTGTATGATTTGCGATAATAACCCGAGGCAACAACGTGGAACCATAGATAAACGTCAGCACCATAATAGTGTGGTTTCTGTTTTACTCATGAAATGTGGAGACAAGTGAACATCAGAAAATTCGAGGAGTCTTGAAGTAAAAAATAGACCATGTTTCACTTTTTACCGCGAGATCCAACTGAAGATATATATTAGATAAACATTGAAGATTACAATTTATTTGAGTGATTGATATCTGATACGAGCGTTTCTGTATATGAATGGGGCCAAAGTTTTGCTGTACGTCTTAGCTGGCCTGACATGATATAGACAAAATAAATTAAATAAATTGTTGTGGTCCTAAGAGTTACGATGCAATTTATGCATCCCTAACGTTCACTTATTTAGAGAATAAATTTGTGTGTCCACAAAAGGTATATAAATGAATCTTCTCACTAATTAGTCAGCTCCGTTGCATATTCGAGTATCTTTTACTTTGATTCCATTTAGTGTAATTTTGTCGGGGCCATCGAAAAGATATCCTGGTTTTAAGATTCTTCAACTTTCTTATGTTCAGTTACCAAAGACTATAATTTCTTAAACATATAAGATATAATGAGACATGAACCAGTAAATTAATTCGATTTAGTCTTTTTAGGACGAGATTTTTTTTTTTTTTTTTTTGCAGAATCCATTCTGATTAAAGTCTTAAACATTACAAAATACCATTTTTGTTTTGTATTTAACAGTTTAATGTTGATTTTATCACAAAGGGCGAATTGAACCTTGAAAATGATATTGATGGTAAGAATGAAAAAGTTTACTACAAACTTTAGAGTTAAGATTGCCAGGAACAGTACTTATTAGCATGTAAGCATGGCTTCGATATTTTGGGACAAATGACAAGCTAGATACTGTATAAAATTATTAATTGACCAAAAGTTTGATGTTCGTTGCGATTATTTTGTTGAATGAATCTGCGGTAAACATATTGAGTACTAGATGTTTGTTACTTTAATATTATCTAAAAAACCGGTAATCTGTGGTTAGTGTATGTATAATATATAATAGTAAGATGTTAATGTGAATATATAAGATAGGCAAATGCTGCTTTGTATAACTAAAATCAAATAGAAAATTGGTTTATATATTAAAAAATCCAAGTATATATTTGAAAAGAAACCGTTTATAAGAAAAAAGTATATTTTAATATTATACATTATTTGCTTTAGTTGATACATTTACAAGTTTTTTAATTCATCTTCGTTTGATTTCAACTCTTTTTTTCCTTTTTAATTAGTGGATTACTACTTAGTCAACACCTAACTCTATATAAATGCATATAGTATATACTTTATAGTATACGTTGCTTGATGCTTGATCGATATCCCTATCGGGGTTATCCAGAAGTGCCCATACATTTCGAGTATTCAACGCCTAAATTAAATGCATTCATAGAAACTTTCCGTAATTGAATATATAGGTAAGGTCATTTTTTTTTCTTTTGATATCAATGATTTAGGTAAGATCTATTACAGATATTTTATACTAATAGAAAACATATTGGAACAGGTCGTACAAATTGATCAATTTCTACAAAAATAATAATAATTTGTGGAATCGCATGTACATGATAAAAGGGACAGAGGCAAGAACAGGTGGACAGGTGTTGGGCTGTCACTTATCATCTTTTTCTGGTGGATAAGCCCAAAAACTCTCCCTCAAATCTTTCCCTATCTCTTTCTTTAGATTCGGAACGTACGTACTATTTCAGATCTTATCATGTTGTATCCTCTCCTAGTGGGGGTTAAACTTTATGATTTGAATGCAAGTTTAGTTTCACCCTAAAAAAAACTAGATAACTTCAATTTATAATACTATTTAGCTATTGTTTTTGTGTGTGATGTTGTTGTTGTTCTGTTATCTCTCTATATATGGGATGGAAGTTTGATAACCGGGATACTTAGGGTTAATGAACAAGTATGATTTCCGGTTTAGTTTTATTTTGTAAGAAAACATATTTGATTGAATATGGGAAATTGTCTGAGTCCCATGATCAGAATTTGATTGTTGTGTTGGGAGTAGTCGAGTAGATAAGGTTTGATATTCACACCTCAAATCATTGTCGCTGGATCACTCTCGTGTCTTTTCTGTGCCCGAAAAGCCGGACTTGCACAGTCGCTCTATTTCTTCTTCTTCTCAATGTGGCCCGTTAATATATTTCGATATTATGAATTATACTTTTGTTACACGTACAGTTACATTTCACAAATCATACTCACTATCACTTCATGTCTTTCTATCGGTTCATACGATAATTCATATCTTACGGTCCAAACAATTAATTACAACGATCGGGGAGTTTTACATTTTATATTTTCCCGATCAATTTGTAGATCATGGATGGTGCTAGAATAAATACGTAGAATGTCCAAACAATTAATTACAACGATCGGGGAGTTTTACAATTTATGTTTGAACAAAAATATCATAGAATGGCGCCGTTATATGTTGTCAATAGAATGACGGAATAACATAATTTTATAAAGTAAAATAGCAAATAGTAGAATGTCAAAATATAAATCGACATTTCACATCATTTATGATAAGAAAGTGTAAATCGCATGATTATAAATTCACTACTACTCTCAACTCTCACGCATGAAAGCGACCACGAGTCGTCCGTTTGACCGTTTCCAACTTTCCATGGTAGGTAGTGAGAGATGATGCGACGACGTGGCGATATTTCGTTCGAATTTTCTGCTGGACTAAAGGATTCAAAGGAAGATTCATAAAACGAGATGATTGGGCCTAATGCCCAATAAGTATCCATCTCAGACTCTTGAATTTTTTGTTTCAAATCATCATCAAAGATACGTGTAAAATGAGGATTACATCTGAATTTGTATATTTTCATCTTCGTATCCGTTTTAAATAGAATGTCGAAATCGAAATAAAACTATAAATGTCTTAGCATTTAGTCAGTCTAAAGTAGAATATTTTGTAGCATGATATTTCACATATTTAAGTATCTAGGATTTATTTATTGTAGTTGGTTAAAGGATACTTAGTTTCCCTGTCTTTTACTGTACTAGTGTTTTGTCCACGCTACGCGTGAGTTGTATAATTATATTGTAGTTTTATAAAAAATTGTCAATTAATTTTGTGTTTAATATTGTGATAAATTATATAGTAGTATATTTGCATGCGATTTTTAGATATAATCGAGCGAAGTAAGTATCAGAAGGATGTATATATATATATATGTGAAAAGATGATCAAAATTTTTGTATAATAATTTGAAAGTAGATTAATATACCTTTTGGCTTAGTTAAACTTTTTTTTAAGAGTTAATGCATGTTTTTGCAAATATGAAAGGTAAAATTTGACATTTTTGTATAATAATTTGATGTATAATTTTGTTATATTTTTTGTTTATGTAAATAGTATCCACATGAACTATATATTATATTAGAAATCTATTGTCTAAATTTGGACATCTTATGTTATAATGCTATTTTTTTAGTGAACACCATGAATATTTTTTTATACTCTCAAAAACATTTTGCATAAACTTCCCTTTCACTTTTAAAAATAAAAACTCAATCTTTACTCCATTTTTGTTTCATATTGTATCCTAGGATTTTGTTTTTAATTTTCATATAATATACATTTCTCTACTTATCAATTTTTTAACATTGGGTATGTACATAGATGTTTTATAATTAGTTCATGTATTCAACGAAGAAAACAAATGGCAATTAATAATAAACTTTTATTAATTAATATAATATTTGTTTGATAGTTTAGCTAGCTCAATCATTTGCCAATATTGGTGAAGAGTGTGGAATTTATCGTTATATGTTATTTGAAATTTTTTTTTCAGTTTTATATTTCATGAAACTTTGCAAATGAAAATTAAAAAACAGTGAGTAACTGTCTTTAATCACCGGTTCTTTAGTTAGGTTTTTACTTCAGTTTTTCGACAATATCAGATTACAATGAACAATATGGAACTCTATATCAGCTTTAGAAACTTGAAATCTGTTATAAGTCAAAAAGTTACAATTGTATAAATTAATTTTCTCTAGACAAAAGAAAACTGAGTCGCTCCTTAAGTTTTACCTTTGGCGAGAAAGACGTTCTTCAGTTCCAACAATACTATGATTCAGACTCATTCTACTCGATTCACATTATAAATATAAATGCAAAACAATTGTGAGATTGTATTTTTATGTTGCTTACAACAATCTGAAGCATGAGACACATTAGACTTCATTTGTGATAGAATTGTGTATTATTTATATCATATGTGGCTCATCGCTATGTCTTTTTTTTTTTACATCCTCATTGCTATGTCTTTTGGATTTCCAAATTTTTATGCTCCACTTATTTAAGTTTTATTGTTTATCACCAGTTTGGTTGTCATTAATTAATAAGTAAGATTTGTGTTTAGTGACGGCTGATTCCGTTTCTAGTGAGTCAGATGCGAGATGATTGAAAACCGAGAAGACGATGACTCCACAAAATAAGATTTTGTTTAAGTTTTATAATTGAGTTTTAGCGAAATTCGTTTTCAATTTTTTTTTTTAGCTTTATTTTTTTTATTGAGAATTTAAGAATTATAAAAGTTTTTTAGGTAAAATTTGAAGAAATTTTGATTAATAAATTATTTAATGAAATAGCTTTAAATTATTGGTTGTAGAAGATGACATAACAGTTTTGAACTCTACTATTGATTAATTATTTTTGCTGATGTGGCATATTGTTTTATTCTTATTAGTTAGTTTTTTCATAATTTAATGATGTGGTAATTTGTTATATTCTTATTAACTGATTATTTTGATGATTATTTTTGCTTATGTGACACCTTTTAGAGAGCAGGAAATCTATCCTTTTATATAAAGGAGATTAGATTTTACCGATCATGTATTATTTAGTAGCCAATTCCATACGTAAAAAAAAAGATTTTTACAATTTGGTTATAAATAGCCTGCATGTTTTATCGGTCCTATCTTGATTGTATATCGTAAAAAAAGATGCTGACTCTAAGAAAACGAATTTCATATGGACCGTAGTAACAGGGCCCACGAGTAATTAGGGTTTTAACGGCTGACATTTTGATCTCTCATACATCTAAGTATCTAACTAGAAGTGTTGACCGTTAGAGAAGAATTAAATAACTTACATACATACAAAAACATAAGTCGAAGAATAATCATAACAGTGCATCTTCTACAATAATGATAACAAAAAAAGTAAATTAGAAATTAGCATTTATTCCAATTAATACCCATATTCGAAAATGCACATGGTAGAAAAGCAAAAAAAGCTTACGTAAATTCCAAATATTGTCAAACCCCTGCAATGACAAAGTTGCCAAAAATTGAAGAGGTTGGTCCACACAATTTAAGGTTCTTTGCTTCACACTCTATTTATAGGCAAAGAGATGAAACAGAGGAGATTAAATTGCTTCTTAACAAAGGTTGTTTTCACTCAACCACATGCCTTCTCAAGTGTCTGCTGCTCACATTCCCCGAGATTCTCATTTACTTTTTCCTCTATTTGGTACGTACTTTATATTACAATTCTATTTGTTTCTTTGATTATTCGTTTTGTTCATACTTAGTTATCATAAACATACATAGTTGATCTTATATTATACAGTAAATTTGATAAATGTTTCTCTTAATTAATTTACTCACGCAATTTAAAGGAGACGATTGATACGCGGGCCTACTTACGCACCTGCATGATTATTAGTTATAAAAGTTATTGCAAACATTAAATTACTTTGATAGCTAGAGAGCAATTATTATATAAAGCTAATTTTTAATTGTAGATATACATTTAGTCGAAAGTTAAAAAGAAAAATGAAATCCCTAAACAAACGTTCCCAAATGTTCTCATCACTCTCCAACCACAATTCACCACAATCAATGGAGTCACCACAATACGAGATCTCTTCAAGCTCTTCTTCTGAAAAACCTAGATACTACTTTCAATCATCTGATATATTCCCCAACCTCACTCAAAACCCTAGTAACAGCAATACCCAAATCGAGTCGTTACCGCTTATCGATGGGATAAATTTAAACTCAAACCTTAACCTAAACCTTAAGCCACCGTATGTTGAAAAAGAAGAGGAAGAGAAAGAAGAGGAGGAAGATCACGTTGATCTGAGCTTATACATCGGCCTTCCTAGCTCTGATAATTCGAGAAACGGTGTTAAACTGCCGAAGAAGAAAAATGGGAAGGACATCATCACTCATGACGCTGGAAAACAGATGGAGAATGAACTTTCCGGCAAAGCATACTGGATTCCGGCGGTGGAGCAAATTATAATAGGCTTCACTCATTTTTCTTGCCATGTATGCTTCAAGACATTCAATCGCTACAACAATCTTCAGGTACAAACCAATGTTATCTCATGCGCATTACGTGCATGCATAACCAAATAAAATCTTAATTCATATTTGAATTTGTTTGTTAGAGAACAAACGGAGAAAATCCTATTCGATTTATATGTTTATAACCCCCTTATCTAATGTTATGAGTTAGAATGAATTTATACATACATAATCAAACCCTAAGTTGACTAACTATATATTATTTTGTAGAATAATTGTTAATATAGATCTGTTTGGATGCATGGTTGAGATTTAATTAAAATATACTGTTAAATAAACCCAAATTTAAAATGAATTTAATAGTTTTTCTCCATATAATTAATTAACGTTTCCTTTAAAATTTCATCCAAATTAATAATTAATAGATTACTTCAGTGAAACAATATGATCGATCAACAATAAGATTGTAATGATTAATGAACCATTTTATTAGTTGTTAAACTTATATTTGATTAAAAAAAGGTGGGGGGTATTTGTTATGAAAATTTATCTTGAAATCGTCAGTCTAACCATTGTTATCCATTTCATTTTTTGTTATTACATATACTGATATACAAATCTTTGTTGACACCAAATATGAATTCAGATGCACATGTGGGGCCACGGTTCACAATACAGGAAAGGACCAGAGTCACTTAAAGGGACGCAGCCACGAGCAATGCTAGGGATCCCTTGTTACTGCTGCGTCGAAGGGTGTAGGAACCACATTGACCATCCTCGATCCAAGCCGCTTAAAGACTTCCGAACGCTCCAAACACACTACAAACGCAAACACGGCCAAAAGCCCTATGCGTGTCGCATCTGCGGTAAGCTGTTGGCTGTCAAAGGCGATTGGCGCACACACGAGAAGAATTGTGGGAAACGCTGGGTTTGCGTTTGCGGTTCTGACTTTAAACACAAACGCTCCCTTAAGGACCATGTTAAGGCTTTTGGGCCTGGTCATGGGTCTTATCTAACCGGTTTGCTTGACGAGCAGGCCTCTCATTCTTCTCTCTCTGAGAATTTGTTCTTTTAAAACTTTGTGCATCTATCAGTCTTTTGACGTGTGTTGTCCGTTTATTTAGTCTAGAATAATGTGGTATCTAATAATTCTCGTAGTGAATAATATCATAATCTACTTGATATGAGAGGTCAACATATTTAGTCCCGCAGTTAATAATATCATAATTTGGTGCACCAACTAAGGGAAATGACTATCAGCCACACTTAGGGATTACTCATTAATCGTAGACTCATAAAAGCTATATGTTTAAAAATGCTAGTTTGTATACATATCATTAGCCACACTTAGGGATTACGCATAAACCGTAGACTCATAAAATCTATATGTTTAAAAATGTTAGTTTGTATAAAAGGAGATATATATGAAATGAGTAAGGAAGTCACATTCAAGAGCAAGTGTAGTGTGCTTTCCGAGAAATTTCCTCCACATGTCCAGACGGTACGAAATGCCAGTTAATTCCAATTCTATCATTATTGATCTGAATGTGATCGCAAAACATGATTTGATTAGTTTCCTCTCTTTATAATTTACTAAAATAAAATGACGACCATATAACATCATTTTTCAGAAGGAAATTAAAACATATCAAGAATATTCATGTAAAATAGTTAAAATATCAGTTAAAAATGTTACCATTCTATACATATTATATTTTATATACATGGACTGAATTCGACAATATTGGTAAATATCAATAAATCCAAAATCCTGATTATTTGTAAATCAATAAAATAGTATTATGATACAAACCAATTCATATACGGTGATTCGAAATTTCAGTACATCATGAACATGGAACAATGGATTTTATGAACTGATGAGTTGTCCAACGTTCGTTACGTGCATGCATTCAATGCCTCGGTGCCACATTACTCACCTTTTATGTATCCTCTCTCCATTGTTTTTTTTTTTTTATCTAACTTATTGGGTATCCAAATTCATTTTTGATCCTTATTTTAGTGAAACCATGCATGTCCTACGTACTATCGCTCGTCATATTTAAAGGAACAGGTTAATTATTTACTTATGTGATAGAATAATATTTTACCGTCTACTGTCTACACTATACTGTCTATACATGGGTACATATAACATGTTTGGTTCCGATGAGAGCAAGTTTGTTATCATGATCAGTGTGTCATGTTCCACTTCCACACCGTCCTCGCCGTTTTATTGAAAATGTAAGCATGCACGGCGTCTGATTGCACCGACGGTGCCGACGGAATCTGATTTGGACTCATTCCTCCTTTATTATTAATCTTATTAATTATAGTAATTAATTAATTCGCAGATTTCTTTTGACCTTTCAACATTATTTTATTTCTATCAGGAATATGTTCTCTCATGGAAACTATAACATTAGTACGTCACGAGGTAATGACGGTCTTTAGCTGTTTAAGCTTTCCGCCAATGTATAATTTCAACATGAAAATTTTCTCTGTCCATTGAACGTACCATATAACTACCATTATATGTTCTTACCATCTCAATTACATGATTTCTTAATTGAGTTTTATTCTAAAAAAAGTCAATATTTTTTGCTGTAAAAAGTCCATACTTTTTTATTTTATTTTAAAACCTTTTTATATAGCGTGAAGTTTAGGGATTTTGGAATTGTAAGGGTGTAGATTGTCCGAATAACAACTAAATCTAACATTTCAATGATTTCATCATCATGCCATGCCAAAGTCCCGATGTCATTTTCGTCACAAACAGTTTGTCGAATAATTATGAGCAATTCTACACACAGCACAACATAAATGAATTAACTAAATAGCAAACCGAGTCGAGGTTGAGTCTCCATGAGCGTGAGTCATCGATCCATACCAAAAAAGAGTATACCATTAAACTTTAGAACCCCCAGTCATAGGCTCATAGCTCTCTATTTATTGACTTACTTAGTCAAAACATTTAGTTTAATTGATTATGATTGTGAACGAAACTGCCTAATTTTTAATCATACAACGATTATAAACTTGAATTAGTAAATTTTGAATCGATCATAAATCCATAAAAGGGAAGAAAAGGAATATGACTTTTTTAAATTTTAAATAGTTTCACGAGGACCCGAGTGACGAGTCAAAGCTACTTCGAGGAAGTTTCCTAGAGCTTTCTCGTTCGTCTTTCTTATTTTTTTTTTGTTTCTTCTCGAGAAAGTGACGGGAAAATCATTTTAGCAGAGAGAATCAAAGAACAAAGGGAAGTTGCTGAGAAACGCCTCTGAAATCTCCTTCCGCCGATTATTGAGGTAGCTGTTTTTTTTTTTTTTTTTATATTCAGCAGTAACCTTAGAAAACTTGTTTCCGTAAATATATATTTTTCTTTTCTTTTCTGGAAATCGCAGAGATTTATGTTTTTCTCTTTCCTTTACTTTTTTTTTGTTTCTTCTCTGTGTTTGTTTATTCGATTCACTCTCCTCGTTGGCACGGCTTACGATGTTATCCTACACGTTTGTTGGACTGCTACAGCAAATTATTAGTTCACTGAATCAGATTCCGCTTCTCGATTTGAAATTTGAATTATCGGGAAAATTTTCCGGCAACGTTTCGTTTCAGTGATCTTCCCGCTGGAATCTGGGAAAAACGGATTGTTCTCCGGTTCCGAATTTTGTTTGGATTTGGTTTCGTGCTGGTGAGTAAGGGAGTGGTTGTTGCTTCGGTACAGTGAATTGAAATGTGAGAGTTGCTCAGATAGTGATTTGCTTAATCTGTAATCTTCGAATCGCCTTTGAATTGATTCACTAGTGAAAATTTTGAGCTGGATTGAGATTTCGGTTTTAGAGATCTTATTTGAGGTTTATGTTAAAGACGACTGTTTCTAATTCGGATGATGCTTTTTTTGTTCTCGATTGCGTTTTTAGCTCAGAGAAGAGCGTGTTGGTTAATCAACAGTGTCTCTGAAGGTGCCATCTCTCCTGCGACAGCCATGAGTGAACAATTAAGTAACTCCCCACGAGATGAAGACAAGGACGTGGAGGCTGGAACCAGCAGCTTCACCGACTCTGAAGATAGTCCGTTTGACATTGCCAGTACTAAGAATGCTCCAGTGGAGCGATTACGCCGTTGGAGGGTAAGTGGTTCTGGTTCCAGTTTACGCAGATTCATTAGTTTTGTTGATTGCATTTGAATTTCCCTTCATTCTCCTCTATGCTCTTGACTTGAGGTTTTGATGCATTTGATGTCCATTTGATTTTGACTTGATATTCATTAACTGCAGATTTTTTTTGTGTGTGTCAGTGTGTGTTTTGAATTCTGAAAACTGAACTTGGGTTTATCAGGTTTTAGTTTCTTGAAAGGGGATGGTCCTTTTGTTACTTGCCTCATCCAGATAGTTTTACTTCTTTGTTCTGTTGCCTAACATTCTGAAAAATAATTTGGGTTTTGTAGCAAGCGGCTCTTGTACTTAATGCGTCTCGTCGGTTTCGATATACCCTGGACTTGAAAAGGGAAGAAGACAAGAAACGGATGCTGAGGAAGATGAGAGCGCATGCCCAAGCAATAAGAGTACAAAAGCTTTGCTACTAACATTTTCTTAAATAAAACGCTTAGGCAGTGTCTAATCGATGATGTTTGCTTCCTTAGGCTGCACACCTTTTTAAAGCAGCTGCAAGCCGAGTGAATGGTAATCTCTTTCAGTTTCTTAATTCATTTCTCCATTCCATTTTGTGAAGCATGCATTTGTTCTCTTGCAGTGTCATAGTGATTAAGTGATTGACATTTTAATACCTTTTGTTTCATATGCATTAGTGGTTTTGACTGACACTATAGTTCGTTGTGCAGTCGCAAGTTCATGTTTTTTTCAAAATGTGATTGATGTTAACTGTAATGGATTGAGTCAATTATCTTTTATATGTAGCAAAATAATATAGCCAATGTAGATTTGCGACTTGATGTTTTCTTGGACACCACTGTAAATCCAATTGATGGTTCCAAGTTTTATGATTCATTTACATGATTATGTCAGTCGATTAAGTTATTACATTTTCTGTAAGGAAATTTTCTTCAGAATTTTCCCGGTTGGTATGCTGTAGTTGACTGAGGTTTATTTCTTCTTAGGAATTACAAGTCCACCTCCAACTCCTGGCGGTGGTGATTTTGGTATCGGACGGGAGCAGATTGTATCGATATCAAGGGATCAAAATATAGGATCTCTTCAAGAACTTGGAGGGGTATGTCTTTGCTTTAGCTGATCTATTACTTTTCTCTGCAGCACTTATTTCTCAGCCATAAAAATAATCCATGTATGTTTTATCCTCTGTTTTCTTTCTTTAGGTCAAAGGGTTATCTGACCTGTTGAAAACAAACTTGGAGAAGGGTATACATGGGGATGATGATGACATATCGAAAAGGAAATCTGCTTTTGGATCAAACACATACCCCCAGAAGAAAGGGAGAAGTTTCTGGGTATAATACTATTAGATCTTTGTTTTGTAGCAGCTTCCATAACTGTGAGATTTTTCCGCTTCAATCTGCGAGGCTATTCCAGTTAATTAATGTCTTGATCCCTTCCTTTTTTTGTTTTGTTTCTGCATGTCCAATAGAGATTTGTATGGGAAGCTTCTCAAGATCTTACTTTGATCATACTGATTGTAGCAGCAGCTGCTTCTTTGGCATTGGGAATAAAGACCGAGGTATTTCATTTAGGATTTGGTACATTATATAGTGCTCAGTGCATACCTTCAAAATTTGGGTCCTTTTATATGTCACATAGCTGTAGAACGGTTGGCTTTATTATAAAACAAGACTTTCCAGGATTAGAGTACCATATCGCTGAAGATCAATAGAACGCCTATTAATTATTCTTTCTTATATTTTTGTACTCATCCTAAGTTTTCTTGCTCTTTGAGGGTATAAATGTGTTTTATCTCCATTATCCAAAGTTACTGTTTTCTTATTATTCCTGAGCTTTTGGTACCTCTTTTCATGCCTTCATAGGGTATCAAAAAGGGATGGTACGATGGGATCAGCATTGCTTTTGCCGTTCTTCTTGTCATTGTGGTGACAGGTATTGATAGTTCTTGCTGAACTTGATTTCACTCATATATGTGTCTGCTGCATGTATCACACTAATTTGTACCTTTTCTCTTGGCAGCTACCAGTGATTATCGGCAATCTCTTCAATTCCAAAATTTAAATGAAGAGAAAAGAAATATACGTATAGAGGTGAGAGCTTGGATGATCATGCAGCTAATGGATGCTATCATTTTTGTTGGTTTAATTTTTGAAAATGCATCGTGCACATGCTTAGGTTACCCGCGATGGTAGAAGAGTTGAGATTTCAATTTATGACATTGTGGTAGGCGATGTCATACCCCTCAATATCGGTGATCAGGCAAGTTACATGAATTTGTCAATGCAGTAGCTCTTTATCGAATTTTATTATATATGTAATTTGTATTTAATGTGCAAATAATTTCCTTAGGTGCCTGCGGATGGAGTTTTAGTTGCTGGCCATTCCCTTGCGGTTGATGAGTCCAGCATGACTGGGGAGAGCAAAATTGTACGCTTTACACTCTGCCTCTGCATTCGAAACAATGCCATCTTTGCATTTCATGTGTCTGAGCAAGCTGTTTTCTCGTAGGTTCACAAAAACCCTGCCAAGAATCCATTCCTTATGTCCGGCTGTAAAGTTGCAGATGGCCATGGGACAATGTTGGTAAGACTTGACGAACACTAACTTACTCTCTATGACACAGTGACTGTAGTTATCCTTGGTTGGCGAATCGCTGCAGGAAACCTGTTTTTATTTATGACAACGCTAGTTTCTTCCTGAATTGCTTATTCGAGTACTTCAATTCATTTTTGAAACTCAGGTTACTGGGGTAGGGGTCAACACTGAATGGGGCTTACTAATGGCTAGCGTCTCAGAAGACAATGGTGGAGAAACTCCGTTGCAGGTGAGTATCAACCTTGTATCTGTTCATCATATGTTTTTTAGTTTCTTGTTGGTCAATATTCATACGTACTTTGCTTCATTCAGGTACGCTTGAATGGTGTTGCAACATTTATCGGAATCGTGGGGCTTACAGTTGCTGGCGTTGTATTATTTGTCCTTGTCGTCCGGTGCGTTTAATTTTTTTTTTGACAACTGAGTACCGCGTGGAGTTAATGTCAGTGGTCATTGAACGAATCGTTGTTCTCCGCAGCTACTTTACTGGTCACACGAAGAATGAAGCGGGAGCCCCTCAGTTTGTTGGAGGGAAGACGAAATTTGATCACGTGCTAGATGATCTTGTTAAGATCATCACTGTTGCAGTAAGTGTTTCTTAGAAGAAATAAGCATGGCTAATACCATCGTCAACTTCTTATTCCATATCTCTGGCCATTCAGCTCAACCTGTCGAATATTGTAGGTTACAATTGTTGTAGTGGCAGTGCCTGAAGGACTTCCTTTGGCTGTTACCTTGACGTAAGTGTACTGTCTTCTACATAAATATTTTAGTTATTACATGTTCAAACTTAATAGAAATTGATGGATCTGCTGTAAACTTCACTAGAACAAGTTTGTCTTTCGTCACTGATCTTTTCTACATCTTTTTGGCAGTCTTGCGTATTCCATGAGGAAGATGATGGCAGATAAAGCTTTGGTATGTATGTTTTACTTCTGAGACTCAATTTATTTGCATGAAAGTAGATACAAATATCAGATTGTCAACGTTATTCGCAACTTATACGAAGCTTACTTTCAGGTGCGCAGGCTTTCTGCCTGTGAGACCATGGGCTCTGCAACAACAATTTGCAGTGATAAGACGGGAACTTTGACCTTAAACGAGGTAAATCTTAGTGCTCCTCCTTCTTTGTTTATTTGCTAACACAGTAACAATTAGCAATATAAAGGCTCAGCCACAGTTTTGGTTCGGGCTTTCCTAGCTGCGAGCTTTTGTTAATTTGAATTGCGTGCTCAACAAGCGAGTTCCTTAATAATACTCTCTCTCGTTCTCAGATGACTGTTGTTGAGTGCTATGCTGGGTTCCAAAAGATGGATCCTCCGGATAGCAGCTCGAAATTGCCACCTGCTTTTACATCCATACTTGTTGAGGGAATTGCTCATAATACAACTGGCAGTGTGTTCCGATCTGAAGTAGGATAAGATTCCTTTGCAACTTTACTGATTTTCGTTTGGATTCAACTTCAGTTGATTTAATGTAATAATGTATATGTGCTTGCTGGTAACAGAGTGGTGAGATTCAGGTTTCTGGATCGCCGACAGAAAGAGCTGTTCTCAATTGGGCGATAAAGGTTTATTTTCCAGCTACATTTCTTGTTCCAGCTTATATAGCTGTGAGGAGAACTTATCCTTTTATTTGTTTATGCTCTGCAGTTAGGCATGAATTTCGATGCCCTTAGGTCTGAGTCTTCTGCTATTCAATTTTTCCCATTCAACTCAGAGCAGAAACGTGGAGGCGTAGCAGTGAAATCAGTAATGTGTTTCCATTTTCTCAACACCCTTTCCTTGTTTTTGATTTCTCGTTTGTGGTTGTTTTTCCCTTGTCAAATGTCAATTAGCATCCTAATGAACTTTTATCTCAATTTCAAATTTCAGCCGGATTCAAGTGTCCGTGTTCATTGGAAAGGTGCTGCTGAAATTGTTTTGGGTTCCTGCACACACTTTATGGATGAGAATGAGAGTCTTGTAGATATGAGTGGAGATAAGGTTGGGAACTCTGTTCACTATATCATGATATGATTCAAGTCTGTTCTCCAAGTCGTCTGTTACTTTCGATTTGTGATTTTTTTTTACGCTTGAAACCTTTGTATCCCAGATCAGTGCTATAGTTGGTATTGAGGGTATTGATATGTATATATACTTATTTTTTCTTCTGAATAAAGTCTTGTTGTTTCAGATGACCGAGTTAAAAAACGCTATCAATGATATGGCTGCAAGGAGTCTCCGCTGTGTTGCAATTGCCTTCAGAACATTTGAAGCGGACAAGATTCCAACTGATGAAGAGCAACTTTCTAGATGGGTATTACCTGAGGATGATCTTGTACTGTTGGCTATTGTTGGTATAAAGGTAAGCATTACTTGCTGCTAGTTCTCCTAAGAGTCTTGTGATGCGCTATGATGTGATTCTGTAAACCATATTGGTTGGTACTAAGGTAAACATTATTTATTGCAAGTTTTTTTTTTGTCTGCAATACATTGTAGGATCCATGTCGCCCAGGTGTCAAAAATTCAGTTCTACTATGTCAAAAAGCTGGAGTCAAGGTCCGTGGATCACTTGCTTCTTTCGCTGAGGGCTTCTCTTCATACATTGTTAAATTTTCTCGACTGCTCTGTTTTTTCATGGGCGTGTATTGTCTTCTTATTTCCACTATTGGCCTCAGGTTCGAATGGTGACTGGTGATAACATCCAAACTGCCAGAGCAATTGCACTGGAGTGCGGTATATTAGCTTCAGACTCGGATGCTAGCGAGCCAAATCTGATTGAAGGAAAAGTATTCCGATCCTATTCTGAAGAAGAAAGAGATAGGATTTCAGAAGAGATATCTGTAAGAGCCTTATGATTTACGTTGTGATTTGAAGGCAGTTATTTATTGGTACCTGACGTTGTTGCTAAATTTGAAGGTAATGGGTAGATCATCACCCAATGACAAACTTCTTCTTGTGCAATCGCTGAAGAGAAAGGGACACGTCGTGGCTGTGACTGGTGATGGAACCAATGATGCTCCTGCACTCCACGAGGTTCAGTATATTTACGTAGACCTCGTATGTGTAACCTTAAAAGAACACTATTGATATTGAGGATCAAAGTTTCTGTATTTCAGGCAGATATAGGTCTCTCTATGGGTATTCAAGGCACTGAAGTTGCAAAGGAAAAGTCAGACATCATTATTTTGGATGACAACTTTGAATCCGTTGTGAAGGTTGGTATCCTTAAAAACCGAAGGTTTCCCGAATTTCCATTCATGTGGATTAAAATAGGCTCCCTGTTGATGTATCCGAGGTTCCATAATACTTTTGAAATTCGTGAAAACTTTTTCCTTCAGAAGTATTCTCCTTTGTGGGTGTTATGATCTTTTTAATTATCTTGATTGTTCCATTTTGTAATAATCTGATTCCTCTAGGTTGTCCGCTGGGGTCGGTCTGTGTATGCCAATATTCAAAAGTTCATTCAGTTTCAGCTCACGGTTAATGTCGCAGCTCTTGTCATCAATGTTGTGGCTGCCATTTCCGCGGGTGATGTTCCTCTAACTGCAGTACAGGTTCGATATAATAAATTTTATTCTATCTCCTTCTCATCTGTACATACGAATGTTTCTTTGTTGGTAAGAGCCTTCTCTTCTATATTTGTAGCTCCTCTGGGTCAATCTTATAATGGATACTCTTGGGGCTCTTGCTCTAGCCACCGAACCACCAACCGATCACTTAATGGATCGACCTCCTGTTGGCAGAAGGTACCACTTTTTATTACACTTCAGCAAGTCTTGTTCAAATTTAGATCGATCTCAGATTTTCTGTTATTTGCATACTAATGGTTTATATCTGTTGTATCCAGAGAACCTCTCATCACAAATATCATGTGGAGAAACTTGTTTATACAAGTAAGTTATCTTCTTCCTTCATCCTTTTTCCTCACTTCTCTAATGATCAAAATCTTAAAGCCTTCTGTAATGCTCCAATTGATTTTTTGCATATTGTTAGGCGATGTACCAAGTAACCGTTTTGTTAATCCTCAATTTCCGTGGGATAAGCATCCTTCATCTGAAGAGTAACCCCAATCCTGAGAGAGTGAAGAATACAGTCATCTTCAACGCCTTCGTCATCTGCCAGGTAAAAGATAGATATTGAGTATTGACTCCTCTATATAAAAAAGCTTGAACACACCAGAAAAGTAATTGATTCTAAAATTTGTTAGATCTTCAACGAGTTCAACGCACGGAAACCAGATGAAATAAACATCTTCAAAGGAGTTCTCCGTAATCACCTCTTTGTGGGCATCATTGGTATCACCATTGTGCTTCAGGTACTGATTCTCTCTCTCTCTCTCCTGTTCCTGCAAAGTAAATTCAGTCACTGCTTCTTTTTTTTCTGCTCCTGAGACATTAACGTACCGTTTATTGCTGTTAATTGTTTAAAACAGGTAGTCATCGTCGAGTTCCTTGGAACATTTGCCTCAACGATTAAGCTTGATTGGGAGATGTGGCTCATATCGATTGGGATCGGTTCCATCAGGTTTGTTACTTGATTTTGTTTATTCACTCATCATCAAAGAGTTTAGATTAGGTGAAAACAAGAATTACTAGATGTCTTTTTTCGTAAACTTACCGTCTAGATTCTGATTAATGTTTTATAATAACCAGTTGGCCATTGGCGGTGATCGGAAAATGCATACCGGTTCCAGAAACTCCGGTCAGCCAATACTTCAGAATAAACCGGTGGAGAAGAAACTCATCAGGTGATTAAAGTTACCTTGTCGTTAAAGCCAAACCATGAAACGCATCTAAAAGTTATAATCGTTACTAAAGCTTTGAATTTTTTGTTTTTGCTGAATTTTCAGGTTAATAATTAGAAGTTTGAAAAAGAAAAAGACAGTTAGATACCAGAAGTGGATTTAGTAGTATCCAACCTGTGAATGCTTTTATACTACTCTCTAGTCTCTATCTCTCTCTCTGTTGAAGTACTTTCGCAAATAGCTTCGTCGTTTTTATATATCGTTAATGCATCAAACAAATGCAAAATATACCTTTTTTTGTTTAGTTGATGTTAGCCTGTTACCTATCCAAAGTTAAGACTAACTGACTAAATGTGCCCAATTTCTCTAGCTATTGTGAATTTCAATTCTTAATGCTCAATTTGGTGATTTTCAAGTACATATATTTCAAATTTTAAAGACAAATTGGAGTCTTATACATAAATGTTCCAGAGAATTACTAAAGCTTACTTTTCTGCCAAATGAGTTGACTTGTATTTATGTATGTAACTTATTGCAATAATTTGTGACCAAATTGTAACAGAACTTTCATAATGTGTATCAAATTTTTAGTTTCTTTTCAATTTGCCCCAAATTACAATTGAACTTTTATAGAAATCATGTCCATAAGTGACCATGGAATTTTCGAGGCAATTATAAAACAAGGTATGATAGTATTTTACTTTTCTTTCACAAAATTGCTATGATTAGTTGTCTCTTTTTGCACAAAGAGTGCAAAAAAAAATTCTTCTCAGTTTATAGTGGATTATGCTTGCCCAAAGAAGGCGAATAGGAGCATGAAACAAAATGTCATTATTGCTACATGCATAATTTAAATAATGGTATGAAGTTTGTAGAAGAATAAAGATTATCGATAGAACGACATTGGCCATACCAAAGTTGTAGACTTGCGCCTCAACATGATTATACATTACCACCACCATAAGAAGTTTGTCTATCTTAAAGAATGCTTTGGAGAAGTTAGCATTTCATCCCATTGGAGCTGCACTTGCCCTTTTCTCTCCGGATTATGAAACTTTCAAAGGCGTAAGTAATATCAATTAATTTGGTTTAATATAACAATGAATAACATTTAGTAATAATCATGTGTTTTAATGTTTATTTTTCTATAGGGAATTTACCAATGACCTGAAGAATCGGAATATAAATGACTCCAAGAAGTATCTCTTTACCATAGTGGAGTGGAAAATGGAGAACTGATTGGATATGTGAAGTCCACTCACGGTGAGAAAATAGGAGAGGAAGGTTGCTTAAAAGTGACTCTTGAAATGTTGATGGTTGAGGTGTCTGAAGCGGGAAAAGAAGCTCACCATGACTTTGAAACCTCCAAGACGTCTATTTTCTCATTTTGGCTATCCATAACTCCTTTCTCTTTGACAAAGTTTACAACATAACACACAGAGGTGCAGTTTTATGGTTTGATTTATTTTTTTCATATATATTTTGAAGTGATTTCTATCTGTTTGATTAAGCTAATTTTTATTTTAGCATATTGAAAATAAAAAAAAATAATTGATAATAATTTTAGTCCTTTTAGAAAATTATTAAATTATAGTAGTTTCTTCAAAATTTTGCAAATAACAATAACGAAATAGTTTCAAATCTCTAATTTTTTAAACCTAAAAATATAACTTGATATAGACACTACACAAAATTTTGAATTTTAACTATATACTTAATTTATGTGATTTAAATTATTGATGTGGATGTGGATTAAATTTTAGATATTTAGTAAATATTTTTGGTTAGAATCAAGTGGACTTTAATTTATATAGGGGTCAGAATATTTTTTTTACCGGGGTCAATATTACTACTAATAAAAAAGCATTACAGATAATTAAAATTCAGTGGGCATCTCTCTGTTTCTTTTGTATAGTTGGTCTTGGTTTTTAAATTTCAGTTAACAAGGGAAAACTAAAAACCTTTGTATTAATCTGGTTTCATTTTTGAAATTACATTTGCATTTCATTGCGAGCCAGCAGATCTACAAGGGAATTGATTACCACACCTGGTCTGTAACAGGAGAAGCAGTAAGTCGCCATACAGCCTGAGAGAAAGGGACAAGTAAACAGTATGTGAGCATATCGACTTCTCTTCGCATAGCGCCTCACTTTGACTCCCTCTTGTTCTCAACAGCCACTGTACCTTCTCCTGACTGATACATGTTATCCTTTAGAGTGTACACATTCTATTCTTGTTAACTGTAACAGTAGCATAATGTATCTATCAGTTAGGAGAAGTGCCTTGTATGTAAATAGCATCAACAACAAGGCTTGGGCCCTGGGAAGTCCATACCATCTGGTCAGCCAACAGCAAAACCATCTTTGGTGAGAATAGACCTTCGAGACTTGGCCCATAAAGCATTTTCAACTGCACATACCCAAAATTAGCTTCTGTGATGTATGATAATCCAACTCCTCGGATGATCAGGAATGAATTTTACTATCACCAAATTCACCAACTACTATAAGTTTAATCGATATGAAATTTGAAATACTAAAGTGTTAATCCCTCCCAATGGCCAACACAACCAACAACTATGGAGTGAGAAGAGATAAAAATCAGAAGCATACGAATTATGTATAGCTTGGCTTCAAACAAGTTTGGGATTGGGTTTTTGACCTTTAAAGAAGGATCAAGAAAATAGTCAAAGACAGCTTTGCATTTCCTTGGTCCAAACGGTAACACTAATGATACAGTAGCTTTCCTGATACGTCGTCTTGAAAGTTTTTTTTTTTGTTAGTTTTGCTTGCACCGTAAGAAACCCATCATTTGTAATCCCCTTCTTATTTTTATTAGTCTTTCTCTTTTCTAAGTTTTCTACTCTTTTTTTTCCCACCGAAAGTATCATTCTATAGTGTTATCATATGATTAAAGCATCATAAACCACTAAACCAATATATATCTATACTCTAATATGGAGCTTCTAATTTCCCTTCCCCACCATAGTTTTTCGTTGGTTCCTACTTCCTAGTATTGTGAAAAGAGATAATTATAAATATAGTGATCTATGTATACAGTTAGTAAGATGTGATACTGAATGAATACACTTCTTTATTACTAGAGAAGAGTTGATCAAACGCATCTTCTCTAATAAAAAAGTAGAGGTAGAGAAGAGATGCTATAGCTAAGGTGTTTTTATGAACACGTTTATGGTGGACATTGTCCATCCCCGTAACGTTGATGTCACCTTCTCCACTGACGTCGCCTAAAAAATCTCCATAGGTCCGCGATCGTGTGAGCTCCAAAATTGATTTGGTAAATTAAGGGATTCCGTGATCGGTTTAATGTTAAAACATAAATCAATTGTCCGGTTTTCCTTTTGGTTTAAAATGTTAATTCAACTGTCCGGTTTTCTATTACCATAAAGTTTGGTTAAGACGGTCGATCTTACCCTGAGCATTTGGACATTTGATTCGGTTTTGGGTAGGAACCAAACGGTTCCGGGTTTTTTTTTGAGTATAGGAATCTTTTACCAATAGAGGGTAGTGAAAATATTTTGATTTGGTTTCTGTTTGAGTTTTTTTGGTTTCGGTTATCTGATATTACATGAGATTATTAGAAAGGGAAAATTGGCAAACCCTAATTAATATTTGTAATTTGAAAAATACACTGTTTTATTTTTTTTATAACTAAATTTATTGATATATAAAAAGAAAATTTTAACCACTTTTAATAATACATATTTTTATAAATTAAAATTAAAATCGAAAATTATGTATATTAGATATTTAATTAGATAAATTTTAGGATTTTCTTTAAATTTTATATTTCTATAAATCTTTTAATTAGATAAAACTTATTTCAGATAAAACTTAATATTTGAGAACTGTCTATACATATATAAAACTAGTTTTAGTAGAATAATCTACAAATAAGTATAGCATATATAAGAATTTTAGGATTTATTTTTTTCTTTTTTCCCTATCAAAAATATATTTTATTACAATATTCTATAGATAAATATAAAATTAATATTTTAGAATTTATAAATAAAATAAAATCTAAACAGATATTATTTAGTTTTAGAATAATATTCTTTTTTAAAAATAATTTTAAATTGTAAGAATGTAAAATAAGGTTAATCTAGTCATTTCATATATTAGTAATTCTATTTTTTTTTAGGAAAATAGTAAAAGTATAGCTTTCAAATTCTAAATTATTTTGGTGTATTTTTCCAAATTTTCTCTATTAGAAACTCAAAATAATCTGATGACTGAAAAAATATAAAAATTAAAAAATAACTTAAAACATTATTCGTAAAATAATGTATGAAAGATGACAAAAATATCAAGTAAAAGTTGGTAAAATATTTTTTTTTAAACTATCGATAATTAAAATAAAGATTTTAAAATTTATTAAATATGCAGCGCGTATTAATAAAAAAAGAAGTAAAAATTTAAAATTTACATATTTTCATCCTAGTTTTTAAGTAGGTATTTTTATTTTTTTAGTATCAATGTAGTATAGTTGTGTTATGTATGTATATTGTTCCATCATGCAAAACTGCTTGACACATTCTCTACATTTAGGTGATTTGGTAAGTTTTTTATTCATTTAATGGAACAATTATCTGAAGAGGTATCATCTAATCGAAGAATATAGAATATAGACTAAGCAACAATATTATAATATCAAATACTATTTGTAGTTAAAGATATGTTTATAAATAAAGTTTATAAATGTGTACATATTGAAAGTTTACATTCACCATACGTCCATACTTCAAAGTATCTATGGGGTTATGAGCAGATTTTTAATATGATCATGTCGTCAATCATACAATCCAACCCCGATGGTATAGTTAGACTTTTTAACATCAATAATACATCATATACTATAAGAAGTTTATAAATACATCATATATATAAAGAAGCATAATAATAGTAGATAAAAAGTTTTATTACCATAAGAAGAAAAAAAGATGTGTATTGTCATTGGTTAATAAATTGTTATGACTATAGTTTTGTTAGTATCTGAATTCTTACATAGATTTGATTGGAGAAATAGCATGGGTCGAGTAAGAGACCAAAGACCCCATAGTAAGACCACCTTCGCTTTGTGCAAAATTTGAACTAATAATTTTGCTATAATTTCCTCTCTTTTGTTGTATTTGTAGATATATGTTGGGCTGTTGTGATATTTGAGTTAGTAAGTGCACTGATGTATATTCGACGAGATGACACTGTATATACTGAATGTTCTTCTCAGTTTATAGTGGATTATTATACACTACCACCATAAGAAAATCTTCATGTTTACATTGCATCAGGAAAAATTATGTGTATTATAGATAATATGCAGTGGTCAATTTGGAAAATGGTTAAATTATTACCAATAAAGCCAATTTGAATAAAAAATTCTTATCCTATTTCCCATCCAGTTCAAGTGAAAAGCAAACTCCGCATAGAGATGAATCCAATAGTTTTCTTGCTGATTCTTGCAGTTGTGATATCTATACAATTCTACAACGAATCAGATATCACATATATTAAATCAAAAACCCCAAGTAAACCAAATTCAAACACAAATACCTCATAGCATTTGTAACAGTGAAGTCCCAATCTACCACGAAGACCGATGTTGAATGGATAATCATACTTATCTTTTAATGTGTAGGGAGATATTCCACCATCTACAAGAGGACAGTAATCAACATGGAAACCCAGTCACAGTTACACAATTGCATACATATCATGATCCTAACAAGTTCGGTTCTGGGCATGGTGCAAATGCACAGGGTCTAGTTAATTTTTTGGCAATTTTCATTACATTTAAGAGCATGTTTAGAAAAAAAAAACATATTAATTAAGGGTTTATTATATTTTTTTGCCCATGATACATCAAAAGTTTGGGCCGGGCCTGGATACTAATTAGAATATCTTTCAATAATTGTTTTTTTAAACCGTTAATAAATGTGAATTTCTGAGGATAATGCATGAATGTAAACAAGTAACCTCAAATTTGGCTAATATATAAACTTGGGTCCTCAAATGCATGAATGTATACATGTAACCTCAAATGAATGTAAACTATGAAACAATATAATTACACAAAGAGGCTTTCACTACATGCCCTAAATACATATATGTTCCTCTATATTTCCGTTGATTTGGTATCTGCAGTTTCATAGTTTGAGATTATGATTTAGCAAAGAATGAAAATGGTGCATTGCTTTCTCCACAAGAGCATATCTTCCTTTGTCATAAGCCGGCGATTCGAGACCCCTTTGAACATTCTGACACAAGACAACATCTTCCATCTGAATCATAAACAATGAGCACGTTATTACATAAAGTCAAGTTTTTCAAAGGCATCATTTATAGGTTTAACGCGATATCAGTCATTGTCCGTACCTGAACTCTCTCGCTTTCTTCGAGACTTCTCTTGATGAAATCTTCATCATCCTTAAGCCAAAATAACATTTTCAACAAATCTTGCTATACAAGTTTATGTTGCTGGATTTTTTTTTGTTACCTTTAAAGAAGGATCAAGAAAATAGTCAAAGACGACTTTGCATTTCCTTGGTCCTAACGGTAGCACTAGATTCGTGTCCATCCAAGGTCCGTACCTTTTAAAGTTTATGCTTATAAGTCATTCGAAGGTGTAAATTACAAAAACTCGTTAAAAAGCTGGAAAATTTTGAGCATAGGACTTGATGTCTGTTACCTATTTATCATGAAATTTGGGTAGATGAAAGCGTACAGAGCTTTAGATCCAAGCCTATCGAAACCGTCTTCACCAGCCTTGGAACCACCTCCACATTCTTGGATACTAACCCTTTCGAATAACTGATATCTTAAAAACAGATATAGTTCATCAAAAGATTAAAAATCATGTGTTTAAAGTCAGAGTTTGGCCGTAGCTGGGATTGAGCAAAAAGGAATATACCGTTGTAGAATAAGTCTCGAGATCAAGGCCTGACATCAAACCTTTATGTGCATAAGGTACATGGTAGCCACCATCTAAGTAGTTATCACAGAACACCTGCAAAAAAATTCCCCATTGGTCATCCATCATCAATCTTTGGAGTTCTGTTTTTATTTCTTTCTTTCTAAAAGAGAAATATACTCAGAACAAGATTTCACCTTCCAATTACAATCAATGGTGTATTCACGCCTGCATATGAAACTAAGCGGGGAATCAACTCCACCTTGGCTCAACCTCCCCACAGAAGTACCTAGCCATTCTATAGCCACTGCGCCATCAGTCTCCACTTCCTCTTGACTAAGTGTGGTTTGAGCCACCTTGAGGAGAACAAAAGGTCCCCACACAGCCACTCTTAGAGGCTTGAGTCCCATTTCCTATTTCATCAAACATGTCAAGTGTGAGAATTTCAGATTGTCGAAAGTGAGAAAAAGCACACACTTGATCGCAACAACATGGAATACATTCAGATCAAAGTTCTCAATCCCAGTCATTCTAGTAGCTTTGAGAAGCGATCCACTCAAGCTATACGTCCATCCCTGAGACAAAGAATGAGATATTAGGACTCAAAACTGTACTCAATCACTGCATAATCAGTTGAGTGACGAAATTAAGCTGTTGTGACTGAAGAAGCTTACATGATAAGGGCACACAAAGCAAGACTTTTTCCCATTTCCAGAAGCCAAGATAGAGGCATGGTGAGAGCATACGTTGTGGAAAGCTTGAACCTTCCCATTATCATCTCTGCACACCACAAACTCTACCTCCCCAAGCCTGCACCAATGTTTCAAATTCTCATATATAAGTTGTTGAACAAGACACAGAGAAGGAGAGATTTGCTGCAATTCTAAGTTTCAACACATGAAATGACGATCAAAGATTAGACGATGCAACGAAAGATCTGAGTGTGTGTGGTTTAGTTACCTCCCGGTGAAAAAGTCGCGACTATCCTTAATCTGATCAGAGTATCCTGACATATCAACAAGAAGCAATGGCAAAGTTAAACATAGTCAACACTCGATACTCACTGAAACAGCTGAGTGTGGATTTTTCGAACCTACGGCCTGCCATCCTCCATAGAAGACCCGATCGAGCTCGAAACGGTAGAATTGAGGATCAGTGTACCACGAGCTCGGCGGAGTCGATGCTCTCTCCAACGAGATCTCCGGATCAAACTCCTCCACGAGCTTACTGATTTCGGAAACGGCCAAGGCTCTGCTCGAAGAGCTCGGATCTTCTCGGGTAGAGAAGATGATCGGGTAGTGATAGCTTCTCCGACCAAATTGAAAGGCTGGAACGCCAAATCCAAGATGGGATTTCAAATATCTACTGGTGAAATTCGGTGCCGGAGGAGGAACCGTCGGCACCGTCGCCGTGATCCTGGCCGTCACCATCTCCGGAATACCGTACTCTGATTATACTGTAATAATGATCATAAACTCTTCGAATAGCAAATGAAATTTCAAAATTAACAAACTCGACCGGTCCGGTTAGAATGGTTCTACCGCGATTTGAAATGTTATCAAAAAAATTTTAAGTGGTTAACGAATAAGGAAATTCTCTAATTGAAGAAACATTTCCCCTTCTTTTTTGCCGTTTAATATTCTTTTTCTAGTATGTGTCGTAAAATTTAGCAACAAATAAATGTAGCCTAGTGCGATTTTCTTACTATAATGGAAACAAAACTGGTTATAAAAAAATGAAATAAAATACTGATTCGAATCGAAGTAATTAAATTAAAAAAGCGTTTTTTTTTCTTTCTTTCTGAAAATGCGTTTCTCTTGTAATATCTACATACAGATATATGAGAGATTTAATTATGAGAGATTTTCGGGTAGATGGACTTTCTTTGTTTATCAGAGGTGTTTAAAGAAAAAAACTTGGCAACGCATAACTCTCTCTCCTTAATTTGCTGATCACCTTCCTTGATCACTTTTGATTTCCTGATTATCTCAAATAGGTAAACTTCCGAAAAGTATTCATTTCCACTTAAAGTACATCAAAGTTTGTCGTCCATACATGCCATTATAAGCAGAAGAATCAGTCTCATTCCACGTTAAATCATCATCATTATCATCTTCTTTCTCTAGAGGAAACTCACACGACGTCGTTGTAAACACTTGCAATATCTTACATACAGATATATATAAATGATGTTATGCAACGAAGCATATCAGTATCAACAACTAGATGGACAAAATGATCACATGATGACAACGATGATGATGGACTTGAGCCAATCACCACCACCACCATCACCGTCAGACAATAGTAGCAACAATGAAGAAGAGCCATTAGAGGTTGTGAATATGAGTGGCATGGCGTTACAATCTCTCCCAAATCCTTCCCTCAATTTGGCAAATATTTGCAAGCTTGATCTCTCCAACAATCATATCAAGGTTAATAATATCAAATACATACACTCACTCAATATATATATACATAAATATTGGTTTTTTGTAATGTTGTTTATTTTTTGGGTTTGTTGGTGAATGATAACAGAAAATACCAGAATCTCTAGCAGCGAGATTACTGAACTTGATAGCATTAGATATTCATTCAAACCAGATCAAATCTCTTCCAAACTCCATTGGTTGTCTCTCTAAGCTCAAGATCCTCAATGTCTCCGGCAACTTTCTGGTTTCCCTCCCCAAAACTATTCAAAATTGCAGGTTCACACCCCTCAGAGATTCACAACAAACTCTCAACTCTAATCTCTAAACCAAACCAATCATATATGCTTATCTGATTCCTCTGATTCTCCAGGTCACTAGAAGAACTAAACGCCAACTTTAACGAGCTGATTGGATTACCAGACTCCATAGGGTTAGAACTAACCAATCTGAGGAAGCTCTGTGTCAACTCGAACAAGCTCATTCGCCTACCAACCTCCATCACCTGCCTCACTTCACTCCGTGTCCTCGATGCTCGTCTCAACTGCCTCATGATCCTCCCTGAAGACCTCGAGAGCCTCATCAACCTAGAGATCCTCAACGTCAGTCAGAACTTCCACTACCTCACCGCTCTCCCATCTTCTATCGGCCATCTCATGAACCTCCTCGAGCTTGATATCAGCTACAACAAGATCACGGTGTTGCCCGAGTCCATTGGATGCATGAGGCGGCTGAGGAAGCTGAGCGCGGAAGGAAACCCGCTCGTGTCCCCACCCACCGAGGTCATGGAGCAGAGCTTGCATGCGGTGAGAGAGTATCTGAGCCAGAAGATGAATGGTAGACTGGTGAACACCTCGCCAAAGAAGAAGTCGTGGGGATTCCGTAAACTGGTCAAGTATGGAACATTCAACGGGAGGCCTAGGGCTTGGACCAGTGAAGAGAGAGAAGGGCTCATCATGCCTGAGTACCGTCCCATTGATCTCCTGGCTTCCACCAGGTTTCCTGCCATGTGCTCACCTCGACGTATGTTTTCTCCAAGAACCTACTTCAGCAGATAATAATAATAACGCAGGCAGTAAAAAACATTTCAAATCTATCAACCATTTGCCCTAAGTCATCACGAAATGTATATACAGCATTCAGAATTCAAACTTCTTATTATAAATCATGTAATAAGTATAAAATACAGTCTCTCCCCTTTCATAAGCTCTATTCCCATCCCTTCTTGATACATTCAGAATTCAAACTTCTTACTTTTCGGTTATCTAGAACACAACAATCACATACTCTACAATCGTTTAAACGAATCATTCTCTTAATTGTTGCAGTAACACAACTTCAAAATCTCAGCCTTTTTTTTTTTTTTTTGTTATATAAACTGTTAGATTAAACTTCACATTATCTTTAGCGATGAGATTGATATAACATTTCGAGATGCTGATTAAAAGGATTAAAAGGAGCTCCAAGTTACTCAACGGATCATACAATCTTTCGCACTTAACCAACGTTAACCAATAACCACAAATAAAAATTTCAACTTACTAAAAACAGAGCATATTTCTTGAAAAAAAAAACAGAGTTTCAAACTGATTTCGAATTTTTGTTCGGTATATTATTACTTTTTCGAGAACGATTTCTGGTTTTGATTGTTCATGTGATGTTAGACAGTGTATTTTGTTTTCTTCATCTCCTCTCAAAATTTGAATTACCGATTGCATTGTAGCCACAAGACCGGAGATGGCACGGCTTGGGTTGAGACCGCCAATCTTTGAAATTCAATAATAATTCCCATAAGTTAGAACAATAAAGATTGGTATCCAATTACATTATCATATTTTAATTCCGGGAACGATGAAGGCTCTGCTGTTAGAATAGTAGTAAAACCAAAACGAATCTAAGGAATTTGGCGAAAACTTGTCTGCATCAAACCGTAACAGCTAAACATGTATCCAAAAAAAAGAGCCCTACACCAAACGGCCCAAACACAACATCACACCATTGCACTTCACCCCAAAGCTCTCCTCCTTGGCGTGTTTCCAAAGCAATCTCCGCACACCAAATCTCGCTTGTTCCCTTCGGATCACTATCTTTATCAAACAACAGAGCCAATTTCCCACCGTAACTATACGGCCTCGGCCTCGGCGAGCATAAACCGACCTTACTCAGCACTTCTTCGACACCTTTCACCACTCTAAAGGACCTCTGCTTTGGATAATAAGCTCTCAACGACACACGCGTCATCCCATTGCTCAGGATTCAGCCTGTCCTCCGATTCCCATTTACTTTCCTTTGGCTCATAAACAAAGCTTCTACGAACCTCTCTCACGTAAATCTTATCCTCCACCACCACAGAATAACCATAGCTCATGTTGTGTAGCTCCACGTCTAACTTTTTCATCACAGGATCCCACGGTTGAGTTTCCGTATCAAACACCATGACTCCATGCCAAGTGATTACGTAAATCTTACCGTCGATGATGTCAGCGACCTTACCGTCCTTGAGCTGAGGAATGCCGGGAAGTTGCTGCATCGTGTGAGATCTACAGTCGATGCTGAACATACCAGTGAATGGGGACACCGCATAAATCTTCGAACCCACAGCGACGTACTCGCAACCCCCAGAGTGACGCACATAAGGAAGCGACCGGATAATGACCACGCGATTGCTGTTGACTTTCCGGCGAAGAATACACAAATGATGTTCACAAGTTTCATTGTTAGAGAGGACGACATAGAGACAGTGTTCTGTGCAGCCCGACAAAGATCTTCTCGTGTATAGGTGAGACGACCCAACGAGTGATTGGAAGCTCTTGGAAACCAGAGAGACAATCGGATAATTGCATCTCGGTACACGTGCCACGATATCCACGATGAGGTCATATGGAAGTGACATCATCATCAAAGCCGGCGGTTGCTCCGCCCTCGCTGCGCTAACTTTGGATGACATCATCTTCTATACAATTAGACAAAATCAAGAATCTCCGAGCTAGACAGAAAACCACAAGTCCTTCCTAATTATCTATAATCAATCTCGATCTTCTCGCGCTTTGGTTTGTGACCTAGCCCTCTCTCTATTAGGGTTTTCTTTTATTCTAGCTTCCTAATTTCTCCCATCTCTTAATTAAATCAAAGAAAAAGGAAAATATAATAGACCGATTTTGTTCGTTAAAACTTAAAACGATTGATATGGTAACCAAAAATAAAGTTTATTGTAAATATGTATTTTATAGTTCTGGGTAGAAGAACTCAACAATCACATACTCTCTTACAATCGTTAAAAAGGAATCATTATCTTAGCTATAGCAGAAACCTTCAGATTATATTTTCCAACGCCAAGTTTAAGTGATGAAATTTGATATATCAAGCGCAGATGCAGATTTATAAACATCATGATGTTAAAACACTTAAAGAGCTGATAATCTGAGAAAAGAAAACTTAAAACTTATGATGTTAATCGAAGACTACAACTCACAGGTGAATCTGGTTTAAGTGGGCACACAAGCTTAGAAAACTTGAAAAAAGGAACATCTTTTTCCAACGATCTGATCTTAAACTAGAGATCCAATTACAGAATGAAGCGAAAGTGAACAGAAAATCTAATGGAGATACCCGGGGATCTTAATGCGGATGAAGAGCATACTCATGACATAGGCGATCACAATGGAGGAGATTCCAGCAGTGGCATAGGATGCTTTGACGCTCTTAGCTCGGTTCTTGTCAAGCGCCAGATCCAGCATTATGATCCCGATCCCGCCGAGCACGAACATGAATCCCGACGAAAGACCTTCGATGATGTACTGACCATTGACCCGACCCGACATGAACACGACGGGCCGTATTGCCCCAGTGATTGGGTCCTGGGTCGACCCGATACCTGGAGGCTCGACAATCACGTCGTAGACAAAGCCGGAGACGACCAGGAAGTAAGTGAGGAGAATCAGAGAGAACACAGTCATCGGCGATGGGAGCGTGAACGAAGGGAGCTTGAGACGAAGACGCGGCGGCCGAAGGAAGGAGAAAGGGACGATCCGGAGAATGTGGAAGATCGGATCGATCGAGGATTCACCAGACGTGTCGGAACCGGCGCCGGAGCCGGTGGCTAGGGTTTGTGAATCGGATCTCGGAGCCATTTCCTTTGATCTTCAGAATAAGCTAGCTCTTCGCTCTCTTACTCCTTGGGATGAGTTAGGAAGAAGACTATAAGATGTTAGGCATGTTTGGAAACTCCGATATTATTATCCGATCAACGGATATTAATCTCGATTTTTTCCCGGTTTGTCCTTCCCCCCCCACATCAGGTTTCGCGAAAACAAACTCGCACGTACTGCCGTTTCTAGGAAAAAGCCTTTAATAAACGACGCGTAGTTTTCAACTAGAAGCACCAAAGTAAACCGCCTTCTTCATCATAAAGATTAAGAGCCATTTAAAAACCTAAAAGCAAACAAACATTTTGGAGCTTTGGATCTTTAGCAACTTATTCTCGCGGCAAATTTTACAAGATTTTGAAAGGGAGCATAATCTATCAGGACCGGCTTACTGGGGGACAATCGGTGCAACCACTCCAGGTCCACTTCCCAAATCAAGCAAAATTAAAATAATAATAAAGCCCAAATTTATGTGTTTCATCAATTATTAGAGGCCCAAATTTGTATTTTTATCAATGAAAGGGTCCTAAATTTTATTTTTTGCCCAGAAGCTATTAAAAGTATTGAGCCGACCTTGAATCTATCATGCGCTTCATAATCAATCTATTTCTATAAAACCTGAGCTAAGCGGTGGTGTGTAATTTAATTCCAGTTTACCTTTTGATCTTTCTTTTCCGGAGATGTAGAGGAGATTTAGATGAATACAGAAGCTTTTCAAATAGTTATTAAATAATATTTTCGTCGACAATTGTAAAAAAAAAAATATTTTCAGTTTCCTGTTAAGAGAACTTGTCGGCATGAAATTGTTATCACATTCTTAAAAGTGGTAAACGATTAAAAGGAGTTCCAAGTTATTCAACGGATCATACCATCTTTCGCACTTAACCAACGTTAACCAATAACCACAAATCAAAATTTCAACCTACACGATCAAAATTTTAAAAACAGAGCAAACTCCTTGAAAAAAAATACAGAGTTTCAAATGATTTCGAATTTTTGTTCGGTATATTATTACTTTTTCGAGAACAATTTCTGGTTTTGATTGTTCATGTGATGTTAGACAGTGTATTTTGTTTTCTTCATCTCCTCTCAAAATTTGAATTACCGATTGCATTGTAGCCACAAGACCGGAGATGTCACGGCTTGGGTTGAGACAGCCAATCTTTGAAATTCAATAATAATTCCCATAAGTGAGAACAATAAAGATTGGTATCCAATTACATTATCATATTTTAATTTCGGGAACATGAAGGCTCTGCTCTTAGGATAGTAGTAAAAACAAAACGAATCTAAGGAATTTGGCGAAAACTTGTCTGCATCAAACCGTAACAGCTAAACATGTATTCAAATAAAAGAGCCTATCACCAAACGGCCCAAACACAACATCACACCATTGCACTTCACCCCAAAGCTCTCCTCCTTGGCGTGTTTCCAAAGCAATCTCCGCACACCAAATCCCGCTTGTTCCCTTCGGATCACTATCTTTATAAAACAAGAGAGCCAATTTCCCACCGTAACTATACGGCCTCGGCGAACATAAACCGACCTTACTCAGCACTTCTTCGACACCTTTCACCACTCTAAAGGACCTCTGCTTTGGATCATAAGCTCTCAACTGCTTGTAGAAATCATCGTAATAGTACAATACATCGTCAACGACACACGCGTCATCCCATTGCTCAGGATTCAGCATGTCCTCCGATTCCCATTTACTTTCCTTTGGCTCATAAACAAAGCTTCTACGAACCTCTCTCAAGTAAATCTTATCCTCCACCACCACAGAATAACCATAGCTCATGTTGTGTAGCTCCACGTCTAACTTTTTCATCACAGGATCCCACATTTGAGTTTCCGTATCAAACACCATGACTCCATGCCAAGTGATTACGTAAATCTTACCGTCGATGATGTCAGCGACCTTACCGTCCTTGAGCTGAGGAATGCCGGGAAGTTGCTGCACCGTGTGAGATTTACAGTCGATGCTGAACATACCAGTGAATGGGGATCCACCCACCGCATAAATTTTCGAACCCACAGCGACGTACTCGCAACCCCCAGAGTTACGCACATAAGGAAGCGATCGGATAATGACGAAGCGATTGCTGTTGACTTTCCGGCGAATAATACACAAATGACGTTCACAAGTCTCATCGTTAGAGAGAACGACATAGAGACAGTGTTCTGTGCAGCCCGACAAATATCTTCTCGTGTATAGATGAGACGACGCAACGAGTGATTGGAAGCTCTTGGAAACCAGAGAGACAATCGGATAATTGCATCTCGGTACACGTGCCACAATATCCACGATGAGGTCATATGGAAGTGACATCATCAGAGCCGGCGGTTGCTCCACCCTCGCTGCCCTAACTTTGGATGACATCTTCTATAGAATTAGACCAAATCAAGAATCTCCGAGCTAGACAAGAGACCACAAGCCCTTCCTAATTATCTATAATCAATCTCGATCTTCTAGCGCTTTGGTTTGTGAGGTAGCCTTCTCTCTATTAGGGTTTTTTTTTTAATACTAGCTACCTAATTTCTCCCCCATCTCTTAATTAAATAAAATAAAAAAGAAAATATATGAACACATTAAATAATGGAATCCTAAATATTATTTAAAAAGCAGTATATTTATAATTTATTTTTCTTTTGACAAAAAAAAATTATTTTACTATCTATTTATTTTTTGTTTCACTTATAATTTCGAATTTTTGTTTCACTTATAATTTCAAATTTATTAACATATGATATAAACTTTTTAAAAAAAAAAGAGATTTATTTAGTTTTAACTTAACCAATCAAAATATTTTGTTTATTTTAAAATTTTTGTCAAATCATATTTCTAAATTGATATTCTTTTACACTAACTTTTTCCAAGATGATGATAGCTAATTCTTTTATTATAATATTATATATATGAATAAAAAGTCGAAGTAAAAGTAAAAATGAATCTTTACGATTTTGATTTTTTGTAAAAATCTCACACTATTAGGTTTAAAGCATCTTCAACCCAACTTTAGTTTAAATCTTCTAATTTAGAAGAAAAAGAAAGGTTATTACTTTTCTTCCAATTATAGAGAAAATAATAACAATTTTTTTCCATGTAAAATAGAAATAGGTTAAAAATTCATTTATATTTTGGAGAAAAAAAATTAAAAAATATATTGGAGATGATTTTAATGTTTAATATATTATTAAAGGTTAAGAAAAAAAAAGTATGAGTTAAAAAGACAAAAACAAATAAAAAATAATAATTTTGATCAATTTTATGTTTTTATTTGAAATATTTTAAAATATTATCTTACACACATTGATTATTTTATGCATATATTTTTTTTCAACATATTCAAACATTATTCATGAATCAAGTTTTATACTCCCTCCGTTTCATAATAAGTGTCATTTGGAGAAAATGTATCTGCATTGTAACTGGATGTATTTGGATGTGTTTTGAGTTTAATACATCCAGATACATGGCAGATACATTTTCTTCAAATGACACTTATTATGAAACAGAGGAAGTATATGTTATAAGAGAAAATTACGCACAGAGGCACTTCTCCAGATTCGAAATACAAAATAAGACACTTAAAAAAACCAACACACTTTCCCTTGCTGAAATGACTTTCATGCCCTTCTTAATATGTTTTTTGTTTTTTTTCGACGGTTGGTATATCCTATTTGTTACCTTTTTACTTACTGTAACAAATCAGAAACTTCGGTGGCGAAAACAAAATCTGTGAACTCCATCTCTGCCGGCGTAGAATCCGCTTCTTCTGGGTCGCAATTTCTGGTTTACGGTGTCACCAAACCTTACATCTTTCTATACATCCCTTTGATTATTGTCTAATATCGGCGCTCGGAACCCTAATTGCCAAAATCCTCATACCGACTGGATCTGGGAATGGCAGGTAAGCTCAATTTATTAATACTGATTTTTACCCAGATTTATCCTCTGTCCTCCGTTTTAGTTCAATCTTATCCCGCGTCCTCTATATTGCATCCAAGATTTTGTAAACTTGATTCTTAATCTCACCCATTAGTTTCCCCAGTTTGTTGTCATACTACTCAGTCCCAATTACAGCTACAAATCCACAATACCCCTGTTAATTGTTGTTCTTCTTCCTCCGCCGTCGTTCACTTGATTTTCTTGTCCTTTCAAATCCACCATCTCCTAATTAATACATCCATAGGCTACATCCACATAGTTCTTTCATATATTGCATCCACCACTGGCATCCACCAGTGGCATCCACATATTGCATCCATGTGCAGTTTAATTTAGTGGACGATGTACAACCATAGCCACACACCTCATCCATAAAAAGCATCCATCTAGATTATTCATATATCAGATCGAATATCCATATATTTCATCCACATACACCGCCCACCACTGGCATCCACTTACACTATCCACCACTGACATCCACATATTGCATCCATGTTGCATTTTTATTTACTGGCCGCTTAGCACATATATCCACATTTAGTATCCGTATACCTTGTCTATATAGAGCATGTATCTAGATCTTATTCATCTGACTTGTCCACCACATTCACCAATTCTGTTACACTAATTGCTTTCTCGTAAACTATAATGTGCAGGGTCTGGCCACAATTATGGGTGGGACACACGCCTACCGACCCGCTTGTTTGCAACGGATAGGTTTCCTAAGGCCTGCTTCAATGTTTACTCCAAAGCTAAACTCTTCCTTTCCATCCACGACATCCTTAGAGACACCCTTGAGTTCAAAACCATTAGGTCTTTCTGTTTCAAATCATGGTCAATTTGGTTACCTCCATGTAGGGTGTTTGGTGTTAAGGAGTGTTAGGAATCAATTTGAAGAATGGAGATTATTAAGATATAATCCTGTGGCAATTGCGAGATAGCGAGGCAAGAGTAATTACTAGAGGCAATGATCACGAGATTTGTTCATATCTCCACCATGTTGAACGAGAATTTCGAAAGAAGCTTGGGAGTTTGTGATATGATCGGCCCATAAGTCTGCAAAACATGAATATAAATATACTTTTGGTTTTACTATTTGTACCATTAAAGATGTTTATATAAATGCGTCTATTTTGTTGTAAAAAGGATTGTTGTACATTTAAAGCCAAAAAGGTTATAGACTTTTGTTGCGGAATATGTTAAACTGGCTACAAAATGGATTTAATATGATTTTGCGATTCCTTCTAAGAAAAGAAACTACTGATATCGAATATGTGAATTTGGATGTCGATTATCATACATAAATATAACTTTCTTATGATTATATAATTACGAGCTAGATACATACATTTATATCTATTGTTTTCGTCACTACTTCATAACTAGTGGACACCGCAAGCTTACAATCGATCACCGACCTCTTACGTACAAAAACATTGTAGTAAGTCGAGAGTAATGGTGTGAAGTTTACAATTCGACACTCTGAAGTACAAAAATAAATCCCCAGCCAGTTATATTGTTTGAAGAGAAGATTACATCGATTGTAAAGCAAGCTTATACCACAATCAAATGATGCAGTTCAAAAAAAAAAAAAAAAAAAAACCAATTCTGCCGCATCGTTGTCTCCAATGGTCTTCATGTTTTTGTGTTGTTATCCTTACGGTTTGAATTGATCCCCTGATTATGTATGCTCCTTTAGAGATAAGCATGCAGAATCCTTTTTTCCATCTGTTCAATTCTGTTTACAACACTTTTGGTGCCAAATATAGCATCTCAATTATTACTATTATCAGTCTTGTACAATGAAAACGTTGAAAAACACTAGACAACCATTTACAATTGTTTCAAAGTAACATTGTTAAGAATGTAAGATCTTTCTTGCATAGTATCAATCTAGTGTCTATGTGAATGCACTACTTTACCTCTTGCTCCAGCTTGTGTAGACGGAAGCAACACCATATTAATTTCAGAGCATGTTTCTAAAGCAATACGAAAACAAAACCATATTAACGCACTACTTTACTACTTAATATGGTGTTCGTTTTGCTTTATGTGAATACACTCAAAGTGTTTGACAAAGACACGAAATGGTTACATCTCTGCCAGTGAGGTAAGCATATAATTAACCTTTCTTCTCTTGATTATAAGCCATAGATACTTCTGCATCTCTCTTTGGCCTATACATTTTATAGCTCTTGTAACGTTTTCAATTATTTACGATTTTTAAGCTTATCTATCTATCTTCAAATAATTTTGTTCAAATTTAGATGTTTTTTTTGTTAAAGGTTTATATTTAGAGATGGATTGATAAAGTATTATAGAACATATATCAAGTCGATGTCCTGGGTTGCGTTTTGTACAACACTCAGTACGTGCAGTTATGTTTTTTATCTATTTTTTCAATAATTAGAGGCATATATATCATCAAATATATATTTATGGCTGATCATGTGAGAATGGCTACGATGAATCTCGATACTGAGATGGTTCCACGTGCGAGGTGAAGATGGGGATATAATGGATTGACTAAGAAGAACCTCTCCAATTACATTTTGCTTTTTATTTCAAGTTTTAATGTTTTACGGTTTGAATTAAATTAAATGACTGTTCAAAAAAGTAGTATTATATACTACAGGTATAGGTATAGTACCGTTTAATGTACCACGTAACACGCTTTGTTCAATGATCGTATCTAACGACTCAATAATAACCTTGAATATAGTCATTCTTTCCATATTAGCATTTATAAAAATTACATGTTTTACGAAGAAAATTATAAAATCCAAAATCACGTGCAGCCACGCGCCCTTGTCTGCTCTAAGAGAGACAAAAGAGTGGAAGAAAAAAAAAAACAAAAAGGAATATATATATAATCCCAACGGAATCAGGAGATCCTCTCTCTTTCTTTCCCACTCTCCCGCAACACACCTTTTTGTCATTTTTCCAGCTCGATATGTATATATATATAATAGTAACCGTTTTTCTTTGATCTATTTATTTATATATAATAATAACTATATTTTAATATGCCACATATGACATATCCAAATGGCAAATGCACTCTCTTTCCCATTTTTGCATAGGGACTTTTCTTGTCACCTGTCACTTGTATGCTGTATGTTTATATAGTCGTGTGTTTTGATTGGTCACAAACAGCATATTTAAATAAACAACTAAAAGGGGTTTTTCTAAGTACAATATAATCGACTATTATTTTAAAAGAAATTGAGAAAGAGTATGAGCAAGATATTATGATTAAGCCACCTAATTATACACTTCAGGGCTTAGAGTATCAATAAATATTTATGGATCCGATTGGTCACAAACCACATATATCTAATAAATAAACAATAGAATTCGGAAAATTAAGGCTGTATCATGTACGAGTCAACATATAGCATTTTGCATGTATATAGCATTATATTATTATATAAGTTCGGGACCACGCCATCTTAACAAAAAAATAATACCAAAGAAAAGGGGTTGATCTTATCAAGTAATCATTTGACTCCATTACTTGATGATCGATCCATCATCCGATGCGTGACAGCCCACGCTACATTCTATCGAGGGAAAGGGCAAAATTGTAAACAAATCATTAGGTTAACAAATTTCCCATTTCTTGTTAAATTTAAGCTTGTAGTGATGAATTTTTTTTATAAAAAAAGACAAATTAAAATTCCAAAAAGTATTATAGGCGAATTGTAATAGAATGATCCGTCTTTACTAGAGGACCTGGCGGCTCCTAATTCTTTTGCTTTATCCTCCTTTGGCAATGCCTTATCACCCAAGTCAACGCCGAGTTCCAACACGTGCGCTATTCGAAAATTCAAAAATTATATTGGAACGAATGCAATTAAATAATTTAATCTAGTTTTTTTTTTTCCTATTTCGGTTCTTGCCGTCTCTTTGGACAGTGTAAAATGAAGTGTATACTTTCATCGTTACTTTTTTGGATCGTCGTTATTTTTGTTCAAATTTAGATGTTTCTTTGTTAAAGGTTTATATTTAGATATGGATTGATAAAGTATTATAGAACATATATCAAGTCGATGTCCTCCATTGCGTTTTGTACAACACTCAGTACGTGCGGTTATGTTTTTATCTATTTTTTCAATGATTAGAGGCATATATATCATCAAATATATAGTACTTATGGCTGATCATGATCCACATGATACTATTGTTATACATAAGTTTACGCAATTTGAATGAGAGAATTGCCAATCCATTAAGGTCTGGAAAATCTTACTCAACTAGAAGCTTCAAGCCAAGATAGCTGATTTTGGTTTATCTAGAAGCTTCCGGGTCGAAGGTCACCGTTGTCGCCGGGACCATCGGCTACTTAGACCCCAAGTAACTTATTCTATCTTTTACTCTAAAAGATTAACCATAAAACAGTGTTAGTACATTATGTTTCAAATCCTTTCATGTTGTAAATGAACGAGAAGAGTGATGTTTTCAGCTTCGGTGTGGTTCTTCTTGAAGTGATAATCGGGAAACCGGCGATTTCACGTTCAAGAACAGAGAATGTGCATCTATGTGATCAGGTTGGTTCAATGTTGGGGAGTGCAGACATAAGAGGCAATGTATATAAGCGTCTAGGAGATAGATTTGAGGCTGGCTCGGCTTGGAAGATTGCTGAAATAGCATTAGCTTGTGCCTCTGAGAGCTCTTCGCAGAGACCAACGATGAGCCAGGTCGTTATGGAGCTTAAAAGAGTGTTTTTGGGAGAGTGGCAGATCGAAATAGCCATGGGGATCCTGTGAGAAGGGTTACAATGAATCTTGATAGTGAGATGGTTCCACGACCGAGATAAAGATGGGGATATTACGGATAGACTAAGAAGAAATCTTAGTCTTGTAAAATGAAAACGTTCAAAAACACGAGACAGCTATTTAAAATTGTTTTCAAAGTAACGTTGTTAAGAATTTATGATATTTCTTGCATGGCACAAACGACTTCTTCTTTTACATAATCTAAAATAGCTTTTGAATTATCCAACTACAACTAGACTATATACGTTACAAAGCTAACTTACATGATTCAACTACTATAGCAACCGAAAAGAAAGTGTGGCGCTTTTTTATTTTTATTTTAAGTTAACAAAAAAAAAAAGATTTGGAGAGACTGCCCAGCATAAGAAGAAAACAATCGAAATGGCCAACAGTAGAATAGTAGGATTTCTTGGGTCACAAGTTTCGTTGTTCATTCTTATGACAAAATAAAATAGGTTTGGAAAGTTTGCTGAAAGGCATATCAATCGAAAAGGAAATGCGGTGCTTTAATTTGGAAATTCAACATAAAAAAGGAATAGAATTGTAGAAAAGGAAGTAGTGCTTTACTTTTTTAGAATAATAGATTTCTTGCGCCATAAGTTTTGTTGTTCATAGAAGGACATAAAATAAATTTGGAAAGATGGCTAAAATGAGTAGCAATCGAAAAGGAAGTGTGGTGCTTTTTTATTATTATTATTATGTTTTTTTTTTTTTTTTTTTGAATTTCAATAAAGAATACATAAAGAGTGATTCGGAGAGACTGCTCAGCATAAGAAAAATAAAAAGAAAAAGGTTGAAGGAAGATATGAAGAAGAAGAGAAGACATGGACCTGGAAGATGAGAATAGCTATGGTGATTGAGAAGAGGAAGATGAAATGAAGATTGAGAAGAAAAGAGGAAGATGAAAAGGAGGGTTGGCCTAGAAGGAGGCTCGACGAGTGAGAAGAGGACACCAGTTATATGGATCTTCCCAAATGAAATTTCGAGTGAAGAAAAGGATACGCAAACCGGTGGATCTGTGGCATCTGACAAGTTACTATTTAAATCTATGATTAATCCTTTCTCTGGATTAGCGCTGGTCACCTTATATTACTGTGATACCGTAATATATATAATTTCTTTCCAAAGCATATTTAAAGATATGTTATAAAAATATTCTCTCACATGGTCCATTATCAAACGTTCTTATGGAACCGTTTGTGAGCATATTATAGATCCTCCTAGTCTAGAGGCATACGTTTATTTCACAGTGAACTATGTTTTTGGCCTTCCTTATATGTCACACGACTTTCCGAGAAAACCTAAACCCACAACAACAACAACAACAACAAAAGCTTATTGAGCAACTGTTGCTGGATGTAAATAGGTCCAAAATAACTCAAAGGGGAAAAAAGTCCAAAAAACCCCTAAGTATTTTAAACCATCTTAACTAAATCTCTCTGTTGTTCTTCGACCATTCTTAAAAAAAGGAGTCTTGTGGACCGGGTAGTATTATTGGAGAGAATGTTAAAGAGTGCTTTAAAAACGTATTATTTACTGGTAGCGAAATTCAGTCATTTAATTTGGGAGGAGTATATGTTTTTTCTTCTCAAGTTTTTATATTCACCCGTTAGAGATTGTATTCAATTTAACCGATATTTAATTAGACCCCGGTTCGAACGTTGAAGAGTTGTTTAGTGTTTTATCAATTCTTTCAACTCCCGTATTGTTGGACTTTGCGTCTAGTATTAGCAATTATGGGCCTTTTTAATATCTAAGGCCCGCATGTAAATCACGGTTATCCTCAATTTAAATTCAGATTTAAATGGTTCAACACAACGAACTTCTCAAAATTATATTTTTTATTTATTTTTTTAGCTGTTGTAGGTTGTTTGAAAGGGGTACCGGATATTTTGTGGATCGTTCGATTAAAGACGATCTAACGGTGGAAAAATATTGTTCTGACACTATATTTTTCACCCTGCGCTCGCTTCTCTTTCTTCCCCAACAAAAATAAAAAAGAGAGAGAGAGAAGAAGAAGAGCCATCATCAATGGCGGCAAAGATTTTCGCGTTTCCTTCTCCTTCTGGATGCAAAATACAAACAACGGTGGCTCTAAACGAAGATCATGTGAAAGCTTGGGTGAGTAAGCAAGAGAAGAAACTGAAGAAGTACAAGGACGACCTCTCGATGGGCCTCGCCTGCTATTGGAGAAAGAAGCACGAATCAAGTTTTTTAATATTAAATATCTATAATTTTATTATTAATATATAATTAATCATATAGAATAAATAAAGTATCTTCACTGCTATATTAGCCATTTCCTGGGATATTCAGAATACTCCTTAGGAAGAAGACTATAAGATGTTCGGCATGTTTGGAAACACGGATATTGTTATCCGATCATTGGATGTTAATCTCGATTTTTTCCCGGTTTGTGTCCTTCCCCATCAGGTTTCACGAAAATAAACTCGCACGTACTGCCGTTTTAAGACGAAAAAGCCTTTAATAAACGACGCGTAGTTTTCAACTCGAAGCCCCAAAGTAATCCATCTTCTTCATCATAAGCTTAAGAGCCATTTAAAGACCTAAAGCAAACAAACATTTTGGAGCTTTGGATCTTTTAGCAACTTATTCTCGCGGAAAATTTTACAAGAGTTTGAAAGGGAACAGTTTTGGTTTTGTGTAGAAGCTAAACAGAGATGAGCAAGAGACCGCCACCTGATCCGGTGGCTGTGCTTAGAGGACACCGTCACTCTGTTATGGACGTTTCCTTCCACCCATCAAAATCTCTGCTTTTCACTGGGTAAATTAGTCCTCCCCTCACTTGTGAGAAATTCCGAGTCCTCTACTTTTTTTTTTTTTTGATAATTTGGTGCAAATTGAAGATTTTTTTCTCCAGTTCAGCTGATGGAGAGTTGAGGATTTGGGATACTGTTCAGCACCGTGCAGTTTCTTCTGCTTGGTTTGTGATTTTAACTCTTAAATTCCCTTTTTTTTTTCCTTTTCATAATGAAGTAAACACTCATTGTTTCTTCTCGGATTTGTAGGGCTCATAGTAGAGCAAATGGGGTTTTAGCTGTAGCAGCTAGTCCCTGGTTAGGAGAGGACAAGATCATCAGGTAAACTTAAGCAATCATGCGCTTCATAATCAAATCTATTTCTATAAAACCTGAGCTAATTACTGTTATCGTTAATAGCCAGGGCCGAGATGGAACTGTCAAGTGTTGGGATATTGAAGATGCTGGCCTATCAAGGTCCCCTTTTCGACTGTTTATGCATTTCATTTCTATCCAACTCTTAACCACTGATTCTCGTGATATCGTTGTTCTTAATCTTTACTTTACTTGACATGATTGGCAGGGACCCATTACTAGTGCTCAATACAAGCGCCTATCATTTTTGCAAGTTCTCTCTTGTTAAGAAGCCTAAGATTTCTCTAAAAGAAGATGGAGGTCATTCCAAGAATTGCGATGAGCAAGATGCTGGAGACACGCGTGATGTTCAGTGTACAGATGATACGGAGAGAGCTGTGGAGGATTCAGGTGTGCTTCAGGGTATGTTTTACTTGGGCTGTCTTGATGTAAAATTATAAGTTGTTCTCTCCATTTTCTGGAAGAAAGTTGACTGATGTAGCAAAGAACAATTGGTTTATCTTCTTGTTCTCTCATACTAAGAGTTTGACTAATAACAGATGGAGATCTTGCCGATGGTGCCACTTATGTAGCAGTAGCAGGGGAGCAACCTTCTGAGGTGACTTGAAACAAAAAGCCATTGAACTGTTTCTTCTCGCTTTTTTTTTTGGGTTTCCAGCTTGGTGTTGTCATTCTTCTGATTTGATCTATCCATAAAGGTGGAGTTATGGGATCTCAGTACCGGAAACAGGATCATGCAGCTTCCTCAAGCTAGCCCTGGCGAATCTTCCAGTGCTTCTACCAAAGAAAGAGGTAAGCTCGTGCTTTCTTCTCTGTGAGAGCCTTCATATGTACACTTTTCTTGTTAACATTGATGTCCCATCCATTAAATTGTGCAAACTAGAATGCCTTTATCAATTCACCTTTGAAATTTGCTTCTAAAACTCTCATCATGGTGGTATATTGGATAATTTGCAGGAATGTGTATGGCTGTTCAATTATTTTGCCCTCCTGGCTCACAAGGTTTCTTAAATGTCTTAGCTGGGTATGCTCTCTTTCCGAAGCTTTCTTTTTCCATTAAAATCAAGAAAGTCAAAACCGTAGATTTCCATGCTTTATTTGTATTATGGGTGGGTTAAATCAAACTTGTGCAGTTATGAGGATGGTTCCATGCTGCTTTGGGATATACGAAATGCTATGATTCCTCTAACAAGTGTGAAGTTTCATTCAGAGCCAGGTCTTGTTCACATCCTCTGTATCTAGATTTTTCAGAAATTTTGCTCCTGCGCTTTGGATTTTCCACATTATTTATCCCTTTTTGTCTTCTATATGCAGTGTTAAGTCTTTGCGTTGCATCATCATGTGATGGAGGTATCTCAGGTGGGGCAGATAACAAAATTGTGATGTATAATCTTAACCATTTAACTGTAAGTTTGACATCTGCCAGAGAGGACCCGATGCACTTGTTGTGAATGATGTGAAGCTATAGTGTGATGCTGATTCCATTTTTATTGTTTGTTATATACTTTAGGGTTCTTGTACATTGAGGAAAGAGATTATTTTGGAAAGGCCTGGTGTATCAGGTACCTCAATCCGACCTGATGGGAAAATTGCAGCCACAGCTGGTTGGGACCACAGGTTAGCATCTGGGCTAATTGTCTTAGCATTGACTACGAAAACTTAGTCTATATCATCAATATGTGGCTTCTTCAGTTTTAAACTCAGTTTAATGTTCTAGTTCAAGTTTTTCCCAATTCAAGACTTAATGCAGAGATTGATTTACTCACATGTTCGTTTCAAGATCTTAAGTAGAGATTGATGCATATGAGCTCGTTCTTTTCCATTCCCCAAAACGCTTTTCTTTCATCTTTTAACTAG